CTCATGGGTTCATCCAAATCGTCGACTTAAATTCATGGATATGATTTAGGGTCCGGAAATTCCGACCCTTAAATTGAATACCAAAGTCATTAGCATTTAAATGATTGCCATCAAATTAAAAAGCGCGAGGTATCGGTGGGGGTATACGCAGTTACGTGAGTGCAAGAAGTGCAAGATAAGCACAAAATCAAACAAAAGCAATGCCAACAACAATCTATCCAAGGCCAATGGATCATCGGACTAGTCATCAGTTCGGCGCGGGATGTTTGCATCTACCTGCCGGCTGTCTGGCCACCAATAGTCATCTTCCAGCGCTTCATCAGGCATTTCCACCAATTCGTCGTTGGGTATATCGTCAGAAATATTATCAGGAATGATTTGCGGAACTTCTTCAGGGCTTTCCAACTTGAAGGTGGTAGGGTTGGGGGCAGGGGGCAAGTTGACACGGCTTGGTGTAACCGGTCCGTCGTCATCATCGTCCGAAATAGTCAAGTCAATGATGTCGGCCTGTATCAGCTGCACGACGGACTTGTCTTGCTCGTCGCTCGGGGTTAGCCGTTTTGCCTTTTTGGGAACAGGAGCATGGGACTCTTTGTCATTACTACCGATGGATACATGAGAGCTCGCGCGCTTCCGCTTTTGCGAGGTATTTTGAGGGCCAGTAGATTGGCCGGCTGTCAGTTGAGGTTCGGATGGTTGAGAGAGTGCTGGCCGAGGAGGTGCTGGCTGAGCATTCCTCGGATCATTGCTAGCATGAGCAAGGTTGAATACCCGCTGCAACTCCTTTCTGGAATGTTCATCCAGACCATTTCGGTCCTCCACTGGCGGCCCTTGGAACTGGCGAAGCTGGTGTTCTTCTAGGAGGGGTGCATGCGCTACATTTTCCGCTGGCTCATCAGCATCAAGGCCTCGTGGCCACCGCGCAAAGGGACCGGAGTATTTAGGGCCTTGTACCGGTCCATAGAGCGGATCCATGGTCAACTGGCATGATTCCAACAGCTGACGCGCAGCTGCTACTCCTGTCAGTTCAGAAGGCTGTTCCGGTTGGTTGTCGCAAGCTTCCTCTTCAACAGGTGCGTACTCGAAATTGAAGAGCCCCGGTTCAGGGTCCGCACAAGGACCAGAAGACAAGACATGGATCCCACCTGCATTATCACCCACAAGAAGATGGGCATTGTCGGGCGAAAAGACAGCACCCATGAGTCCATCGTTGAATTTTGCAACGTCGGAAACCAGGGTGTCCTCAGTGGCGCGTCGGATGTCCCATTGCTTGAGAAAGCCATCAGATGCACCTGTGTAGAACTGGTCGATCGATGTACCCCATAAAGCAGCCCGAACACCTACGTCCGCATATTCCCGGCGAATCTCGTGATTAACTGGGTAATCTGCCTCGCCATGCCGTAATTTGTGAAGTAGTGCATTCGGGTTGCGAACATCCCACACATAAGTACTCCCATCCGTGCAGCTAGCAGTCATATGGTTGGATCCAAATGGACAGAAGGTAGTCTCGTTGATGTCCACAGCCGGGCAGGCAAAAGAGTGGCTGTGGATTGCCTTACTTGCGGAGGGATTGTAGCTATAAACGTTGACGAGTGATTGCGACCCAGGAGGATAGGACTTGTGGTCTCTCATTGAACTCGCCGTCGCAAATGTGGGCATCGAGGGATGCCACTTGATGTCGAAAATGTTCTGTGAGTCTGGACTCAGCTTTATTGTAGTCACTGATGACTCTTCAAGCTTCCACATGCCCAAATGCCCATAACGTGCCACGTGAATATCCTCTGCGTCATCGGTCCGTTGCACCATACCACCAACGAGGAGGTTCCTCGTCTCAGGCGTGTTTCCCCAGATAAGGTTGGTAGGGGATAATTCCACGTTCTTCTGACCGGAATAGCGAGCAAGATGTAGGTTTTGATAAGACACCAATGAGCCCAAATTCCAGAGGCGGAAGCCGCTCTTGGTTCCAGTGGCGAGTAGATGCGGTAAATATTTTGAAGCCGCCATGACCTCAACTTGAGCGTCATGGGTGAGTGTTCGGACACAGGAAGCTCCATGCCCAATATCCCAAATTTTTACCGTCTTGTCGAAGCTCGCGGAATAGAGCTGTTCCCCGACCCACTGCGTGGAGGAGACCGTTGCAAAAAGACGCGGGTCCTGCGTGCTGGTTGGATTTTCACGACGTATCCAGTGGTCGGGAAGTTCCATGAGTGAATTCCGTGTCAAATCCCCTAACACCAAGTTATTGCCTCGATTATAGTCACCACCGTGTGTCGTTGCTCCGGCGGCAAAACGAGTACCATCCGGTGACCATGCCATGCTGGTAATATCATTTGAGGCTCCCTTCCAGCTTCGCCAAGGGGTCAACTCCGAGAGCCTATCGTTATAGGCATGATTGTAGTAGGAATTACCTATGAATCGGCCTTGTTGTCTATTGCGGAGAAGGTGTCCAATGCTCGGTCGTTGGCGCAAAGACCCGCTGCCTATACTTTGCGGGACTTGGGAGTCCACGGGGGCCGAAGGGACCAATGAGGCATTTGATGGTTTAGGAGATGATGCTCCGCTGCTGGCCCCATCGCCACGATTTCTGTCCGAGGCCTCTGCTGGTTCCAACTCAAGCCCGACTAGTGCGCGGACATTATAGGTGATTGGGTCTTTCCTGGCGCGGCTGGAACGCCGGGGAGGAGAGTCTTTGGGGATCGGCGCGGGAGAGCCCGAGGAGGCTCTGGACGACTGGTGGGCCTGGTATTCTGAGGAAGAGTCTCGTTCGCGAGTATGTCGGAGGGCAATAGGCCGAGGGGTGGTGGGTCGAGGGGCAGTGAGCTGGGGGGTTATAGTCGGTCGAGGGTAAGCCTTTTTCTGTCGAGAACTGCCTGCTCGTTGGGGTTGATACTCTATTATCCTGGCCGGGGTCATCTGATTGGCGTTGCTGACGGTAACAGTCTTTCGAAGCTGGTCCCTTGGAGCTTGGCGAGGTGTTTCATTGCCAGGCGGTCGCGTTGATAAGGGACTCAGAGTGGAGGTAGGGGTAGAAGCAGTAGATGGGAGGGATTGACGAGGTGAGGGTGATGGAGAGTTGGCGTTCACAGTTGCGACGGGGGATGGGGATGGGACGTTGGGTGGAACAGTTGGTGAGGCGAAACTCGAAGAAGGGGATTGAATAACACTAGTACTAGTATTCCAGTCCGCAGTACTCGTGGTGCGGTTCTCTGTTGTCTGAATATTGGGGGCTTCTTTCCATGGCGCGAGTGTGGGTGTACTACTAGTACTATCCCAAAGATTTGTCGCAAAGAAACAATCGGATTGACCCTTAGGGGGATGCCTGGAGCCAGCAGTAAAGCGGTACAGGAGCTGTTCGGCCTCAAAAGGAATATTCCTCGGTTTCTTTGGTCGCAAAACGCGACTTCGATATAAAAACGACGCGTCGGACATGGCGAAGTTGGCGTTCACGGCTAAGGACGGGGATCACGATTAGCGCGAATGTAATTATAAGTAGCAGAGGGTGCGCATGTAGGCGGAGGAACACTATACCATATCGCAGAGAGAGCTAGAGCCAAGCACCAGTTGAAGAGAGAGTGTTAATTGTGCGAATTTGAATCCTGGGGGGATCAACTTGAAGCTGGTTGGAGATGGTTGGAGTTGAAGTTGGAGGCGCTTAGAGGGCGGTGGCCTCAGGCAGAAACACAACAAACACTCTGCATCATACAGTTTAGTTACTAGTTACTAGTTAGTGTACTTATAGTATACAATTGTAACTAGTAGAGATTAATTCAGACTTAATTTAATAGCAATTGTTCGATCAGCATCTGATGTTGAATTTTTGCACATTTATAGTACTAGTGTGGAAGAACGAAGGCCATGGACGGTTAGGGAAAAGGCATATAGAAACCTTGGAACTTCAGTATGCTCTAATCACAGTGGATGGAAGGTTATTGATGATGTATGAATGAGTGCTAGTGCGTACATTGTTACCATAGAATCTAAAATAGTGACAACCTCGCCCAAAATGATTATATCAAAGTATAACGAAGAAAATAAGGATAAAGGTTAAAATTAATTTCACCCTTCGCCTGATCATATAGCATACGTATCATTATAACAGCCTGAGATGATTCACCTTTTCACGCAGTTGTTCCTTGACCTCGAATGGAGTACCCCAAGGTACCCATTCCTTCAAATCTCTACTCCCTGTCCAAAGACCTGGCGGAAGAGAATCACGAATTAGTCTGAGGCTCATATTAATCCCATTTTCCGCAGTGAATGTATTGAATGCCGATATCTGTCTTCGGCATGTTGACCCAGATATGCTTCCGAACAGGCGCACAGCCAACTGTGTTAGACATGGTGCAGCCATCTGAAAGGAAGAGATAGAGCATCTCAGAGTATTCATGAGGAAGGGAAGATGCCATTCATTGCCATCAACAATGATCATATCTGTACGTAGGCAGAGCTTTTGGAGACTGCCTGGTAACAGCTGCGACATATCTGGACATTTGTTTTGATGCCATCCAAATAGCATACTGATAGGTAGTTCCGCAGACTCAAGAGCCGTGAAATGTTTCAAAATCCTTTGGAACGGATCCAAAAGGGGCTGTGGATTACCCTTGTTCCAAATTTCAGGGCCTGCCTTTGGATAGTATTGGAGCCCAAGTGACAGGTGCTTCAGAGTCAGTTCAATAGGTGTGAATCCTCTTATGAGAGCTTGCCCTTGAGCAAGAGGCTCTAGACGGGGTACGTGAAAGATATGATAGACGAGCCCCAGGTGGAAGAATTCAATCGATCCAGTTAAAGACAAGAGTCGACCAACTTGTTCTTCACTAGCAGCAACATGAGTGAGAACAAGCCGCTCCAGCCGCGCTAGGGTTTGTCGAGATGCAAATTCATCAAGAACCCCATCAAGGCTTTGAAGCCAAATTTCTAGAGATTTCAAAGATGGTAGAAAGAACCAGGCCCGGAATTGATCAGGATTGCACTTTGGCAATCCATCCATATAATCTTCAGCCTCATCGCTCAAAAAAGGGGGTCTCGGGGGCATTAACCCCATATTCAACCTCCGCGAGGTGAGAAAATCGGGATAATCCATGTTGTGCGGACGATAATGCATGGGTCAACATTCTCCCTGGCCATCCAGATTGCCAGACAAAAGTGAAGTCCAAACGGAGTGTTCGGAGGTTACCAAGCTGCGAGAGGAAAAGCGTCATAAGGGCATATGGGTCTCCTCCCTCAATGGCTACCACCCAATCCTGAGACGAGGGAAAATGCGCTATGGAAACAAGGTTCTTTGCCATCTCGGCGACCTTTCGAAAATATCCCGAGGATTTCACCTCGCTTTTCCAAACCGGGGACGGTTTCCATTCCCCATATGCATCATATAATGGATCGAATAGAATTGTCGGGAGAATCTCAACGTGCTTAACGTAGGTAGCGAGATGAGGTCGGTGCAGAATAGCCCCCAGTAGAGAAACTACCCGGTCCATTGGAGGATTTATCCAATTAATGAAAATGTGACGGTATAAAGTCTCCTCTGATGATGCACGCAGGTCTCGAGAGGTAGCACAGAGCGAGATAACATCATTGCGCGATAACTCATTGAGAATTAACAGCCAGCAGTCTTGAGGCAGGCCAGCTAGCAAACTACTGTGTATCAGATATTTTGTCATGACTAACTCCGAGCTAGCATTGGATGACACTGACCTTGGATGCGGGCAATTCATAATCCTTCAGTTCAGAAGTGTCTGGTTTAAATTGAATGTTTGGAAATAGAAGCCGGAAGAAAAGGCCAACCAGATTCGGATTTGAGAGTGATTTTTTTTTTCCAGGAACCTGTAATCAGTTTGCGAAATCATTTGTCCTGTTTTTTCCCGCTTCGTGAAGAAGGGCCACGGATCGTGCCGGGGTTGGGGCCAGAGGGAATGGGGCCAGGGGTGCGCCATTTTCACTGTGGAGCAGCTTGGGGCGAATTTGTGGAGTTGCAACGCAATCGGTTAGTAAATTAATGTGCATTCAGTAGTAAGTGATTGGCAATGTATCTTGCTATCACAATGATTATGGGAAGAAGAAATGAAGCCCTGGGGAAAATCGGAAAAAGCAGATATCTCAACAGTGAAATATTCATGCTCGCGCAAATTATCCTGCTGAATACAGCCTTAGGTGGAGGTTATTTGTAGTTGATTGGCATCGTTCCTGGGCAATCCTTTCACGCCCCACATACTGACTAGTTCGAGTATTCTTTACTCCGTCCTGCCGAGAGTTCTCTAAATACAGCAAATGGGACTGGGCCGTACATGCAGCAGCCTGATCACAGTGGACATTGTTTCCTTATGAGTTACGTAGTATCGTGCAGTATCTTGAGCTATTACAAATTGATATAGATAGTTGATTCAAGGAACAGAGCACGATGATATTGACACAGACAGCCGCAAAAGTCCCAGTTTTGTAGGATGCTAGGGTGCCTAACAGACTCTAACGAGCGCAACCATAATCTCTAAGATTTTCTTGTTCGTTTGTATAGAAGGGGGGTGATTTAGTGGAATGAAAAGGTAGATATGTTTCAGTTTCATTATGGTACGACTACTTTCTAAATAAAGAACCGTAGCTGATCTGGGGCCATCCTTACGGAGCAGATCACAATTTGAAGCCACTTTGAGCAAAGACTGATTTTGGGGCCAGTATCACTTGAAATTTGGGGCTAGCGAGGAAAGCCGAGTAGAAGCTATAAAGAATTCAGCTTAAGCAGTTCGACATTGGCTTTCACGCCACTGAGAGTTTTCCTTCAAAATGCATCTTTCCACGATGTGGTTCCGTCTGACCTGGATTCTTTCTTCTTTTATCTTGTGGATCTGCTCTGTTCCAACTTTTGCCCTTCCATCTACTCCATATCCATCGTCCTACCACTTGGAATCAAACGTTCGTACACTATCACAGTCATCCGACTCGTTATACAACCACACCCTTCTTCAGAAGCGCTCTGACGACCCGTCATACTCGGAAGCAAATTATATTTGGGAGGATGGCAGCAATAGGATTTTTCACGTTGCAAATTCAGCGGACCAGTTCCAGGATGCCGACAAGGCGTACGCCCAATTGAAGCTTGGAAATGAGCTGGGCTCGGGGGGTTATGGAACTGTCTATGAAGGCTCGCTTAAATCTCGCAACGGCGACTCGGACCAGGAAGGCGCCGCGAAACAGTCAGCGGCCAATGGACAAGTCGCAGTGAATGGGGCAATCCTGCAAAAGTCAATCGATAGTGATAACGTCGCAGAGGTTTACGGAATCTTCTGGCAGCCATCTGATAAAAAGTCCATAATTCTGATGGAACAGCTCCAGTCAGACGTTGATTCGACGCTCCAAGAGATAGCCAAGGATATCACAAAGCGTCAAGGTGCTGATTATAAGGCTTATACGTCGAAGATGATGGAAGGGGCTTTTCTTGGATTACGGGACACTCATGCCGCAGGCATAGCTCATCGTGACATTAAGCCTGAAAATATCATGTTCAGCGATTGCAATGGTGAATATAAGCTCATTGATTATGACCATGCAATCAGGAACGATGTGCTTCAAGCAGGCAATCAAGGCACGGCATTCGGATCACCTTTATACGAAGCGCCAGGTAAGTTTCAATGTTGGGAACTCTGAACTAGAAATGAGCCCCAGCTGACAATTCATCCAAGAGGTTGACACCGACGCATATAATGGATATCAAGCAGATGTATATTCCCTCGCTTGGATGCATTTTGATATTATGAACCCTACCCTACGCTATACACAACCAGACAGGCGGCAGGATTTGATGGCTTACACCCGTGGTGACCAAGCTAGCTCGAAACAGGACTTGAAAGGGAAATTGATTAAGGAGCTTAGAGCATGTGGAGTTGATTCGTCTGTTAAGTATCCTACTGCATTCAAAATGACCGGTTTGATTGCGCAGGCGCTCCAACCTGTCGAAAGGCGCATATCTATGTTTGAATATTACAAGCAATGGTGCAAGTTAACAGGAACAGCCGAAGGCAGTGCGGATGAATGGTCCAACGATACCGATGGAGCCAAATGGGATGACAGGGTTCAATAATTGGATTTGGCGACGAAGGAAACCTTGGAAGTAGACTAGGAAAGTGATTCATATGGCCTACTTCATATAGTTTAGATCGATGAGTGTATGAATGGGTTTAATTTACCCTGACGCCTTACAGTTGAATGTGATACTAGGACTGCTACTAGTAGTGTCACGATACCCCCCCGGATCTGTATTTAGTTACTAATACAATTTGACTGTACCACGTCCTGAAAACGAACTTAGAACCTCGTCAAGACCTACTCTGGCTTAATTCATATTGCCAATATGAGGTTGCCCTGATGGCATGCCAGTCTAGGCTGGCTAAGAAGGTAGTGGGGGACTATTTCCGGTGTCCTTTAGTCGAAAGTATAGGAGCAATTGTCAGAATTTAAGCGACAATATTAGAACCAGGTGCCGCTGTATAATGGTAATAACCGACTCAGTAAAGTTTATGCTAGTAAAATAGCCACAAGAGCCCGAGCCACTGCCATAATGGCTAGGGATAGTATACTAGGATTACAATATACTAGTATAGACTTCCAAGGTCGAATCGAAAGGAACCTGTCAAGGTACTGCTACAAGTGATACTTAGACTAGATCGCTGACGTACCCCTTCGATGCCTGAAATAAGCTTCCACCTGCAAATTAGCGGAATATTAGCGGAGATACGTAATACGTACTACGGCGCTGCCTGAGCTTCTTCAAGTTGGGGGCCGAAGATCGTACTAGTACAGGTATAAAGGAGCTGGAACATCCGACATCTGGGTATCTCGATCAATTAAAATTGACAACTTTCTAAAAGCCCTGAAGAACGATTCCATCCATTTAACCTCATTCATCATCACCAACCTGACCATGCCTGTCACGGAGATCGCCTTACTCCACCTCAAGACCCCCACACCATCGGACCCCCTCAAGGCAGTTTTTCATGAAGCCCAACAGGAACAATCCCAGTACTCCGGCCATCGAGTCAATTTCCTGCGCTCCTTGGATGATCGGAGTGATTTCTTCTTGCTGGGTGGGTGGGAGTCGGTGGCCCTGCATTGTGGTGAATGGGTGACCTCAGAGATTAATCAGCGACTTCTTGCGAAGTTGAAGGATGAAGTAGATATTGGGTATATGTTTCATTTGGATGTTGATGTGAGTTTAGATATAAAATGACAGGAAGGAACTGGAATGAAACTGACGCTCTCTCACAGCCCTCTACTCCTATCCCGGTCTCAGCACCAGTCATCAGAGTGGCCCGCTGCTTCATTGAAAAAGAGAACAAGGAGGAATTTGATCGTCTCTTTAAAGCGGGTCTGTCCGATTTGGAAAACTTCACGGCTCCTCATCCCTGCTTTGGAGGTTGGAGAATTGACAAGGAGGGTGAGGATGAAGAGTTTGTTCTTTTGAGTGGATGGAATTCGGTCGAGCATCATCATGAGTTTTATAAGTCCGAATTGTCGAAGGAGTTTGCGAAGACAAGGTCGGTGATTAAGAATACTGAGGTTAAGCATGTGCGTCTGGAGAACTGGGAGTGAAGGATAGTATCGTCGTTGAGGCTCTCTTCAGTGCCGTGCCAATTCCAAGGACATGCTACTAGTAGTGTTTCGAGAGAATATGCATCAACTCAATCATAATAAGATCGCTTTTATAAGCAGGCTATCTATGTGCCTTGACTCGAAGTCGGGAATTACCATAAGTACATGGAAGTCATCGATATACTCCGTATACTCCCCTCTATACCGTCTCAATCCGCTTGGCCAGCACTTGCTGCACAACATAATCCTCCATCTTCTCAAATCCATCAACAGCCTTGCCATACTGCTCAAAAACACCCTTCTGGTATCCATCCGCGATCTTCTCGATAAACTGCTCCTCCTGCCACCGTTGCCCGATGAGGTTCTCGAAAGTCTGACCGGGCGCACGCTCCATTCCCCAGACAGCCTTGTACGCGGCGCCGAGGGCACATGCATTATCTCCAATGTCCAGCTTGTAGACACCTTCCACACCGCCGAGGATCTCGCCAGCGATCTTGGCAATGGCTTCGTTCTTGGATCCACCTCCGACCAGGTAGACTCGGCGTGGTTGCGCGGGGAGACCGTTTCCGGGACTGGTAGTCAGACCACGGGAGCGCAGGCGGAGGGAAAGGAATTGACTCTCGACAATGGCGCGCGCTTCATCGTGCGGGGCGGTCCATCCGGACGTGGTTTCTTGTAAGTCGCCTGTCTCGGGGTTGTAGGTGAAGCGCCACTGGCCGGATGGGAGGTTCGGAACGATCTCCGGTCGCGGGAAGAAGAGACCCATCTTCATCGAATCGGCTGAGTTCTTTTGTCCTAGTGGTTGGCTCTCTAGAGCAATCTTGTCGAAATTGGCCCAGGGCTGGGCGGGGGTATCCTTGAGGGAATCATTAATCGCGTCTCGCACGTACTCGCGGGCTAGGCCGCCGTTCTTATAGCACAACATAAACATGTAGAGACCCGCCGTTGTGGGGTGGTTGAAGAAGTGGGTGGCGGGGTCGGGCATGTAACTGGGGGTGGACATGAGGAAAGTTGTAGAGGTTCCGAGAGATACCATCGCGTCGGAAGGTCGGAGAGGGAGGGCAAGGATGGTGGCTGGGTTGTCGCCGGTAGCTGGAATCACTGTGCAGTCAGGGCTGAAGCCATAGCGCTGTGTATAGTATGGGTGGACGGAGCCCAGGTGTAGTCCTCCATCCTCGGGCACTTCGCCCAGCTTTTGCTTCAGATCGTTGAGCTCGAACTTGCCGGAGCACAGCTTGAGGATCTGTTCATCGTAGGCACCCTTCTTGATATTCCACAAGTTCATCCCGCATACATCAGAGATATCGAAAGGCGCAATTTGACCGAGGAAGAGCGAGGCGATGAATGAGGACACCAAGGAGATTCGGGCTGTCTTGCTATACACTTCGGGGTGCTTCCTCGTGAAGCGGAGAATCTGGGGACCTGTGAATCTCTAGAGAAGGAAGCCTCAATTAGCTTTATCCGGAGTTCATGCCATGTGGTGCGGCTCTTACGTGATGGGCCTTGCTTCCAGTGGCCTGGGCCAATTGCTCTTGACCACCAAGGGCGGCATCGAACTCGTCGCATTCTTTCTGGGTGCTGGAGTCCTGCCAATTGGGACTGTAGGGATGAGAGAAGGCGGCGGGGAGTTGATCTTGAAGAGACTTGGACGCATCCAAGCCGCGAAGGAGATTCTCTGCTTCATTGCCCCAGTAGACACTTCCATGCTGTTGTCCCGCACCGCTGATCCCCTTGACCCGACTGAAGTCTAGCCCTTGCTTGCGCAAACTCTCGAGAACGGTATCCATAGCCTGTAGCCATAATGCGACCGGAGCGAAGACTTCATGTTCGGCTTCGTTCGTCAGTACACCCTTTTTGATGGGGAAACCGGTGGAATCGGCATCGAAGTCGAATTTGGCAATGTAGACGACCTTGAGATCGGAGTTAACGACCAGGCCCTTGAGTTGCTGGGTTGACAGATCGAAACCGATGTAGAGGGGGGGATTGCGACATGTCGACTGGTACTGTGAGAGCTCACAGTTGGCAATTGTGAGCAAATCAGGGGAAAAGAGAAATGTAGGTAAGAAGAAGTGTAAGACTAGGAGGAGCCCTGGAGGGAAATAGAAGATATTAATTGAGGCAAGTCAATCGCGGGGTGGAAGGCCGATCAAGTTAAGTCGGGATGATGTCAAAGCTCCACCACTTCGGGTTGAACTTGCTCTTTTAGCCGGAGTCACGGGGTCACGGGGGTCACTACTCCGGCTGCAGTAGTATACTATTCTAGTATAGTATACTAGTTATTAGTTAACTATAGTCAGTATACTAGTAGTAAAATAGTAAGACGTATTCTTTCCCTTTTCTGGGTTCTTCTTATTTTTCCCTTTTAGGCTCTGCTCTGCTCCACTCGGCACTCGGGCATCGGAGCTGTCCGGCTAAATTGCTGATGTCTCTGCTAAATGTCGGTTGAATACTACTAGTTAGTAGTAGCTAGTACTATGAATAGTCTGCCCCACAGCACAAAATATGGGGAATGGGGAACGAGGAAAAAATGCTCAAGATACATACGACATATGAGATTTTGTCCAGATCTGTTTGTTGGGTATGAGTATATACTCAACATGGCATCCTTATTAAAACTTGGAACTTGGAGTCTTGAACGGCTCTATTGTATCCGAGTCCAAGCCAACTCAACCAAACGGTTAGCTTTTGCACTACTACCCGGGAAGAAATAACGAAACATGATTCCCGCCTCATAGCATCGGAACTGTAGTTGCTCCACGGCTTCAAGACTCTCGGGCTGGAGTTTGGGATCGTATCAGTGCCATCAACGCATTAGGGTTTCAAACAACTCCATAATTTTAAATTCGGGCCTTCTTGTCTGGGAAAAACTCCTCTATCCGGGTCTGTCGTCTCTTCATTCCAGGTAGGTGTATCGTTGCTTGGCCCTCCGTCCCCGATGGGTTTTTAGGGAATTCCTTTTTGAACAGGACTGGCCGCGTCGGGGGCCTGCAAAGGTCAATCACCATGCTGTCCACCGCTAGATTTCTCAGACGATCAATGCTTCAACATTATGTGATTTGCGAGGCTTGGCAACTTGAATACGAGTATGGCGCAGAGGAAAGAAAACAGTCTATCATCTTGCTCGAATGAAGTTATTTCCAATTTCACTTTCACTTTCATTTCCATCTGTAGAAACAAGAGAACATCATTGGAAGTGTGGAGAAAGTACATGAAATGATGGATGGTCTTACCTGTTTGGATGTGATCATTCATGCACAAGCATGGCAAGGAAGTTGAGATATAATCATATAGTTGATAAGAACACTCTCGTTCCAGTGCGTCATCCGCTTTAGTAGTACAGCAGTTACTAGTGATACTATTTACTAGTAGTAAGAAGAGATATGGGGATGAAACTTGGAAGATCGCATGAAATTAAAGCCCCGAAGGTTGAAGAAGAAAGGTTCAATGAAGGCGAAGGTGAGACTAGATAAAGGCGTCCTCATGTGATTGCGCCATTATGACAACTCGCAACATCTAGCAAACAAATAGTTGCAGTGCTAATAATGATACTGCACTTGAACGTTCAAGACAATATCCCGGGCTTCGCATTCAAGGTTGAAGCAATTCAGTTCATCGATGAGTGTATATTCTTCCCGGATATCGAGATGCAACACTACTGCTTCAAGATTCGGACAACAACTCCCCTCAACCAGCTCTGAAAGCTGCGATACTAACTGTAGTTGATGGCCCTCAACCACGTCTGTAATTTCGATTCGTTTGAGAGAGCGGGGAAATATCTTAGCAGGCGGCTTTGAATCCCAATGATCAGTAGAGTCGTGACTGACACGGCCGATCAAGTGAGAATGCCGAACCGTGATATCTTCCATGACAACAAAGTCACTGAATGTCCCAAAAGGAACATCTTCGGCGTCCTGATATTCCAATTGATCTCTGTACCGTTTGCCATAACAGATACGAAGAGTCCTGAGCGTCGTGGCGGAAGGAAGAAGCAACTTGCGAAATAGCGAAGCATCGAACTTTTCAGAGTCAAGTATCTCATCCAGATGTGATTCAAACTCCATCTTGATAGAGAAATGCTCGAGTTTCGTGCACAGGACAAGCCAGTCCAACACACCCGGAGACCAATAGGCCTCGTCAACGATTATCTGCCGAACCGAGCTTGAATTGTAGGTCTTGTCGAGCGACATGTGATCCACAATCGGGTATTCAACCATGCGTGAGACGTATATTGTGCGAACGGCAGGAAAGTAGAAGAAGGGCGCGAGAAAACCGGAGCTAATCCATGAGTCTGAACACCCTCGGACATCTTCCAAGTATGGAAATGGGGGAGCTTCATGGAAAGGATATTTTCGGCTGGCGGCTTTGTGTAGTATATCCAACATTATCTCAGAATATTCATTACCGAACTCGATTGTTTCGAGGTGATTCGTTCGGACAAGCAGTAGTCCCAGCCATGCTTCTGCGCAACGGTTCTTGTCATCAAACTTCTCCTCCCAGGTTCACCTGTCGAACACCTCTTCGGGCGTAAATATCTCGTCCAGTGCGTTTTGAATGAAGGATGCGACCTCAGGGTCCCCTTTTAATTGATCCACTGACTCCTGGTAATCCGATACAGGCTCACAGGACATTTTCAATCGCCGAACCTGGCTGGCAATCTCTGGGTCTCGCCATAATCGCACAATCAAGTGAGCGTATTTGACGGAGAAAGAGCAGAGCGATAAAGAGTGGTAGAGCATAGATTCGAATACATCATGGAAATGACGACAGCAGAGACTTAGTGAGTGCAGGGTGATTTGCGAGTCAGAGCTTCTTTGGATATGCTCTCCGATCATAAGAAGTAGTTCCGGTGGCAGGCGGTCCATCGTGATGATAGAGTATTGCAGGAGGATGAGGACAGGAGAGAGACTCGGATAAAATGATAGTGGTAATAAACTGAAAGAAGAGAGAGGAGAGGAAATTGAACTTGAAGCTATCCCATTGTTTACAAAGGGAAGGAGCCTGTTGGTGCCTGAGGCAGCGAATGCCTAGAGCACCGCACCTCAACAACAGAGAATCTCAGAACCACCTGGCATGAAAGTAAGGATTATATGGAAATATCTGGATAGTGTATATACAGAGAGTAAGGGTGGATGTGAGAGAGGCGATCACAATGGAAAATGGGTAGTATTGGAATGATATCTCCGGGGCTGAGCTGAAAGGAACTAGATATCCATAGCAGTGGAGTAGTAGCAGGTGAAAAAGCCCGCAGGACATAGGACTCTAGCCATTGTCCTAAGTAAATAGATTGGAGCAGCGTGCGCAAATCATAGAAACGCCCGCCTATGCATTATTTTCATCGTCGGTGCGAGGTATGTACAACATTCACAAATTACAGCGATCCATCATTGCCATCACTTTTACTGCAGGAACCGACCCAGCGGACCCCCGACATTCTTCAAGTCCAAAAGGAATGTATCATGTCCAAACATCGAGACATCTTCGCCTAGCTCGATGTGCTTCACGGTTTGGTTACCGCCTGCGCGGAGGGTCTCGGCGATTTCACGCTGCTGCCATGCGGGGAAGAGAATGTCACTGGCCACTCCCATGACGAGGACCTCGTGGTTCTTGAGACCGGCCAGGCCGGCGACGAGGTCGCGTGGGGGTCCATCGGTGCTGCCGGGGACAGCTTGGTCTGTGGGTGGAATGGAGGCAGTTACCTCGGGTTGTTCCTCGTAGGGCTGGTCGGGGAGGGTGAGAGTGCAGGTGGGGTCAGAGACATTGGGTGAGATGCCTCCCTTGGCAATGCGGGACTCGGATTCAGCACGGCGACGTCGGGTCTCTGATTCATGAGCGTGGCCGAGATCGAACAGGTCCATGGCCTTGGACACATAGAGAAGACTGTTCGGGTCGAATTCCAGGCACCACTTCTCACCGGCATGATCGAGGTAGGTCTCAATCAGGAAGTCTGGGCACAGTGCTGGCTGCTTGCTGGGGTCGGCACGGCGGCGTCCGAATCGGTTCTCCCACTCGGGGCCACTGCGGTAAGTGACGGTTGCGATCTCTCGGGCAAGCTTCATGCCGGAGTGAGGGGGAATGGAATCATAGTAGAAGCCACGTGCCCAGTTGGGGTCCATCATAAGAACCTGGCGTTGGGTGTGTCGCATCGCAATGCTGTAAGGATGGCTGCGTGCACAACCGCTGATGCTGACAATCTTCCCCACGCGATCCGGGAAGAGAACGCCAGCGGCCAGACTTTGCATACCTCCCATGCTGGAGCCCACGGAGGCCGCGAGCTTCTCAATACCAAGCGCGTCGAGCAAGCGGAATTGAGCTCGTACCATGTCGTCTACAGTCAAGATCGGGAATCGGGTCGCATAGCGTTCCCCGTCGGAGGGGTCGGTGGATGAGGGTCCAGTAGAACCGAAGCAGCCACCTAGAACGTTTGTGCAGATGATATGGTATTTATCGGTATCGAGCGGCAGTCCGGGACCTATGAACTTCTCCCACCATCCGGGGTTGGGGTTGGAGGGGGTGCTGTGAGCATGACTTGACGCGGACAAGCCAGTGTGTAGGAGGATCGCATTACTCTTGTCGCTGTTGAGCTGACCCCATGATTCGTATGCAATATCGAATTCTGGCAGGACTCCCCCCCAATCCAACAGAATTGGTTTATCGCTGTGAAACCGTTCATGTTCTCCGGCGGTGTATGAGGGTTCGGGGCCGGATTCGAGCGAGCGGGCGGAGAGCAGTGCGGACCGTGCCTCTTGCGCATCTAGACATGGGAAGGACATGGCTGGGTTGGAAGAGTCTCTAGACGCGGCACTAGTCGAGGAAAGGCGCAGAGAGCCAGTGTATTTCAGTTGCGACTGCGACAGTGTCAACGGGCGACGGGCTGCGGCGAGGATGGACGAGTCGCTGGGTCGCCATTGTGGGACTCGCACGGAGCGAGATGCATTGCGGAGAGCTCCATGGAGCGAACGCATTGTGGGATAATGATATCCGGTGAGATTCGAGAGGAGAATAACAATTGAAGAGTTACAAATGCCCTCGGAGGATGAGATGGTTATCAATCAAGTTGCCGCCCGAAAGGTCAGGCCAAAATCTATCCTCAAAAGGAAGGCGGTGGCACTTTCCAGCATGGCGTCATGCATCTGACTTCTGATTGGTCGGAGCTCCCCGCGGATTCCCCGCCTTCGGGTTCGCATTGCCCGATTGGGAGTTCTTATACTTCCCAAGGTTCAGCAAGAGGAAAGAAAGTTGAATTCAAATACAGAATGCTCATTTAGCCTACAGAAAGGTGATTTTAGTAAAGCTCTATCCTAGTAAGAGCTTGAGTTCTGTGACGATGTTGAAAAAGGAAGGATGTATGTAGTACTATTTTCATACAAGTAGTAGCACTAGTAACTAACTAGTACTTCATATTTCATGCACCTGAAACTATTTCATTCGCTAAAATACATGCTGGTCTGTGTCCATGGAATACATGGATGGAAACATTCCTCTAGTAGCTACGAGGTAATTGCAGAACCTTCTCGCTGACATAATTCAGAATCATCTCCCGACTGACAGGAGCGATCCGAGGCACGAAGCATTCACGCAAGTACCGTTCAACATCATACTCCATAGCATATCCCATACCCCCATGAGCCAGCACGGCCCGCTCGCAAGCTGTGAAAGCAGCTTCTGCAGCCAGGTACTTGGCGCTGTTGCAGGCCACGCCGATGGAGTGGAAGGGCACCGACCCATCGTTGGTGTCATATAGACGAGCTGCGTGGTAGGTCGCCAGCTTAGCGGCTTCCAGCTTCATATAGGCATCGGCGAGAGGATGGGCGACACCTTGATTTTGACCAATAGGTCGACCAAAGACAACTCGTTCTTGAGCATACTGTGATGCCTTCTCTAGAGCGGCGTAGCCCAGACCCAGTGCTTCACCAGCCAACAAGCATCGCTCGGCATTCATTCCGTGGAGGATGATCTTGAATCCCTGGTTTTCCTCTCCAATGAGGGTGTCGGCGGGGATTTGGTAGTTGTCGAAGAAGACCTCGTTGGCATCGACAGCGCGACCGCCCATCTTCTTGATCTTGCGCATGTCGAGACCCGGCTGGTCGCGGTTGAGATCGATGCAGAACAGGGAGAGACCTTCGCTGGACTTCTTCACTTCCTCCAGCGGAGTGGTTCGGGCAAGAAGGATCATCTTGGATGCGACCTGCGCGCAAGTAATCCAAATCTTTTGACCAGTGACGGAATATCCATCAGCGTTCTTGCTGGCCAGGGTCGAGAGTTTCAGAGTCTCGAGACCGGTGTTGGGCTCGGTGACACCGAAACAGGTTCTCCATGTGCCATTAATAATATTGGGGATTGTCGTCTCCAACTGTTCTTTGGTGCCGAATTTGGCCAGTGGTTGAGTGGCATAGACATTGGCGTGAATGGCCTGTGCTCCAGCCATTCCTGCGCCAGACTGGGTAATGGTTTGCATCATCATTGTAGCCTCAGAAATCCCTATGATTCATTATCAGTATTGTTTCATCACATTTCTGATCATTTCAGCAAGAAACATACCCAATCCAGCTCCTCCGTGCGACTCGGGCAGGGCAATTCCCAGCCACCCGTCCCTTAGCCAATGCGGCATGAAACTCTTTGGGGTCTTTTTCAAGTTGATCGCGCTCTTGCCAGTACGTGTTTGGGAATTTAGAGCAAATGTGGGAAATGGCTTCGCGAACAGTCAACTGTTCCTCTGTGAAGCCTGTCATTTCCATCAATTCACGTCGCGCCGAGGTCGAAAAGGCCGAGCGCATTGGCAGGCGATTGCGCACAGCGTTGGAGGCTTGTAGGGATGGCGAAGCTGCTGCCCAGCCCGATCGAAGTAATCGCTGCCATTGTGGTCGAGACATGATGTATAAATGTTGTTGGTTGTCGTTAATTCGCCGGTCTGCATGCTGGTCTTAAATGATGTCGACGAATTGCATGTAACCGAGCATATAGCCGACTCGGCTGTTCGGGCGCATGGCGCTTATTAAACTTAGAGCAATGGGGGAGTCAAATAGAGCATGAAGAATCAGACTGCCGACTACTGCTCTATCAGTTGTATATTTTTATTTTTTATTTCTTAAATATTCTCGCAATATGAGGGGACTCGCACTTCTTCGTGGAGCGTATCCCTTGAGGGCGTCCCTCCGCCCCGCCATTTCTTCTCTTCTCCCTCCTTCGCGTCAACATTTCAAATTCCAATATTCAACCACATCTTCAGGTGGTCACCGTGCAGCGCCTCTAGAGGGTGTGACAGTTGTGAGTTTGGAACAGGCCATTGCTGCACCATTCTGTACAAGACAGTTGGCCGATCTCGGCGCCCGTGTCATCAAGGTTGAACGACCTGGAGTTGGTGATTTTGCCCGACAATATGACACACGTGTGAATGGACAAGCTTCCCACTTCATTTGGACCAACCGATCAAAAGAGAGTTTGGCACTCGATTTAAAGAATGAAAAGGACCATTCCACGTTGATGAAGCTATTGGAGAAGGCCGATGTGCTCGTTCAGAACTTGGCTCCAGGTGCTGCTGCGCGATTAGGCCTTTCCCACGAGTCACTAAAGGGGAAACACCCTTCCCTGATTGTTTGCGACATCTCCGGGTACGGTCAAGATGGCCCATATCGCGACAAGAAGGCATACGACCTTCTGATCCAGAGTGAAGCTGGTATGTTATCTGTGACTGGTACTGGCAAGGAGCCCGCCAAGGTGGGGATCTCCATTGCGGATATCGCCGCAGGAATGTACGCCTACACCAATATCCTCTCAGCCCTGATTCAGCGCGGCAAGGACGGCCAAGGCTGCAAAATTGACATTTCCATGCTTGAGAGTATGGTCGAATGGATGGGCTTCCCTATGTATTACGCCTTTGAAGGTGCTGCTGGCCCAGTCCCCGCGGGTGCATCGCATGCCTCTATTTATCCATATGGTCCATTCGAAACTGGAGACGGGCAAACCGTCATGCTTGGCATCCAGAACGAGAGGGAGTGGGCCAACTTCTGCACCGAAGTCCTCTTTCAGCCCGATATCGTGTCAGATGAGCGATTCGCTAGTAACTCGTTACGGACACAGAACCGCGATGCTCTCAAAGCCATTATCTGTGATAGCTTTTCGAAACTCACAGCGGAAGAGACTACCGCGCGACTTGACAAGGCCTCAATTGCTAATGCCAATGTTAATGACATGCAAGGCCTTTGGAACCACGCCCAACTCAAGGCCCGCGAGCGATGGACGGAAGTCCAGACACCAGCTGGGATTGTCCCGACTCTTCTCCCGCCAGGTTCTACCAATGCGGCTGATAAGGGAGGATTTGGTGCTCAGATTGCATCAATTCCGAAGGTCGGGGAGCATAATCAAGCCATTCTGGCCGAACTAGGGCTAGAATAGTTGTCTATATTCTGATTTTGTGGCCAATAGACTTAGATAAGCTACGAAATTTGAGCTGGTTTCATGAAAGAGATAGAACCTACGCTACATTCCTCACGGCGGGCTCGAACGCCCCGGGGGGAATTGTGAGCAATTGAACTATTAATTGGTCGTACATGCCAGAATGTCACTACGTTTTAGATGGTTCTTTAGAATTTACCACTAAAGGGTGTCCCCCCATTTTGCAATCAGTCAAATGAACTGATGAGCTCTAGACTGGATAAGGGATTTTCAGAATGCCAGAACAAACTTTCCTTTTGACCTACACCAGTGCATCTTGACTACATCACCCCTTAGACGCGTTTCCATGCGAGTTGTGCTTCTCTCATTGTTGGAGGTAGAACCCGAGGTCTGCCCCCTCTTCTCGTTCCCATTCCAACTCTCCATTTCCGAGAAAAGCGAAAGGATCGGAAGTATTATATCGAATATCAAAATGCTCGCCGCAAATTTCCGAAATGGCCTCTATATTGATTTGTTAATTTCGACACATAGTAGGTAATTATGGCCCTAAGGGGTCTTAGATATTGAAATTTGGCATTACCTTTGAAATGAAGAACACTGCCCGGATGCATGGCTGTGACGGCATTTCCATTGTTATACCAGGCATTGCAACCTCCGCTCCAGACTGTATTCTTCAGAGCGCTCTGTGCACGACGGTTGTAATTACGAACAACAGAATCGGTCACCGCAGCGGATCTTCGTGATATAAATCAGCAATGGAAGCGAATGCACCTAAAGCAATCAAAACTTACTTGATGTCTTCACGGGCAATCTTCTGCACCCATTTAAGGATGTAATTGGCACTCCACGCTAGCATTTGGGGAACACTGCCATGGCCGATGGGGGAATTTGGCCCTGCGAACATAAAATAGTTTGGTGCGGCAGCGGCGCAGATGGATAAATAAGCTTCTGGTGAGGCTTTCCATTCTTTATCCAGCCGACGACTATTCCGACCAAGAAACTCCCATCGAGGGATGAACGACGTATCGAATCCAGTTGCGCAGACTATCAGATCAAGGTCTTCCTCTCCGGATGAAGCGCGGATGCCTCTCGGTGTAATTTCGTCTATCGGTTCGAAGCACACTCTGGCATTAGGCTGCTGCAGGGCTTCAAGATATCCATCACCAGGGCTCAGTCTGCGGCATCCAATATCATACTTAAGAATCAGCTTTTCCACTAGCTGCGGGTTCTCGCTCAGACGGTCTCGCATAAGCCCCTCGGTCGCGTTGGACAGAAAGCGATTCAGTTCGGAGCCAGTCTGCATTAGGCTGTACGCCTTGTTGACACTTCTCGCTGTCAGTAAACAAATAAAGAAGGTTGCCTAGGTGAGATATTGAGTCAAGCTTACGAGCACTCAATAACTTTGCGGTGTTTGAGAAATGCCTTGGGGTTGTTCTGGTAGAGAGCTTTCTCTTCTTCGGTGTACTCAAAGTTCGTACTCGTCCCGTCCCTTGTTATATCCGGACATAGGTTGACGGAGATCCATGTGGGATTGCGAATATAATTTATGATCTTGGCAGCATTCGGTTGTAGCGCTGGTACTGCTTGAACCCCCGAGGAACCATTTCCGATCACACCGATTCTCTTTCCCTTGTATTCGTAGGAGCGGTCCCAGGCACCGGTATGAAGAACCTTTCCTTCGAACCTGTTCAGGCCCTCAACATTTGGCATTGTGGGTTGGTTGAGAATTCCCGACGCATTGATAAGAATATCTGCCTCGTCATCAATCACATTGCCATTACCTTGTCTTAGCTGCAGACGCCATTTTCCGGTTTCTTCGTTCCAGATAGAACTGATCAGGCGAGTCTCAAATTGGATTGGATATCTCAATCCGTACTTTTGGACCGTATTCAGAACGTACTCCTGGATCTCCGCACCCCCAACATAGCATTTGCTCCACGAAGGATTGGGCTCAAAAGGGAAGATATAGCTGTGCGCTGGAACGTCGCAGCCAACTCCCGGATAGATGTTTTCTAGCCAAGTCCCGCCGACCTTACTATTCTTCTCGTAGATTGTGAAGTCGACAAAGTCGAGAGGTTGCTCGTGCTTCAGCTTGTAGGCCAAAATCAGACCCGAAAAGCCGGCGCCTATGCAGACGACTCGCAACTTCCGAGGTTTGAAAGCCCATTGAGAAGGGTCAATATGGATCGGCTCGCTCCGGGATGATTCATTTGATGGCATGGCGATTATTTTGCACGGTCGCTTTGTTCTTCGCTCTTCGCGGTTTGTCGACTCGAAGGGTCTGCAAAGGGATGGCGAACCCCTCATTTTTAATCTCTCCGAGACTGCGTTGAGTTTCGATGCTAGCCCACCTGGGCACTCGTGATTCTAGTACCTCACTAAGTGGGACAGTCTGAGTGCGACACAGTGCGACACAGTGCGACGAGGCTGTCATGGTCGCCAAACGGCATCGGTGTTTTAAGTGGATGACTCGTGTAGATATGGATATCATCTCGGACAATCAGCAGGGAAGACTCTTTTTTTCCAAACCTCCAAGGTTATCTGTCCTGATATCGATCGTATCCCGAACTTCTATCACACTCTGCATCTCCTGAGCAATCATATTATGCTGCGTAATGAATCTTGCATTGACGTTTTTTGGAGTTTCCAATGGCCCCAACGGATTAACTAGCGCATGTGGACTCGGAAAATGAAAAAAGAACTTGAATGATTAACGGAGGGGGACTTGGTTATTTCAATCATCCCGTTCACCAGACCGGTAGAATTTTGTACTTATCTACTCGTCTCACACGCATTCAACAAAGTTCAAGTTGTTGTGTTGGACAGTATGTATTCTGTTTTAGGAGCACTCAAGTATATCCAAGAGCACGTAGCAGTGTCCATGGAGCAGAGGCTGCCATGTGCACTAGCTCTTTCTTCTCATTCTCGGCTCTGCTCAAGCCTCCCACGATGTCGAAGAAGTTATTTAAGCACAGGAAGCCGTCAAATTTAACAAACTCGAGCTGTTTATTATGGGTTATGGCTTACGCGGGTGGCATCAATTTAGGCATCCACAGCCTAGACCTGTATCTAGGAGCTTTGGTCTCTTTTTTTTCTTCTCCTCGGGCTAATACTTTTCTCAGATATTGACCTGCAAGTATCATCATCCCCTTCAATATAAGCGAACACAGTTCTCTCCATAACAACCTCACTACCCTTCGGCAGAGGCCCAACACGATCAAGTCTCTCCACCGCCCACGAACAACCAGCCCGAAGTTGACTAGAATTATCTCGAACATCAAGCAAAGCAGAGTCACCAGGTATTTGAATCGAGTCCAATGGCTAATTCGTTAAATCACTCCAAATCTGATCCAAAACCAAGAATTAGAAGCCTGTTTTTGGGATGGCTCAAATGACTTCTAGCTCAAAGAGCGGTCAATCCTGCCAATGGCATTATTGGATCACAATCTGTTGATAGCCCCTTGCACTTCTATGAGCCTATTTCCTTTTAAATTTTCAGCCGAAGTAATTCTACTTGATTTGAAGATACAGGTAACCTTGATTGGTGACAGCAGATGGTAAAGGACTATCGAGCCGGGCCTCACCAGAGGTTTGGGCCCAGCCCCCAGAGCAAGCAATCGCCTTCCGGAAAACTTCCTCATCTTGATGGTTCTCGTTATGTGGTAACTGGGATTTCAACCAGAATTACAAGTGGGAGAGACAGATGTCGCCCAGTACGGAAACAGGGCTCAGCCTTGAAGGTACCTATATTATTCCACACTCATCCGTACTCTGACAAACGATATCCGATGTATTGAAAATTCTTACAGTTCGGACACCTGCTACGGCATGCTACCGTGAGTAATACGGGTTGCCGCCGCACGGGATAGTACTTGTGTCCCGGGTGACCCGATCACCCTGGTGACATTAATACCATTAGAGTCGCATGAAGCCGATTGGCGCTGAAGGCCCAATTTAGCAATGGCCTCGCAGGCAGGTCTGCGATACCGTGTGCCCATGACTTGTCTGTTCGTTGTCTTGTGCCTCTTTGACGGAAAGAACTGACACCAGTACCACATTTGGACTAATTCGTGACCAGGTGCGCCCGTGAGGCCTTGGAAACAATCTCGCACACTGGCCAGGCCTAGGTATTTCATCAATGCGCAAGTGGACAGAACCCTGTATTGATCACGACGGAGGGCATTCTTGTTTTCACCTCGAAACGTATGCCGAGAAGCAAACTCCCATCCCACGAAGTGGATTGGACCACCAGGTTCACCGTCGGGCCAATTGCCCATAACTACTTTGTAACACCTAGCATTGGCTATTAATTTCGAGCCTGCCATGCCAAGGGTGGCAATATGCTGGAGGTTTTAGGAAAATGCTCGTATTTACCACAATATCCTTTCGGAAGGTGACCGAGGACCAAAAAGTGAAAGGTCTTGAAGCCTTCAATCCATACATACTCGGGGACTCTATACATAACTTGAAGCTCATAGATTGCAATTATCTCACCTGTTGATATATTATAATAGTCCTAGTAGCTGAAGGTCTAAATTTGGCCGCAGGCAATGGGGCCAGAAAGTATAGCCGAGGAAATCCCGAATGACCTCTTCCCAACGGCCCGATGGCCATTCAACGATCCTTCAATGCAAAATTTCGTGATCGGATCGTTGTTTATTCGGCATGGCGCTTAATTAAATGCTGAAATCGGAGTTTGCAAGACGAATAGGGGCTCATGTATTGACCTCTGATGAGATCTTAGACCTTATTTCGCCGAAAATCCCCAATGATATCGCAGCTATTGACAACAAACCCACACAACAATCCTTCCCAATGACCGAAAACCGGCAGATTGCACGAAAAGCATCAAGAATCATACGAGTCCGAGGTCTCTCATTTCCGTTGTCGCAAGAATTGGCATCTGGGCTTGAATGAACAGAAGCCGACCAATATGGCGTTTGTACCCAATCGAATAGCACACCCACAGCCGCGATAGTCTTGGAACCTCAGCCGTCCCCGCCCGCCAAGCGCCAAATTCTTCCTCTCAACATCAAAGCGTGTCTCGGCAGTCTTTTCGTGTTGCTATAACCAAGCTCCGACAACTCTTGGCCGAAAGCTAAATTCCTCTCGGCCATGCCTTTGCGGGATTTTTCGGTCAACTTCCGCGTTCTTTTCATAGCGATGCACGGGGGATGCATCGGAATGACAGGGTTGTGTAGTATGGAGATGGATGAATCTGGGGGTGGGTGTGTTCGAGACTATCTGGCTGTCATGCCAGCATCAGATGCACCCCGCCCCCGGATTTACCCATTATAAATATTGCGTTCTCCATCTGCCCCAGATTTTCCCCGGAAATTTAAAGCTATAGCCAACTCGATCAACACTGCTCTTGCCGATTTCGACTCCCTGCACGAAAACCTGCTGTCTTTCCTTTGGAAACGTCCATCATGGCCGGGGCCAAGAAACCAGTCAATATCTTTCGACTGAAAAATAGTGGCGAGCCGAGTCAAATCTTCAACTGGAGACTATGGTTTGCTGTTATTTCGTTCGGTCTTATGGGTGCCGCCCGAGGTGTCGATGAAGGCTTGATATCGGGCGCGTTCAACTCAAAGGATTTTCAAAAATATATCAACTACGACTCGTACAGTGAAGTGGAACAGACAAACATCAAAGGAGATGTTACTGCCATGGTGCAGATCGGTTCTGTGGGCGGGGCTCTTTTGTATGTCGGGCCTCCACGCCATCGAATCAGCTTTTGAGATTTGCTAACTCGATGTAACCATGTAGTGCATTCTTAGTTTGCGACCGCATTGGCCGTATCTGGGCGACTCGTCAACTTTGTGTTCTTTGGATTATTGGAATTGCCATCTTCATGGGAAATGGAGGTAGTTTGGGCGCTGTTTACGCCGGGCGTTTTATTGCCGGACTGGGTGTTGGTCAGACTGTTGTCGTGGGCCCAGTATATCTCGCTGAAATTGTATGTTATTTCTCTTTCATTGATCTCGTGGACGCGAAACTAACCTTCTCTACAGGCACCTGCTTCCGTTCGAGGTCTTTGTACTTGCGTGTTCACTGGCTTCGTCTACCTCGGTATCGTACTCGCCTACTTTGCCAACTATGGCTGTGAGCTAAATATCGGCGACACAACTCATAACCGATGGGTATGTGAAGAAAAGGCTCCAGCACGTTGACCCATTAATGCTGACAGTACTAAGCTTGTCCCCACGAGCATCCACATCATGTTCGCAGGAATCATCTTCATCCTCTCATTCTTCCAACACGAATCCCCTCGTTATCTTGTTAAACGAGGTCAACACGAAAAGGCGATCGAAAACCTCTCAAAGCTTCGTGGTCTCAACCCAGAGCATGAGTACGTTGTTAGCGAATTTACTGCTATCCAAGCAACCCATGAAGCCGAGCTCGAAGCTACCATGGGATCCGGCGCGATTGGTGTCATTAAAGAGGCTTTCTGCGTCCCATCGAACCTCTACCGGGTCTACTTGACATTTATGGCACAAATCCTGTCCCAGTGGTCTGGTGCTGGTAGTATTACTGTTTACGCACCGGACTTGTTCAAATTGCTCGGTATTACTGGCAGCAACGAGAGTCTTCTCGTCAGTGCGATTTTCGGAATTGTTAAATTAGTGGCCGCTATTGCCTGTACCTTGTTCCTGGTCGATGTCATCGGACGCAAACGTGCTCTTCTTATCGGCATTACGCTTCAAGCCATCTCAATGGTGTACATTGCTGGCTTTTTGAGCGCAGTTCCTGAAATGGGTGTCGTCGATGGCTTCGAGCTACCAGAAAATAAAAAGGGCGCTAGTGAAGGTGCTATTGCAATGATCTATCTCTCAGGCTTTGGATGGGCCTTAGGATGGAACTCCATGCAGTATCTTCTGACTGCAGAGTTGTTCCCACTGCGAATTCGTGCCCTTTGCACTTCTATGGCAATGACTTTGCATTTTGCTAACCAATATGGCAACGCACGCGCAGTGCCTAATATGCTTTTACCTGTTGCACGGGGAGGAATTGATCCCAAGGGTACTTTCTGGTGCTTTGCTGCTATTACTATCATCGGTGGCATTTGGGTTTGGTTTAGTATCCCCGAAACGGCCGGTCGCTCATTGGAGAGTATGGATCGCCTTTTTGCCCTGCCGTGGTACAAGATTGGACTATACGGAAACAAGGATGCTGATGAGCGTGATCAATTTGTCGAGGACAAGATGGAGATGGTCGGTCAATCCCAAGGGACGGCCGAACATTCTGAGCGAGTCGATAAAGTCGATCCTTCGGGCCGCGTGTGATGGACCGGCTATTCTACTACTAGTTAGTAGTAACTACTAGGTAGTACAGGTATTTGTTGATCGTCATCGGCCTTCTGGAGAGGGAAATGGTGCTCAGAGCCTGGGCGGTATTGGTGTCTAGCTGGAGAACCTTGAGCCTATGAGACATGCTAGTGATTGCTACGAGTTCTTATAGCTGCATACATACTTCAGTACTATGAAATGACATTTTTAATTCAAGTCATCAGGAATTGTGCCCGTAAACCATTCACATGCAACTAAAATGCGGCTATATACATCCAAATATTTTCCAACCGATCTATATGAAATCCAACGCTAACCCTACACCAGAAACAGGGCTTATCGTAAATTAAACAAAACAAAACCTAAGATGGGACAGACCTCAGAGCTCGACAAACTCATGACGAAGCAGCTTATCCTTCTTAACCTGGCTTAAGTAGCCGGAAACCTTGGTGGTCAAGGTATCAATCTCGTAGCCAAAGTACTTATAAGCTGCCTTCCCGGGGAGACTGTGGCCAAAACGCTTTACACAGATACCAGCATCTGCGTAGCGCTCCCATCCGTTGGGTGCATAGGGCTCGATCACAACGGCAGGGATGCCACGGTCACGGCGGAGAACATCACGCTTGTACTCGAGCGACTGTTTCTCGAACAGACGTTGGCAGGGGAAACTGATAACACGGCTAGCGATACCCTGGGCCTTCAGCTTCTCAGCCACTTCCAAAGCAAATGAAAGCTCAGCGCCAACGCCGATCAGAGTAACAACGGCCGACTCATCCTCTGAGAGAACATACGCACCATGGGCCACTCCGTCGCGTCGTGTTTGGGGGAGTTGAGGGAGAGTCTGGCGTGATGTGGAGATAATAGTCGGGGTCTTCTTCGCTTCGATAGCGGCGGTCCATGCACCAGCGGTTTCCTCGCTGTCACCGGGGCGGATGTACAAGATGTTAGGCATAGCGCGGTACAGAGCAGCAAGTTCAATAGGCTGATGAGTCGGACCATCCTCACCCATGCCAATAGAGTCGTGAGTGGCGACATGGATGATCTGCAGGTGCTGCAGGGCGCCCATCCGGACGGCGGGGGCGGCATAGAGGTAGAACATGAAGAATGAAGAGGTGACCGGGATAATTGTATTCGGGGAAAATGCAGCCAGACCGTTGGAGATGGCAGCCATGGCGTGCTCACGGACACCATAGTGAATATAGCGACCGGAATAGTTTCCGTTAATGCCGCAGGTAGTACGCAAGTCGGGCTATTCTATTGTCAGTCATATGCCAAATCATGTGAGAGTCAGGTTTCAAGCTTACGTGCTGGAAGTCAACCTTGCCGGGCCATATCATGTTGACTGATGGGGACAGATCGGCTGTACCGACCATGAAGTTCTTGCACTCCTTGGCGATCGGGTTAAAGACTAAACCGCTGGAGGCGCGAGAGGCAGTTGGCTTCTCGGGGAAAGAGGTGGGAATGTGTTGCTTCCAGTCAGCCGGCAGCTCACCTCGCACACGAGCCTGGAATTCCGCTCCGAGCTCCGGGTTCTGAGCTGTATAATTATTCACAAGCTGGTTCCACTCCTGCACATGTTGCTCTCCGCGAGCAGGGAGATCCTGGAAGAACTGGCGAACAACATCACCAATGATGAAGTGCTCCTCGGGGTTAAAACCGTAAAGCGTCTTCATTTCAGCAACATTGTTAATTCCGAAGGCGGCACCGTGGGCAGTTGCAGTACCAGCGACTGCACTGTCGAGACCAATGACGGTGCGAACATTAATGAAAGTAGGCTTCTCCTTGGAGGCCCGAGCCTGCTCCAAAGCACGGACAATTGCCTCGATATCGAAACAACCATCCTGGACATCAATCACGTCCCATCCACAGGCACGCATTTTGGCATTGACATCCTCGGTGTTGGTAAGGTCCACGGATCCATCGCAAGTGATTTGGTTGTTGTCGTAAATGACAGTAAGATTGTTAAGACGGAAATGACCAGCGAGAGAGATCGCCTCGAGACCGACACCCTCTTGTAGACAGGCATCTCCGATCATACACCAGGTGTGGTTGTTAACGACGTCAAATCCAGGGCGGTTGTAGGTGGCAGCCAAGTTCTTGGTGGCCATAGCCATACCCACTGCGTTCGCGATACCCTGGCCCAATGGACCCGTGGTCACCTCCACACCTTCGTGTTCAATCTCGGGGTGGCCAGGGCAGAGCGCATCCACTCTATCGGAGTGATATGACTTGAGTTGGTCAAAAGTCATAGCCTTGTAGCCGGTTAGGTGGAGGAAGCTGTACTGGAATAGACATGTGTGGCCTTTGGAGACGATTGTCAATATAATGAGTTTCGCTAGGCGAGTTCGAGTATCAGGGCGCTTTCACGTACCATTGGATAGAACAAACCGATCACGGTTGAAGAAGTCCGGGGAGTGTGGAGCGTAGCGCATCACGTACTTCCACAGCGAAACACCAATCGCAGCCATGCCAATGGCGCCACTATAGTAGCATGGTTAGAATGCAGTCTTTATTTTTTTGCAAAATGATAACATGAACCTACCCAGGGTGACCGCCGCTGAACTGTTGACACAGGTCGGCAATGAGCAGACGGAAAGTCTTGAGGACCAAGTCATGGTCACCAGACAGCTTCTGCACCAATGGGAGGGCAGAGGGCACAGCCTTCTGGACTCCGTTGGTTTGTGTCATGGTGGGGTGAAGAGAAGAAGAGAAGTGAAGTGAAGATGAAGACGAAGTTGAAGATTTCCCCAAGAAATTCCCCCGCCTCGCACCTTCCTTCTCTTTCCTTTTAAAACCTGGGGAGCTCGGGAGCTCGCGCCTTCCCAACTGGGCTGCATCGACAAAGATAGCCCGATTAGGAAAGAATGAATGAGTTCCCACTAAACAGGCAGCCGCACCCACTGCTGATGTAATCCGTACCAATTCCCCCGCATCCCAATTAGGAAGCGGCAACCACCCCAGCATTGCCTCCGCTCGGCCCGAAAATTGCTCGCCGAGTGCCTTCCGAGTCAAGGGCTATTTCTACCCTTTCTGGTATTTTAAAACTAGTACAGTAGTACCTTGTACCCCCACAGTTAAAGCAGTTAAACAAAATGATGCGCATTGCGGGTATCAAATTGATCATAATCACATCCTGAGCACCACGATTAGTATGTCAGTCTTCGTCGTAAGGATCCCATGACATGTACGGAGGGGAGCGAGTCCAGCTCGCTAGTAGGTACCTGATATATATTTTGATGCGGATCCGATCATCAAAATTATTACTACTAACCCCCGCCTGCCAGCCCCGGAGTCGAGTACTAGCACTACTAGTACTACTAGTAATGACTTCAAATTGAAGTTTGAGCTCATTGAAGTCCTAGGGTTCACCTGGGCACCTGGGCAATCAAGTTGAACTTGAAGACGCCGATGGCTTCTCCCCGGTCCACCCTTCCGGTCGGAACATCACCCGACGGGATCTCCCCAACTCCATTTGTCTTGATATATCTTCTCCTTAGCTCATCTGATCGAACAGAAATTCATTTCTAATTTTCATCTGCCTTAATTAACAGCTGACAGTCTTGGAAATTCAATCATGCAAGCCACCATTAATTCCAATGACAGTTCGGCACCGCCGGTAACTAGCGACTTCCGCTTATCGCAGCGAGGCGCGACCAACTTTGCCCATCGAGATGTTTGGGGGCCCCGAGAAAAGACCATGGGAAACCCGTGGTCACCAAATAATCCGAATGGAATGTATGTTCTCTTTACACCCTTTGGATGCACCCAGTGAATTCATCACCAACAACACGGCGCGTCAGGATTATTCTTCGTCTAGCCGAGAACAGTCTCATGCACAAGGAGGTTGGCGAATTTATTCGTACTCAGGTCGGTCATTCAGCTTTGAACAATCAATATTTAATCACTCACGAAGATATCCACAGATGACAGTGTCTCCTGTTGAGCACTTGACTTATAGTACAGGTCCGCGTGGTTCTCGTCGTCTTCGACATGCTGCAGCTGAGCTGTTGAACCATCAGTTTGGTTCACGCTCCACAATCACTTATGATAACATAATAGTTACCCCAGGATGTGCGAGTGCTATTGATGCACTCGCATTTTCCATCTGTGATGAGGGTGAGGGGGTCCTGATTCCTCAGCCTTTGTACAATGGTTTCAATTTCGATCTTTTGAACAGGAGTAATGTCCATGTCGTCGGTGTCAAGTATGAGGGTGTTGAAGGGTACACCGGAATTAATGACCTTTTTCAGCCAGAGGTCAATAAGGTTGCCTTGAAGGCTGCTCTTTCTGGGCGAGGCAGGATGGTATTACGATCCGCGCACTTCTTGTTTCCAAGTGGGTCGCTTCTGATGCTCTGCATGCTCTCTAGCACTAATACACCACCTAGTCCTCATAATCCCCTTGGGAGATGCTATGTACGATAGATGCTTTGCTTGTCCACAGCCTCACATACTGATCAACACGACATAGCCCCCCCGAAACTTTAAAAGAATTTGCTGCTTTCTGTGGTGACAACAATTTGCACTTCATTTCCGACGAGATATATGCCTTCTCTGTGTTCTCGAACCCTGCAATTCCAGCGGCAACTTCGTTTACTTCTGTCCTCAGTTTGGACTTGGACAATATCATCGACCCAACTCGCATGCATGTCCTATATGGTGCGAGCAAAGACTTCTGTGCCAATGGATTGCGGATGGGATTCGTCTGCTCAAAAAACGAGGGTATTATAGGGTCGATGTCTAGTATTGGGTAGGTGCTTTCAGTTTATCAATTACGATGGCTTGCTTATTCGTGCCTCAACTAGGATATTTTCCTGGTCACCGCATGTCCTACAGGATGCTTGGGCTGCTATGTTGGAAGACCAGTTGTGGTTGGACAGATTCATGACGCAAAAAAAGGCTCGCATGCTAAATAGATACCAGACAATCAGTGGCTTTCTATCTCAGCACGGTATTCCATATTTTGATATGTATGTAGGAGGTATACAGTTGCTTGTGGCATAAACTGATCATTCATCAGGAATGCAGGACTATTCCTCTGGGTCGACCTTCGGCACTTGCTTGGGTCTAAATCGTCTGTTCGGCATTCGGACTATGGTCCTTTGAAAGCCACGTCCCCAGATGCCCATTCTAACCTCAAACTCGAGCAGGATATAGCAGATATTTGCATGAAAAACGGGGTCATGATCGCCCCCGGCCACGTATATATGGCGGAGGAATATGGTTGGTTTCGAATCACGTTCACCGTGGGAGAGGGCGCATTGGAAGAAGGGCTGAAGCGTTTTCTGAAATCCGTCGAAGAGATGGAATCAAGAAGCGAGGACTGGAAAAAGAGCTGATCGCGTTATAAATTCGCCACGTCGTTTGAAACTACATGCAGCAATACAGACAAAATAATGTTGCCCAACCGAGGGTTTCCTATTTGGGCTACCGCTGCTTTTATGAGGGCGCTCAGGCTCAGGCTTAGTAGCTACGAGTAGATGTCAACATGGGTATAGTGCGATAGTAATAGGAATTTTGAATCTCTCGTAAAGTGCTACCTCGGCGCCAAATGTAATCAATGTTACTTCTGGAGTGGCACTGTTCGAAACTGGCATCTGCGAGAATGACACCGTTCTAATCGACAGAGCCTTTGGCGCTACAGTCCATTGGGATCGATTTCGCAAAGTCAACGCCCGACGGGCAAGCTCAGCCAGGCGAATTTTCACCCAGATTCTACTTCATGGAGCCCCGTTCTTTCTCATCGTGGGTGTAATAATGTGGAGAACGACTCTAGATGCTATCGGTGTACTCAAGACTCTAGATACGGATCTCTCGGGTATCTCACCATTGAAAAAGCCATTGCAGTCGCCGCCGACGATAAAATCGGCACACATGTCCAGAATGAAGTCCCCGGCATTGAAACGTTGCATAAGCTCCATGCTCTTCTTTCGTGGTCGCGATTCTTCGAAGCCGTTGCCCTTATACTTATGATCGTTGCGCTGGCAACCTTTCTTCTTTCACCATATCTTACTCGCCTCTTATATCGTGGGAAGTTCTGTAAGTTGGCGGGCCAAATCTGTCATTTTCTCTTAAAAACTTACCAATTTTCAACTAGGGGGCTCCCAAGCCTGGCTTTTTGGATTTGAAGGATACGCAGATTTGGAGACAATCGAGTCTCAAATATTCGGTGCCCGAATGCGTCGACTCCGCTGGAGCCCATATGGTTCCTCCCTATCCCGACACGACAAGAATGATTCGCATGAGTGTGTAGGACAAGACCCAATTAAGGACCCGATAATTCGGACAAAAATTGAGCAAGCGGCGAGGAACGAAGCCTCTAATGGGATGAGAATCTTCACACTGGTAGATACTAATACGATGACCGTTACTCTATTCGAAGCAGCCCGACCGCCGAGTGTGCTTCTTTTGTGTGCAGTGGAGGTGGGTATGCAACGGGCTATTGCATGCTCATACCAATGGATGACGGGGACCTGCTACCGGGAAACAGTCCTTCGTCTGGAAACGCCTGTGCTGGAGAAGATGTCTCGAGTCTCTCGGGTCAAATTGGGGGCTTTTAGGAAACAGGAAAGCTTCCGCTGAGCTTGCTATAGTCATACTGTATTAGGTTTCTTTGTTTTACAGTTGCAGCTTCTAAATCTATGTCTATCTGCTTTATTTATATTAATTATGGAACGACGTGCCTTTCAACTCACTTAGGATTTTTTTTTGTACCATATTCATTAGAGCTACATACACGGGCCGCCAATTCAGCTAATTTGTAAACGTCAAATTTCGGGGTCTGAGACTGAGAGTTTCAAGCCGGAAAATGGACCAAATTTGCCATTCGGCAAAAACGTGAGCACGCACAGTTTTAGATCCGTACGCTTCTACTTTTGCCCCGCCAGAGATAGGGTCATATTCTCAGCCTAGTAATTACAGTTATGTGACCATGGCCAGATTCTGACGGATACATTTCCCGGGCTTCTTAAAGTGATCGAGGCATTAGTAAAGCCGGGTTGACAGATCCCCTTATAGGGAAAGGTCTTCAAAGACAGCCAGTATGGTAGCAGTAGAGTTTAGCGATGACACTTGTTGTGATCCAGACCTTGAATTGATGGAGCTGCGAAAGAGGGGCTTACAAGTACGAAGGGAAATCGGATCAACAGAAGCGAGTGTTAATCGCGAATTAATCCCCAACATCCTTGCTCGATTTGGCAGGGATCTCAATAAATGGCGGAGAGTGCAATGGACAAAATTGTTCAAGTAAATTTTGATTGCGAAGGAGAAACTTAGTGGCAACTTCACGACGCTAATTGTACAATAGTTGAGCTAGTATGTTGGATTTTATTGAGCCTATTTATTTAGTCTGCCATAGGATGAAGTAGCTTGATAAGCAATCAAGGATTGAAAAAGTCAGGGTCAATGATCAGATCAGGGTGCTTAAGTCAGGTTCGGTGAGTGGTCAATCTGATTTCATAATTATCACTGGTTACAGCAGCTTAGGCTGGGCCAAGAACGTCCTCAATTCTACTCAGGGAGCAAAAGGGGCGAGGGGGTGAGCACTAGAACGGAAGGAGAGCGCCAGGCGTTGCCAGACATTATCCGATATGTATGCATCGGCGCATATTCTTTTCGAAATAGAAGATGGGCTCTTGGATCCTTATATACATGCACCTGGGTATCACGGCTCAGCAATTAGTCACAGGTCGTTGGCACTACTCGTGTCTATTTCTGCATAGAGAATGTCATGTCTGACACCATGACGGCGATTAGAGCAGCCTATGATGTGTTATTATTTACTGGTTTACAAAGTCGGATGAAAGGCATGACAAAGGAACTTACCAACGATAGATCAAAATTTTCAGCCACGATCACATCCAGCGTTAATCGTTTGTACAGCTCCGTCTGTGCTGGTACGCTTCTGATAAACCGACCAGTTGGGTCCTGACGCTTGTTTCTGTCGACGCTTTCTCGAATATGGACAACAATCCTGTCACCCAGCGAGACTATCCAGTTACAAAATAATGCATTCGAGGACCGAATATGCAGCGTGACCATTGCCTCAGCTTCCCCCTTCACATCTCGGGCTGCGGCATTGCGAAATGTCATGTCAAACCTATTGACCCAATAGGCATTCGTTCTCCGGGTATTTGCGATTTCTGAGGCTTTATCTCCGGCTTTGCTACTGCCATTGCTACCTGGTAATCGAATAATCCAGGGTCCCCGCTTGCGCCACGCGGGTGCCCAGATCTTTTCACATTCGAATAATGGAAGCCCTGAAGCGTCACGGATATCTCTCACGCCCTTTTTATCGTACTTGGGGCCACTGGCGGTAATGAGTGTTGTGTCGTCGCTATCAAACTTGACAACATACTCATCGATGGCCTTCGCGTCGTACCGCGGTTGGAGATACAGCCGACGCTCGAACTCGCTGATGTGCTCCGGTCGCAATGCTACCTCGAATGGAGCAGATTCGATTTTCCGATTAAAAGCCATAGTAATTAAGTGAAGGAACTGGCGAGGAACCACTAGATAGTATTCTGGAGCCTGGCGGGATTGCTCTTGTACATGGTAGAACTAAATTAATTTCAGGACAATTACGAGGAAATGGGGCGAAGTTCACAGGAAGAGGGCCTTCGGCCCTATGTATGTGAAGATCGGGGGCCAAATGAGATAAAACCAGGCCACGAGACACAATACTAGCCCCACATTAAACTTCTCAGGTCAAATCGGGTCGATTTGATTCATTTTGCCGGAAGGGTTTACTCGAAGATACTAGTAGTGACGTCAGATAATTGACATGAGAACAAAGTATTGGTGTTGCTTGAATAGAACTTGAAATCCAAAAATAATAAAAAACTCAAGATTATCTCCTGCCAAATTTTAATAAGAAATAAAATAAAAAAAATACAATGAATGTATGACAGACGAGAGACAGGCTAGAGAATATCGAAAAATGAAAATAGTCAAGAGAGAAAGCATTGGTACAGATCGAAAATCAAAAGACGTGAGAGGTCAGGTCGAAAACCAGAGATAATTTTTTAAGGAATGGCCATTCCTGCTGGTTTCTGGTAGCCAACAAGCTCAGGTCGAGATCGAAGCTCTGCCTCCTTCTCCTCTTGAATGAGAGCACAGCAGCCGCAGAATGTCGACACGCAGCAATCACCACAACAAGAGCCCTCAATGCCATATTGTTGCCGCATCTCACCACGAGTGATGGTTTGCATGATCCACTGCACGGCACCGAAGCTGAGGAAACTCCATATGGCGCACTGTCAAGCAAGGTTAGCTTCATAATGTTACTAAATTTTATTGAAAGCTTACGGAGCCGTTGACATAGCTAAAGTTTTGTAGCTTTGGATCTGTGATTCTCGCTTGTGTTTTGCCATATGTAAGGCAAGGTAGACAGCAGCTTGTGAGACCTGGATCTTGTTAGACCGGCGCACTTGGGGTTCATGGGCCCGTAGAGACTCACAGAGTGTCCCTGGGGAACAACAGTCGAAAAGAGAATAGTTCCATTTCCGACTTTGCGTGATATTGGACGAGCCTGAGCACGCTTGGTGGTATGTGGGAGGGTCACTCGGCCAAGCCCTATATACCTTCTGCGTTTGATCGGCCATTTGGTAGTGAATTCCTGACGAACAGTAGTGCGTAACTCGGCCTCGGTCTCGATCCCAGGAATTTGGAGAAGTAGAAATGCGAGGGGAGAATGCTTCCAGGCTTTTCCATCTTATTATATATTGAGGGCAATCAGCTATTTAGAAATAATTCATTAGCGGTCAGAAGAGAGAATCCGAATTTCTTGGATCATAGTACAGAATCTCCATTAGGAAGGGCGTATTCGTTTGATTGCGGTCAATCATTCCCAGCAAAGACCTCGAAGTGGGGATGTTGTGAGGCTGTCTCCACTTGCTCTGCTCCGAGGCCCACAAATAGCTCCAGAGCGCCTTCCATTGATGACTCGTGTGTTTGCTTATTTGCTTGTCTAACCATAAGGGTAAATTTCGGGGTGTTTGCCACTCTTTTTTTTTTAATAAAAAGGGGTCTGGTGGAGAAGGTTTAAGAAAGAAACCCAGTTTCGGGTGAACTTCATGTTTCGGTGAAATCGCCGTATAATCTACTTCATGTGCCAACTATGCAGGCTTTGAACAGCTGTTGTTTCATTCAAATGCTGATTATGTTGAATAGCTGCCACGACCGAATTATAAATAATACATAATATGACCACTGTCCACCAATCTCCAACGCTTCTGGAAGTTCAAGCTCCTTCTCCATAATTGACTTGTCTCTGTAACTGGGCTCAGAATACACATTGAAGGCCACGGTGCTTGTGGACTTTCATTATTGGCGCATTAGACTCATTGAAGCTATTTTGTGTTCTGCTTTGTGCATGTCCTCATATGATACTTTGACCTTTCCGATGGTATAAAGCTAATTCGACTGGGGAGATCCAGTCGATCTAAGTCTATCGAGAGGCCATTCCAGATATGATAGATGAGGCTGCTCCAAATAACGCGCGCTTCCCTGCACGATATGCAAGGGCCACCCTCGAATAAACCAAACGAAGTCAAGCTCCTTCAACAGTACTGCAAAATAGGAGAACAGTAATAGTGCAACCGGTTGTTTTTGTTGCATTTCATGGACAAAGGCATCGGGAAGCAAATATAGCCAACTGAATATCTGAGGCCATAACTCTGAATTTTCAATAGATGCAGGGCCGCCATGTATAGAATTATAGCGTGATTGAAGCAAGTCAAACACATCGAGGTAGGTGGAATGACGAGGGTGGGATGACGGGAATGTGTCCAATATGAAAACTTTCAGCGAATTCAGTGGTTCCGAATAATGCTTTGTGGAACATCCCTTGTACTCTGTTGAAACACTCGGTGAAGAATTAGGAACCGGTACCAATTCTTCCTGCGAAGATCGGGATGTTCCTGGCCCTTCATGAGGATGCACCTCCGAGATATTCGTTGAGATTCCCAGGTTATTACTGGCCTCTCGGATTGATCGCATACCCGTAAAAAGGCAAAGTCCTGGTGTATCGTCGTCGTCGCGAAAAGCCAAATACTCCCTAGGTTGAGGACCTCGAGCAAGGGAACAGATGAAAATAAACACAGACGCCACATAGAGTATGTGGCAGTTATCTTGGTGTAAATGAGGGTCTGTCGCCGCAACCTCGGTAACAGCAATGCTTAAATGTCGTTCAGCCTCAACTAAATAGTCCAAATCGGGCAGCAGAAGGAGGTGCACACCATATTGTGGTGACATTCGCTTGAGATGAAAACCCGAGACCGCCAGCAGCAAATGCAACACATAATGGACCGAAAAGCCAAGGCGAAGAAGCTGATCTGGTATATAAGGTCTGAGATCATCTGACGAAAGACAGTGATGAAATAAAACCATATCAGTTGCCGTGAACTTGAATGGGGGTCTCGCCATGGCGGTTTCTGGGTGGGTGGACGGAGATTGCTGCATCAAAGATGACGTTGCAGTAGCCCCACCATGAGCTCTCCTAGGAACAGTAAAGCCGGAAGTGGATGCAGAGATGAAAGTATATCCATTGACATCTATATGTTGTTCGCTCGAACCAGGTGCCACGGTATTCCTTGGTGTTGAGGGCGTGGAACTAGCACGCTGAGTGACTGAGCCATAGTTGCATTTGATAAAATGGCGGATACAATTGGTGCATTCCGGCTCAGCCTCGTCACACTAGAAGAAAATGGCCAAATAAGCGTCAAGTCCAGCCGTAATCCGTAATACGATGCCAATGCCATTAGTGACCAACCTTGATGCGCCGTTTCTTACAATTCGCACACCCGCGGCGGGATTTGGTATGAGATCGACGAGATCTCGTTTTGGCGTATATGCTTGTCTTGAAGTCCATATTGATTCAGAGAAAGCAAGGAAATATTCGAGAAAGACTGATCTCAAAATATGAAAATCTCCGGCTCGTGGCAAGGGGCAAGGGACCAGGGGTTCAAGTCTGATATCTCCAAAAAATCCCCGACCATTGATGGGTATAATGAAATTTGCATCTCGGTGCCTACTAGAAGTCATATACCATACAGGGAGTAGTATAATACTGATAATAGAGTAGTTCTAGTATAGTATAGTATAGATCTTTCAACCACTTAAGGTTTCCCTGCGTTGCAACCATAGTCAACTCGAAGTACTTAGGGAGTATACTAGTACTATAATTGTGCTAGTTATATATAGTACTACTCATACTATCATGATACTACTAGTACTAGTATGCTACAATATCACTCGCTTGGACATACTACGTTAGTAATGATCGTATATACTACTAGTACTAGTATAGTTACTCTACCTAGGTATGTACTAACTAACTCAGGCTGCCGCGGCAGTCTCGGCGACCTCCGCGGAACTTCACTTGCTTTTTCCCCGCCAAATCACGGGTTTCTTTCCACTCCGTCTTCACCCCTCCACATTCCTCCAGTCCTCCGGTCCTCCAATCCTCCTTGGATTCTCCAACTCGATGACCCCCATCGAGGATACCTGCACCTCCTTGCGGGCGCAGATCTCCGCCACAGAAGCCCACCTCGCCGGGCTCAAGCGCGACCTCGCCGACGCCGAGAAAGTCGCGCTGAGCACGCGCCCCACCAGCGATCATGAGAATGCGCCCAATGGCACTGACACCGACACCGGTCGGTGGCCACTACTCAAGGAGGAATATAAGCGATATGGTCGGCAGATGATTGTATCTCAGCTTGGTCTGGAAGGTGAGAGACGGAGACGCGCTGCCCAGTGGATGGTGACGGATGACTGACACTGCGCTTCTGTAAACAGGTCAACTCAAACTGCGATCTGCGAGGGTTCTCCTCGTGGGAGCTGGTGGTTTGGGATGTCCTGCTGCCCAATACCTCGCTGGTGCAGGCGTGGGCACCATCGGCCTGATTGACGGCGACACCGTCGAGAGTTCGAATCTTCATCGCCAGGTGCTTCACCGGACGAAGAATGTCGGGAAGTACAAGGTGGATAGCGCCATTGAGGCACTGAGGGAGTGAGTGGGCAACCATTTTCCTGGTCGCATATCCCACGCCATACACCATATCTTCTAACACTTCTACTCTGCAATAGCCTCAACCCCCATCCGACGTACATCCCTCATCGAACACACCTCACCCCCGAAGACGCCCCTGCGATCTTTGCCAACTATGACTACATTCTCGATTGCACCGATAATCCGGCGACGCGATACCTGATCTCCGACACGGCCGTGCTACTCGGCAAGACGTTGGTGTCTGCATCTGCGTTAAGAACCGAGGGCCAGTTGATGGTACTGAACAACCCGCCTCGACCACCAGGAGATCCAGAAGGAGGCCCATGTTATCGATGTGTCTTCCCTAAGCCACCGCCAGCGGACAGTGTTGTCAGCTGTGCAGACGGGGGAATATTAGGACCCGTGGTCGGTACAATGGGAGTTCTACAAGCGTTGGAAGCCATCAAGGTGATCACGGCGCCATCCCCAGATAGCTCGAGCTCGACACCAAAACGCGAATCGCCGTCGCTCCTGATCTTCTCCACATACTCCAATCCTCAATTCCGCTCTATTCGCTTGCGCGCCCGCCGGGCCAACTGTGCTGTCTGCTCGGGCGATGCCTCGGTGACCTTGGACACGATCAAATCCGGATCCACCGACTATGTGTTTTTCTGTGGCTCAGCGACTCTTCCATCTTTGCTGGCGCCCAGTGAACGTATCTCACCGGAGGCATACCGCGAAAAGCACTCGCCGTCCACCAACATAGATAAATCCATTATGATTGATGTGCGCGACAAGGCACAATTTGGTATTTGCAGTCTGGAAAATAGCATCAATGTTCCCATCGGCGATATCCTTGCTTCAAGGGCGAAGCCTGCGAGCTTGAACCAAGGTCCCGACAATACTTCCCAGCCTGAACTGCCCTCCTGGGTCCCCACCGAGCTCACCTCGTCCGAGTCCAAAGACCCCATCTATGTGGTGTGTCGGCTCGGCAATGACTCCCAAATCGCCGTTCAGAAGTTGAAGGAATTAGGACTGGACCAGAATGGACAACGATACATTGGAGATATCCAAGGTGGATTTCGGGCATGGCGGGAGCAGGTCGACCCGGACTGGCCGGAGTACTGAAGCAGAAGATCTCGGGGAGACAGTTTCATGTAGCTTCACATTATCTAGATCGAGGACAGATCTGCCTGCACCCCCACGACATGAGTCATTTCGCAGACCAGAAATCGGCCATGTGGGAACTCTGCAGAGCGTGGTAGCATTTCCAACCCCCGGGTAAATGTGGTAAAAGTGGTCGAGATCCACTCTCTGTCACTCCATTCCACTTTATTCCACTCAATCCCGCCATGCCAGCGCTTCGACCTTCTCGGGACCCTTTCGGAGACCCGATCGGGCAAACGGGGTTACCGGGACGGGGTCAACGGGGTTAAGATGGTTGAGATGGTCAAAGGTGGTCAACATGATCAACATGAGGTCCAGGCCGAATATTCTGATTACCCGAGTTCCCGAAGTACCCTGTCCCTGCTATAACAGCAGATATCCTGAATATTATTGGATATCATTGGATGAGTGTCAATTTTATACTTCTTCTCTTCCCCGCAGGCCTTACATAAGGGTCCCCCCACCATCACTCGTACTAGAACAGCTAGTGCTGGCGTGATTCCATAGCATCATTCGCCAATTCATTCTTATTTATTCAGTTCCCCTCTTCTTCTTCTTCTCCTTTACCTCCACCTTTCTCTCAATCCCTATTTCCTAAACCCCTTCCTCACCCAAAATGACAGACCTCCCCGAAATGCAGTACCGCTTCCTCGGCCGCACCGGCTTGAAGGTCTCCGTCATTTCACTTGGTAGCTGGCTCACATACGGTGGTCATGTTGGAAATGGTCCGAGTCTCTTTCACCAATTGGCGCCAAGCAGCCCTTGTTCACTAGCTCATTCTCTCTTAGAAACCGCCTTCGACTGCGTTAAAGCTGCCTACGATGCCGGCGTCAACTTCTTCGACACTGCCGAAGTCTACTCCGGTGGACAGTCCGAGGTCGTTCTAGGACAAGCCATTAAGAAGTTTGGCTGGAAGCAGAATGACCTGGTCATTTCTACCAAGGTAGACCACTCTCGTTCTGAGCCATTGACTTACCTTCAGCAACTGACCAACATTCCTAGATCTACTGGGGCAAGGCAAATGCCGCCAACCCCGCCAAACCCCTCAATAACAACGGTCTGTCCCGAAAGCACATCATCGAGGGCATGAACTTGTCTCTGCAGCGATTAGATCTACCTTATGTGGATATTGTCTACGCTCATCGCCCAGACCGCGACACCCCCATGGAAGAGATCGTTCGTGGATTCAACTACCTAATCAACAACGGTAAGGCGTTCTACTGGGGTACCTCGGAGTGGTCTGCCAGCGAGATCTCCGATGCCTGGCGCATCGCTGATCGACTGGGTCTCATTGGTCCCGTTGTCGAACAGCCGCAGTATAACCTTCTTGTGCGCGAGCGCGTGGAGAAGGAGTACCGCTGGCTGTATGAGGCTCATGGGTTAGGCTTGACTACTTTCTCGCCTCTCAAGGGTGGTGTCTTGACGGGCAAGTATAATGATACTTCTGCGCCTCCGGCTGGCTCGAGACTTGCCGAGTCGGAGGACGGTTATGTGAAGAACCTGCGCACTACGGTTGGTGATGATACCTGGACGCGCCAGTTGAAGCAGGTGGCTGCGCTGAAGCCCGTGGCCGATGAGCTGGGTGTGTCGACGGCTCAGCTGTCATTGGCGTGGATTCTGAAGAATCCCAATATCTCTTCTATGATTACTGGTGCTTCGCGCCCGGAGCAAGTGTTGGATAACGTTCGTGCTCTGGCACTGGTGGACAAATTGACTGATGAGGTTATTGAGAAGATTGAAAATGCGGTGCAGAGTCAGCCGGCCGTTGAGGTCAGACGGTTTTAGATCAGGTGCTGATTAAATACTAGTATGATGCATGATGAATGAGAAATTAAAGCCTATAAAATTGCAAATTTCCAACAGTGATGAGGCAGCATAGTGGGATCACCCGAACTTGAACCCCTGATATCATTGTCATGATGGCAAAGGTGGACGTAGGATACTCGCCTGGTGTCTAGTTTGGCATATCCCATCCATGTACCTACCAGAAGTAATCCACTACTCAACACCGTGGATGCGATATTTGGCAATTGAAGATTTCAACATTCTTTGGTTAGTTTAATTGAATTTTAAAAATAAACAAAAAAGATTGTCCAAGTTGGAAGTTGATCAAACAGGACGTGCATCACATGACTCGTCACCGCATTGGAGAGCCTCCCCGGACTTTCGCACAACTTCTACTTCAACTTCACCCTGCACCCTTCCAGGACATTCTGGGAATCTCATGAATTGCTTGCGAACAACAGCTCGCTGTTTATTCACCATGGCATCTCCAATTCCCTCCTCCTCGCCCTTCACCCGCTCAGTCGTGGACTCCATGAGGAAGATGTACGTTGCCATTGGGTAGCTCGAGCTCTCCATAAAGCTTCTAACATTCAATTCTGACAGCTACCCCGAAGCGCTGGCTGATAAGAGTTTTGATAACACTGGATGTAAGTCATTTTGATCGGCGTACAGGTAGAAACTGTACTAGTAGCTTCCACGACCTGCCTACCTTGGTCCATACTATTATCTTCATTGCTAACATGCCACTTGAACAGTGCTTCTCGAAGCTCCCTTTGACCCATCACGACGCCAGAAGAACTCGGTCCTCCTCGCCATCGACTTGACAACCGCCGTCGCCGATGAGGCGATCAAGCGTCGCGATTCAGCGATCGTGGCCTACCGTGAGACCATCCCTCTCTGCCTGCGAACCCTTCACGCAAAGCTGTTCAGGTCACTAACGCAAGCTTCATCTAGATCCGATCATCTTCCGCGGCCTGAAGGCTATCACCCTCGATGACACACAGCAACGATCACTCCTGCGATTGGCCCAACATGGAATCAGTGTCTACTCCCCGCATACCGCGGTTGATACTGTACCCGGAGGAATGGCGGATTGGCTTTGTGACGTGGTGACGGGTACCTTCCAACCCGTCGCGACTCAGACACATACTGCTTCTCAGAGCTGCAATTCAAAGTTATATTCGGTGCCTACCTACCCTCAAGCTCAAGCTGTACCCACTGCAGCATCGGCAGACGCATCCCAACAAATCCCCCATATCCGATCCACCATCCATCCATCTCCCGCAGCCTCAATCCCGGAAGGATTCGAGTCGGCTGGTGCGGGTCGCCTCGTCACATTTAACGAGGATCAACCTCTTACGACTCTGATTGACCACATTGGTCGCGGGGTCGGTCTTCCGGGGGTATTCCCATTGCGATCCCGCAATCGCAGTCGATTGACAACATTCGCATCCGTACCGTCGGTATGTGCCCCGGTTCAGGATCGGGAGTCCTCATGCGCGGGAATGATATGCCGGATCTTCTATTTACTGGTGAGATGAGCCATCATGAGACGTTGGCTGCGACGGAGCGTGGATCGGTGGTGATCTCCTTGGCCCACTCCAACTCCGAGCGTGGCTATCTCCGGGCTGTCATGCAAACCCATTTGCTACAGGAACTCTCGCGACAGTGGAAGTCCGACCGGGAGAGTGCCCTGCAGGCTCTTCACGATAGCGCGAAGCAGGGTGGATCAGCTATGTCCCCTTGCGCCGAAGCTTACCAGGATGGCGGCGTGGAGGTATCCGTTAGTGAGGCCGACCGTGATCCATATGGAATTATGGTGTGGCGGGGATAGGAATAAGGGGAATAATGGAAGAATACTAGAATACTGTACGGAGTATTCTTTGTCAAATAGATTCTTGGAAAATATACGAAACTTCTCTTACGGGCGGTTCAGGATTTCACGTGGGGCCGCAACGCCATCGCGGGGCAGATTTTTGGTCGCAACTTCAACTTGAACTTCGTTGGGATTTCATGCGTTGGTCGCCCACGTTTCTTTCCTCCTTCAAACCCTTTCGTCGCATCGAGTCACCGGCACAATTCGCGCGCAGAATGACTGCTCTTCCTTCTACATATGACGGTTTGTGTTCCTTGTGTTCCCCTACATGACACTGCCCCTCCCCGCCGAGATGTGACTGTCGATGCTGACCACTTCCATTCTCACCAGGGCCTGTCCCAATTGCTGTCATTGGCGGCACTGGACTTCGTGAACTGCCTGGTTTCACCCAAGTGGCCTCTCTGTCCATCAGCACTCCCTGGGGTGAACCCTCCTCGCCCATCACCATCCTGCACCACCAGTGCAAACACAATGAGAAGACTGTCGCCGTGGCTTTCTTAAGCCGTCACGGTGCTCATCACCAGATCGCCCCCCACGAAGTCCCCGCCCGCGCCAACATCGCCGCTCTGCGCTCCATCGGTGTCCGCAGCATCATCGCCTTCTCCGCTGTCGGCAGTCTGCAAGAGGCTATCAAGCCCCGCGACTTTGTGATCCCCGATCAGATCATCGACCGTACCAAGGGTGTCCGGCCCTGGACTTACTTCGAGGGTGGAATTGTTGCCCACGTTCCCTTCGGTGATCCCTTTGACGAGGGTATTGCCAAGATCGTGCGTGAGTGTGGACACAGTTTGGAGGGAGATGGGGTTGTCCTGCACGACCGTGGTACCGTTGTCTGCATGGGTAAGTTTTGACCTTTTTTTTTGACTCCGCCACCATCATGCGATTGACATGGAATCATGCCGTAAATATATGCTGACCTTCCCGCGTTTGCCTGATCCAGAGGGCCCGCAGTTCTCCACTCGTGCTGAGAGCAACATGTACCGCGCCTGGGGCGGTAGCGTGATCAACATGTCCGTTCTCCCCGAGGCCAAGCTCGCCCGTGAGGCCGAGATCGCCTACCAGATGATCTGTATGTCGACCGACTATGACTGCTGGCATGACTCGGCCGATGTTACCGTGGAGATGGTGATGGGTAACATGAAGGCGAACGCTGAAAATGCTCGTCGTTTCGTGACCGCCGTCCTGGATGCTCTCGCTGGACAGGAGCACACCGAGTTGGTTCAAGCCAAGCACCTTGCTGGGTCAATTAAGTTTGGCGTGAGCACACCACAGCCGCACTGGAGCCCTGAAGCCAAGAAGAAGCTGGACTGGCTGTTCCCAGGATACTTTTGAGTTATAGTGGAGTATAAAGGCCCCTCTCCATAGACTCTGTAGATACTAGCATTGTATTACGGAATAGAATCAACTCTAAGACGCTTTGACCGGTGAAAATCTCCCTCTTTCTCCTCTTTTGTCGTTCTTTTCTCTTCTAGATCATCTAGATAATCTCCTTCCCCCATCTTGTCCCATCTCTTCAACCAATGAATTCGTCGCCATTTGATGATCTTCTGCAAACAGCGCAAACCCGCCGGACGTTAAAGTCGTGCATCTCCCCACTTCACCGGATGATCCTACTTAATCTTCCATTCTTCCATTCTTCCATTTACATTTATTCAACATTTATTCTACACTTATTCTAAACTTCCTTTATTCCATAACCCAGCTGAAATAGGACCACCATCATGCGGAACAACTCCTGCCATCTCCCAAATGGCCTCACTTTCACCGTTACGCCAGTCTTTGGTGGGGTCACCTTCAAGTCCAATGATATGGGAGCCACTCATTCGAGTTTTCCTCCTGGTTGGACAGTCATGATTCACAGTGAAAAAGTCTCGGGCGTCTCTCCGGAACAGACGGGACAGGGATCAGAAGGATCAGAGAATCGACATCCCACCGACGACAAGAATGATGACGATGACGACAACAAGACCATCCGATTCACAACCCCCACTTTGAATCGCGATCGTATCTACATCTCTTATATTGTCAATCCACCCTCCAGCGAGTTCAAGCCAGTCACTTCTCCCACCCGCCAAATTGCAATGATGCTCTGGGCGACACTCTGGTGGTACTTCCATGAACCCAAGCCTGATCCTCACCTTCAAACGGCGGCCTCCAGCTCGACCCCTCATTCTGGGCAGCCAAAGGGTGATTGGCGCGTCAATATTCGACGTGAGGGCATTTTCAAGGGCCGCAACCTTTTGCAGAAACTCGAGCGTATGGGCATTGTTTCAAACGAAGACTCATCCGTCGGATTCCAACCCGTTGAAACACGCGACTCAGCTAGCTGGTCGAAGATGTTCGTGAGCCAACGGACATTTTGGCAACTTGATCCGCGACTCTTCTTATTCACTCTGACTCCCCGTGGCTCCCCGCCATCCCCTTCTTTGACACCTTTCCAATCACGACCGGCTTCTCCACTGCGGGATTCCCTACCTCCAACCTCATTGCCCCCCGCTGAAGCCGCGTTTGGTACAGGCAATGCAGAGGTTTTCACTTCGGCTGGTCCTTTTACATCAGCTAGTCACTTGCCAACCTTTTACCCACCGGCACCAACTCAATATACTTTTACCAACGGGGTGCGCCATCCTATCCGTCCTAAGCCACCCCACCAAGGAGAGGTTTTCTATGTTCGCCACATCCCTAGCGTGGAACAATACCTCTCCTTGCGCATACCTTTCCTTCCAGCCACCAAGCCGACTCCAAGTGACAGTCGACCCACAACCCCAACCAGACCAGTCAGTGCTCAAGTCACCAGCGTGAAACAACACCTCTCCCAAAATTTGTCATCAGATCTTGACACTCTACATCGATGGATGAACGACCCCCGCGTGGAGGCTATGTGGGGGGTGGGCGGACCAAAGCCCGTCCAAGAAAAGTTTCTCCTAGACAATCTGTCCAGCCGCCACAGCTTCCCTGTCATTGGATGCTGGGACGGAAAACCTTTCGGGTACTTTGAGATTTACTGGGTCAAGGAAGATCCCCTTGGTCGACTTCTGGATCGAGTTGATAACTACGATCGGGGCATTCATGTTCTTGTTGGCGAACAGGAATTCCGTGGCGCCCACCGCGTTATCCTCTGGCTCACTGCTTTGGTACACCATTGCTTCTTGTCTGATATGCGCACTGAGGCGGTCGTTCTTGAACCGCGCGTGGATAATCTGAAACTCATCAATTATCTGCAACAAGTCGGATTTTATAAAGAGGGGGAAGTTAGTTTCCCGCACAAGCAATCTGCCGTGATGAAGATCAAGCGCGAATACTGGGATGCGCCCGCCATTTGAGGACTGGGGAAAACTGTCCCGATCTACGAGATTATGACGACTCATGATTCATGAAGCATTTGCATGTTTGATTCTTCATTATTGTACCTGTTCGATTTTTCTATCTTTTCTTTGCTTGAAATGTTGCATGGTGGTCGTTTTCTAGATTTGTTTCTGAGATTTCTACCTTGGGGATGGAATTAGTATAAATCTAACTTCTCAATAATAAGTCGTTATACCCGCTTCCCAGTCGCATCATTCCGCGATCGTAATTACTGATGAATCACGCAAACTCAGGCTTAACATAGATCGGTCCATACGCCAATGCTACACCTGGGAAGAGAAGTAAGTTTGGCAACCCCTCACGTAGTGGTAAAAGGCACTTTTTGAATCAAAGAATAGCAGTCGACAGTGAAAACCGAGGAATGCCATTATCTCGAGGATGTATCCACCTTGGCAGCCCTTTGTTTCTCAAAGCACACCTGGGCATAGAATGGAGCTTTGTCTCCTACTATGTCCCTTCTTTCACTCGTAGAATCTATTGTTCGAGAACCAGGGCTTGAAAGGCTTGATAAATCCAATTCAGCTCCCTGGGTATATAAGTATGGTATCAGTAGAGGCATTTCAAAAATTTTATACCATCCTCTCACAGTCCGAGCAGTAAGGCTTATTCACGCATTTCAGAGTCCATTCAATTCTTTATCATGGCCAGGCCTGAGAGATTTAGAAGAGAGTGGCTGGATCTGGGTATGCAGGATAGCACCTTAGTTGACAAGAATATCGTTCTAGACGTTCTGAAAGAAATCAATGGCGAGATTACCCGACATAACATGAACGTGAGAGCTGCTAAGACGCGCGCACTAATAAAGCAGGGAATCCAAGATGCACTTTCTAGAATGCCAGCTCCAATTCAGAATATGAATACTGATGCCGCTGTTGCTGGAATTAATAATTTGCTAAGAGCCTACCGAGTTTGTTTGCACTCACAGGGAGGTACGCATCTCATGCCAGGACATCTTTGGCGACCACCCACTAGCCCTATGCCAGCACCTCCTGGACCAGATCTTCCAGCAAGAACAGCATTGGTGCCTCAAGCTCTTCCACTGCGTGCTCCCGGGCCATTGCAAGGGGCACATAGTATCGAAACTCTAGCTGGTATTGGACCACCAGAGTCACGCTCGGTCCTCAATGCAGCTCCCGGACTTGTGGCTTCTGGAGCGATTGCACCACCGCATGGGTTTCAACCAGGAACACCCGGTCCATTACTTGGGGAACCTAGTATTCTACAGGCTTTGAATCCGAAATCTCCGGTGCTTATAGCTATTGATGAGGCGCTGACTAGGCCAGGGCTGCTAGGGGAGTTCCAACTGGAATCAACTTCTCAGCAACCAGAGGCTGGGCCATTGATAGGATCACCTATTCTCGGTGTTCTAGTTCCGGGCGGAGATGAGACATCAGGACTGTTCGTAACTCCGAACCGAGAGGAGATGTTCGCACCGCCAGGGTCAAAGCTGTTTGGAACGATACAACCACCGCCTAATTACCAGCCAACTTCTGGGCCCATAGAGGGAGGCCAAATCATGGAAACCTTCTCAATGAATCTGGAAACCACCTCGAACCCGAAATCTGTCAATCTTGATGTGTTGGACGCACTTATGCTGCAACAGCGACCACAGCACAAATGGGGACATCTTTCACCTTTCTGGAGCGAGGCCTTGATGCCCCTGAAACTGGAAGATGCGCAAGGTTTAATCGATTCCTGGGCCGAAGAGCAGGAAAGACGATTAGAACGCTTTGTCACGCATACAACCAGGATTCGGAATCATATTGTGAATCATCCGGACACTTATGATACGATGATGGCTCTTGGGCTCCAGAATGAGAGGTATGAAATTGTGGCGGGGTGGAGAAGTTGGCTCACAGATGCAAAGAAGTGGTATGTAATTGAATGGCACAAATTGAAATGGACCCCCGACGAGATTCAGGAGAATACTGAAGATGGAGATTGCAGACGAATTGTATCCGAAGAGCAGCTAAGCCAAAGAGCTAGGTTACAGAGACGGGAGGCTAAGCTGATCGGTGGGTCTGATTGGATTGAGCACTTACATGATAACCTACCTTCGGGTGATGCTTGGAGGCTCTTGTGTGAATGGAATGAGAATGGGTTTGATTTCAGCAGTCCCCTCACTGTGTATAACATCCCGATGGATATTGTACGTGCTTCTGACTCTGCGCTGTTGTGTACTAACTACCTTGGCCAGATGCTTAGTGACTCGACTGATCCCCTTCAACTGAGTCCGAACGATATGTGGCTTAATACTGCGTATCTCAGTATCGAGAAGCTCCAGGAATGCCTGCATGCACAGGGTCATTTCCAACCAGGTCAAACGCTCTGGTGGAGCCCTGGGATCCTGGCAAGCAATGATCTGTTCTTTATAGATGGTCAGACTCGGCTGGATGATTCAAATGCCTTTGTTAGGGCAGTTTCAAATAGTTTAAGTGGGCCGTGGGAGAGCTTCGCGGGATCCAGGCCAAAAGTGGGTCGTCATGGGCCTTTCGATGAAAGTACGTCCCCTCGTGTTACTATAATTGTTCGGGACTATTAGCCAGACGAGTGGCTGACAGAGAATGAGGACAGGCGTTGTTGATGGAGGGTATGGACCTAACAAATGGTTGAGGCGCAGTTTGCTAGCACGTTGAGAATAAAGGTTACTCCCGAATTATAAGATTTCAAATATTTCCAAGAATATCAAGCAGTAGATAAGCCAAGCAAAAATGTAGTGTGGTTCAACTCGACCGTTTCGGGAATGAGATGCGGAGATAAAGTACTACTAGTAGTAATAACCTTGGAAAGTAGCACCACTAGCGCCCAGTCCTGATCTACAGCGTCTATCAGTAGTGATCTAGGGAAACCCTGACTTGGCATTTCAAAATGAATAGTAAATAGGGGCAGGTATTTGTTAGCTAGTGAAGCTATAAGTTGGTAAAGACCAATTGATCAGCGCCTAACTCGGGATAATGACTCCGATTTAAAGAACACTTATTCCGGTTCTCACGTGGTTATTATTACAGAATCACATTTCTACTAGTATTTTTATGACAGGGCATTCCCTGATTCCACTGCTTGGATAAACATAAGGTTAGGTGGTTGATGCGAACCATAGGAAGATGGGGTGGCGGCCCCAGCAAAGTATAGGCCGAGCATAGGCCGAGCATAGGCTAAATGCAGCCGGAAGTCGTCCGCAATTAGCGCTGGGATTAGCGCTGGAGAAGGAGGATGCCCCCACTTCACATGTCGGCAGTTGTACACAGCGATGCCTCAAAGGGGAAGGTGATTCCACTATTGCGACTGTGACTGGTGGTCGGGGCCGACTGGTTATTGGGGTTTCCCGACGCCGGAGTCCAGTCATAGTCAAAACAAGTGCATACGTAAGTTCCAATCATAAGTAGGATAAAACAGTATGGCACATGCTGGATACTGGGTGCTGTGCTGGCATGGGGGGATGAATGTGAATGTGAATGTGAATGTGAAGGTGAAGGTGAATGCATATCCCTGCTATACTGGGTATGCAGGATGTTCGACAGGATGACATGGTCACAAAAAGGCCCTCTCGTAGAGTACTCGTACTTGATAGACCTGTACGGGTGTTGTGTAGGCAAAGTGAGCATCGGCAAGGTTTGTTGGGGACGCATGTGATGCCCGATTAGTCATCCACCTTTTTCACGTGCAACTCGGCTTCACCTTCTCTTCGTCGCCTTCGCCTTCGCCTGCACTCAACGTGAGTGGCTGCTTCGACTCTTACACACCCTGCGTATTCGTTTGTCGGCATTTCTACTCCGTACTCCATACGAATCCTCAGTTTTCATCTTCTCCGGCGGGCCCCTCCACTCCGATTCTCAACTAGCCGCTACGATCTTCACCCCCATCCCCATCCCCATCCCGAAAGCCTCACCCTAAGCCTGGCGCCCACTTATATCCTTCCATCTCCACCCCAGCATGCCCCCGCCGTGATGGACCTTGAAAAGCAGCCCTCCGAGGATTGCGATCGGTCTCACCGAGCTACCAGCGTACTGTCTATGGACGACCTCGAGGCTGCCCAAGCCCTAGAAGGCCTTCGCGCCGACTTTGGTCACTCTCATCATTCCCCCAGAGCTCCACGACAACCTCTTCCCACGTCTCCCGACCCTCCATCAGCAGAGCCACTTCTTTCCCTCCTCACTTCCTCTCACCCCCTCATCTCCTCCGCCATCAACGGTTCTGTATCGGCCTACACCTCCTCCAAGTCCTACTCCGCCCGATTCAAGTCCAGCGCCGAGTTTATCGAGCGCAATATCGGTTCTCCCGTCGCAAATACCGTTGGAACGGTTGGTCGAAAGACTGGCGTCGAAAGTGGTTTGCGCTGGGCGCTCCAACGACGGGATTCTGGCAACGAGTCGAAGCATACTAGCAAGCGGCGCAAAGTGAATGGGGAAGCCGTACCGACCACCATGGATATAGAAAAAGGATTGGACGAAGTGGCTATTCAGTCGCGGACGCGAAGCTCTTCGGACATTTCCATGGCTGATACCCTTCCACCTTACGATGAGATGAAATCCCCCCACTACGAGGAGAAGCCTGGACGACAGAACCCCACCTGGCAGAGTCGGCTGGTCATTTCGACTTCTGGCCTGGGTGTGGCAATGAGCGAGGAGTCTCTCCGCAGTTTGCAGTATTGCTTGACATGGCTTCGCTGGGCGAACGGTCGACTTGGTCGCTCTATCGTCGCTCTCCAAAATGCGATGACCGAGTGGGAGGCTCATAAGGCGAGGTTGAAGGAGGAGGCTGAGGCTGGCCGTGCCAATAGTCCCGAGAACACTTCTCTCCTCAAGCAGCGCATTCAGGCTGTCAGGGAAGACGTTCTTTCGACCCTCAAGCAAGTTGTCGATGTCGTTTCCAAGTATGCCGGAGGCGCTTTGCCCGAGAATGCGCGCCACCTCGTCCGACGACACTTGACCTCTCTGCCTCACCGATTCCAGATGGCCAGCACATCGCAGCCCCCTGCCGACTCTCCTGCCGCCTCGTCCGAGGCCACTGTCGGTGCTCATCGCATTTTGGTATTGGCAAATGAAGGACTTGATATTCTAGGCCAGGTCAGTGGTGTGGTCAACGACACCCTCGTCAGTGCTGAGCACTGGTGTGATCGTCTTGGACGGAAACGACCCGAACACAAATCCGCACCGGATGTGGAAAACCAGAGCCAAGCTCCCACCCCAAACTCTCAACAATATGGGATGGACATTAAGCAGCCCATCATCTCCGAGGCTGTTTCCCAGGATGATGTACCGATCAGCGGGACTGAGAAGACGTAAAGACGTCTCCGAAAGCTTTGTCTTTCTTTTTATGTTTCATTTTATTTTCTTGATATTAGGCCTGTGATGTGTCTTTATGATTGATATCCACTACTTGTTCTTCACTCTTTCTAGCCCCCGGAAAATCGCAATCAATCTGGATATTTTCGAAGAGTCGGAGGGCCTCAGTATCGACACGAATTGTAAGGCAGCCCAGATTAGCATTGCCGAGGGTGACAAGCAGGACGAATCCAAGTTGCCGAGTAATACTCCAATCTAGCCGGTTCTAATAGCACCGCTGGTAAAACAACTTGCAGAGCTCAGGGAGGAAGACTTTCAATGCAGTGTATTGTTACAAATCCTCCGGGATCTTAAGATGCATGGAATACTAGGCGGCCCGTCAAAAGCTGACAAAGCAACGACCAACATGCAAGGCGCTAATAAATAATGTACAAAAATTGCCTGATCTCTGCTCTCAGCGGCTCAGGTTCTTCAGCCACCTTGAATCACGGGCTCTCTGTGCCCGCTCAGCCCTACGCTTTTGGCCGAGGGTCCAACCACAGCCGGCGCCAGCGAGGTATCCGCCCAAATGAGCAGCATGGTCCATTTTGGTTAGTCGAGAGAGAGGCCAAACCGTCAAGAAACGAGCAGGCGCTACCATGCTGAGGACTTCGGTTCCGATCAGACATGCCAGTAAGATCCAGCCCTGGGTGTAGATGTTCTCTCGGAGATCGTGGGGAAGGATCCACATGGTGATTTTGTCACTGGTCGATATGTCAGTATAGTCCGAATAGGATATTGGGGACCGCGAGAACATACTCATAGTGATACAGACACCACGCGGCAACAATACCGCTAGTGGCAGCACTTGCGCCCAGGGAGGTAAGGCCCAAAGTGCCGAGCAGAACATTGCGGGACAGCGATACCAAGGAGCCAACGACACCAGAGCCGAAGTAGATGGCCAAGAAATTTCCTCGGCCGAGCTCATCATGGACTGAAATATAGTTAGCAGTGTGGACTGGTAGTCATGATGGAAGAAACCACATACCTCTAGTGCCCATAAGGCCCAGAACCATCATGTTAGTGGCGAGATGTCTCCAGGTTTGATGGCTGAAAGTGCTGCCAAGCATGCTCGGCGCGCTTGGGTAGAAAGGAACGATGACAAAATAGCGGTTGAGAAGTCTCCATGAGGGTGGGATGAACTTCCACATTAATGTGACCGCTACATTGGCACCAATGATAGCTCCGACAGTTGCAGCAGCAGGGGGGACGGTGGGCCAAAGGCGATCCTTGCGCGCAGGGGATTCATAGTTTTGAGCGAAGTAGTAGCATAGACCAACTGCGAGGAGAGTGAAGAGAGCAGGTGCGAGAAGACGTTGGGTCTATAAGAAAGAATCTCGCTGTCAGTACTAGATCTCCAGCGACCATAATAGAATCCTTACAGTAGTTAAATCCACAGCATCTGGTGATTCATGGGTTCCAGCAATGTGATGCTTTTGAATCCAGGCCAGATAGGGCCTTTCATTAGGATCCGCACGAGGACGAGCTGTGACAGTGGTTAACCATGGCCTGGTGGGATAGGTAGCTGGGGAAATCATACGCACCCTCTGTTAGAGCAGCTTCTTGGTACTGCTGCAAGGCTGTGTCCCCTTTGAATTGACGGCGCAAACGCTCCTGCTCCTCGTTCTCTCCCTGCAGCCATTCCTGGCGCTTCCGTTCCTTCTCCGCCAGCAGTCGCTTTTCATTCATCTCGCGTGCCTCCTTGAGTACACTTTTGCCGTAGACCGAATTCTCCTCACCCAGCTCATTCTCGTAGGACCCGCTCTGCGGCTTGTAGAGACCAAGCTCCTCGGCGCGGCGAACGAGCTTCTCTTCTGCTTGGCGTTCTTCCTTTTCAATGCGGGCGAGGATGGCGGCATCCTCGTTCATCGGATGGTTCTCGCGGAGCCATTGGAGGGCGCTGTCGAGTTGGGATTGGTTGACGGCGCGGACAATGTCGGCGGGGAGGTCCAAGTCCAAGGTTCCATCCAGGCGTTGAGTCTGTAGGGCTCCAAGAGCCTTGTTTCCCAGCTTCACGGAAATTCCCGGGCCAAAGATCCAGTTGATCTCGGCTTCGGTCAGATTGCGGCCCCCCGGCAGACTTCCGGACTTTTTTTGCGGGTGTTTTGCGACACCGGCTGTTCTCTTTGACCGAGTGAAGGCGGGTGTCATAGGGTTCAAAGGAGAGGTGGAGGCGGGGATCTGTCGATATTGAGGTCGCGACGAGGGATTGAACGAGTTCAATGGACGGTGGAAGGAGGAGGTAGATCGAGGGAAAGTTGAGATGCGGAGATGGCGAAAGGCCGCCTGGGAGCTTTGGGTGGACAAAGATTTGGATGGACGGAGCCCCGAGCAGGGGATCCGCCATGCGATCGGAACCGCATAGCTCATTCTGAGCGATCGGTGGTTGGTGGAGAAGGATTGCAGGTGGAAGTGTGTGTTGTCAGAGCATTGATGGGATGGGATGGGATGAGGTGATATGAGGACCTTCGCGGTTGATCTTGCGGAGGATCACCTGACTGTCACAGCAGTACTTAGAAGGTCTACACTATAGTGTATAAGACATAGCATTATAATAAAATATACTTCACTATAATGTACAATAATGTACTATAACATAATTCAGCATCAGTCTAAACCACTATCTTCACCATTGCGTACTCATAGTTAATACAAGAAATGAGCATCGGCGGACTCCGCCAGTATTGCTGGTGGAAAGTAATAGTAATGGTAATACGGTAATCAATGCGGGGCATACTCTCTACTCCCACTCCTCCTTCTTCTTCTCCCAACTCTCCTTCTTCTCTTCTCTTCTTCTCTTCTACGGTCCAATCCCTTCCTACTCTCAATCTTACACAATGACTACTCTCAAGGCTGGCGACGCTTTCCCCGGTGACGTGGTGTTCAAGTAAGCTCGAGCTCGGATCTAAGGAGCCTAGCATGGGAGCTCCATCAGGGACTCTCCGCGCTATTCCATCCCAATGCCCATGCTAATGACTGTTGCAGGTATATCCCATGGACCGAGGAAAGTGATGATATCACTTCCTGTGGCATCCCCATTAACTACAATGCATCCAAGGAGTGGGCCAACAAGAAGGTTGTCCTATTCTCCGTGCCTGGTATGCTATGAATACAACACGAACCCAGCTTGTGTATTTCGCAACTAATGCAATTAATCAATCAATCAAGGTGCATTCACCCCCACTTGCTCCGTCAACCACATGCCGGGCTACATCCAGAACCTTCCCAAGCTCCGCGAGAAGGGAGTCGACATTGTCGCCGTGCTCGCCTTCAACGATCCCTTTGTCATGAGCGCCTGGGGCAAAGCCAACCAGGTCCAGAACAACGAAATTGTGAGTTCCAATTGTTATCACTACAATCCTGGCTCTTTGTCTACCTCTCTTCCCCTTCTCACGATCTATACTGACTCTGTCTCCTTCCGCAGCTCTTCCTGTCGGACCCCGATGCCAAGTTCTCCAAGAGCATTGGTTGGGCCGACAATGCTTCCGGTCGCACCGGTCGCTACGCCATTGTTGTTGACCACGGAAAGGTCCGATATGCCGATATTGAGACCGAGAAGGGTGCTGTCAAGGTACGTGGCTCAACTCTATCTCCCTCTACTACCTAGGATGGACTGCTAATCTGGATCTCAGAAATCGAGTGCCGACACCGTTCTGGCGTCACTGTAAATTGTAAAACTGCGGTGAAAACCAGTACGAAGACTCGTATTTAATTCGAAAATCCAATCTGCCCAATAGAATTCAGACCGAATTGCGTGCTGTCACCATGCAGCCGAGGTACACCGCATAGTGTACTGTAGGTACTCCGTACTGTAGGAGCTGTACTGTAGGGTAAGAATTGAGTAGCCACCGGTATACTGATTGATTAATGAATTAATCCATGCTATCCTATATAAATACTACAAACTGTCGATATTCACCACTTTTATACTCGGGGTCACCTGACTTTCTCCGCCTCCGCATTTTGTCCTCGCGGGGAATCGGAATCTCCTTCTCCTCCCACCTCCACCTCCACCACCACCTCCTCCGAGTCTCCCCCTCCGATCCTCGTTGATCTTTCCAATCTCTCCCGCCGCAATGCGCCCGGCCTTCCACCACCTCTGCCTCCTCCTCTGTCTCCTTTCTCCCGTACTCGCAGTCGGCCCATCCTGTCTAAAAGTCGTCACCGCACTCGTTGGCCGACCGAGCCACATTTTCAACAAGTTCCAGACCGAGATTTGTGATCGAGGATGCCAGCCTACAATCCCTCATTGGGACCTTTGGACCCGCAATAACTCCTTTGTTCCCGCCGTCCAAAGCCTGATGAAGCGCATGAATGTCCCCCATCAGGAAGAGGCTCTGCTGAAAATGGGCGACGACGTGGCTGTCATCATTAAGCGTCGCTGTGAACCGCTGCTGCATGGCCGCCATATTTGCTCCGATCCCAACACACTGGCCGACTTTGGAAATTGCTTCAAGCGCAACTTCCTGCAGGCATCGATCAAACACCTTCCGGTGCTGCTCCCCATGGCGTCGGAGCAAGCTTGCCGTGAGCAGCACAAGTTTCTCCAACAAGATGAGCTCTGGGAAGAAACCATCCCCCAGAATATGCGGGATTATGCCAGTGTTTGCGACAAACTCAGTCCCCCTGAGCATGAGGAATTATGATAGAATCTCTGATCTACTTTTGCATGTATATGTGCTGTGCTCCACACGATCATTCTTATAGATACCCAGCTATAGCCTAATCATTATTTATGCATATATACTAATACCATGCGTGCCAACGCGCAAGTCACTCCAAATGTGCACCTGTTTCCTGCATCCTATTTACTCGATATCCTAGGTTTCCTGGGTTGAGCCGAGGCCAGAGTGATACGGGGGTCAGCAACCAACCTGTACGAAATGCACAGGGAAAGATAATCTCTCTCTGATCCATCACACAGGTAGCTTTTGAATAAAGTGACAATGAAACTTCGATATCAAAGAGAAAGACGTAACAATAAAGATTGCTTCTCTCTGGTCCTCTTTATCCTTTCATAGTACAAAGAGTTTGAGAAGTGGGTTTGTTCGAAACAAAGGGTTGGGCTTTCAGATGAATACAAGTAGTGGATGCAAGTGGCAACTCGGAGACCGTTAACTCATCCTGATACAATAGTACTATATATAGCACCAGGTTATGGGCACTCATAAACGAACTTGAAGCAGACCTATCGCCCAGGCTTCCATCTGTCCACAGCCCTCCTGAGAGAGTCCACCTGGGCACCTTGAGTACCTGCCGACACATCCCAGTCAACTCACGAACTTGAATATGACAACCGAGCGCCGGGCATTGGAAATCATGCATACTACTAGTAGTACGAGTAAATCGTACGCTAACCAACCCGTCGAAAGCAAGGTTGCCGATCATCTCGAGACCCCCCAGCCAACAATCACCGATGACGATCCGTCCAGCACCATCTCGCTTTCAAGTCTGAAGCAAGAACTCGACGATATCCACAAAGATACCAAGGCGCTGCTCGAGGAACACATGCAACTTGCATCGATCCCGTTCCCGGCGCAAGATTTGGATACATTGAGGACTAATGCGGACCTTTCATGGTCGTTTGTTCTCGTCATCGCGCATTTACAACACCAACACTACGGAAGAGCAAGAATGGAAATCCGGCGTGCGATGAGTTTTGCGCATGCGGTTGATGATAAGCACAGCATTGCGAGGTGTCACTACTGGCTCGGTCGAATTCCTCTCCAGCGAGGACGATTTAACGAGGCTTATGCTTACTTTGATAAGGCGAAGCCAGATCTCAATGGCCGAGTGTCATCCGAAGGAGAGACTGTGGACTTCTACCTAATGGTTTGCACTCCAGGTATGAGCCCCCAGTATAGAACTCAACTGCTGCGCGAATACAGCCAGTCTGTGACGAAAAGGTATCTCAATCAGGATGACGAAACTTCAAGCAGCTTCTTTGACCGTCGACACCAGAATCCGCGAAAGCGCAAACGCGAGCTGCATGATATCACAATCGCGCTTCGTCAAGCCGACCTTTCTAGCTCACATCATAGGCACTCACTAAACCGATCAATGGGCCAAAATCGTTCACCAGCGCGCAAGGTAGTTTGGATGATACCTAACACTGACGATCTTGAAGTAAATCGGCATCAAGAGCCCGATATGTCGAACATTTCTGATGGGAAGACCGTACCTGTGGTCGATAGTAGAGGAACACCCACAGGCACAACACAAATGAAATTTCCTATACTTGCAGCAGGACGAAGACATTTCACATTCCGTTGCTACCCTGTCGGCTTATCGGGATCCAGAGCTCGTCATATGAATATAATCTCTCGGCAGCCTGGAGAGCCAGCCTTGTCGATTGAGGAGGGACAGAAGCTGCAAGCGGCCATGAAAACGCAAAAGATAACCATGGGATATCTCGAGCGGGAGAGAGAATTCCTGGCTGGGCGGGCCACGTTTGGCACCCTACAAGAGGCTCCACCTACCGATGATAGTACAGACTCGGATTTAAGGAGTTGGGGGACTGATGTCGAGATTGTTGTTGAGGTGGAGTAGGCCCTGGTATTGGCCATCAAGTTGATTGTCATCCAGTCGTCCGGATTATATATAAGTCTGTCCTAGAGAACCTGGGAACTTGAATGAATCGTTGGAATATACCTACTCTTCGTAGTATCAAAGGTTTCCCCAGTAGCTACTAGTATCGTAAAAGATTGCAATATGACCCAGTAGGAGTTCTTGACTAAACTACCTAGGTATTCACTTTTGGCACTGTCTGTAAACGATCATTGCAAGGTTGTAAATTGCATGTCGAGTCTATAAACAGCTCATTAGGATATCAGCGAAAGACGAATGTTTGAATGGGAAAATGTTATGACAGTAGGGATTTCATTAAATCAAACATGCGCTAATTAAACAACGCTCGTGCAGCAACTCTATACGATGTATCACACTGAAATATGAAAATTATCTTCTAGAGTTTCGCCGCCGGTTGCAACAGATGCTTCATCTCGGCGTTCGGATATTCAACATTTTGCGAAGAATCAGGACGCTGTCTATCCCAAGCCCACTTCTCTACCAATTCGGACTCCAGCTCACCCTCGATCATCTGTGTGATGTACTTTCCAAGTACAGGGAAGAACTTATACCCATGGAATGAGCCGCATGTCGCGACGTAAAGACCCTTGGAAGCAGAGTGGGGTGAAATGATGAAGTCGGAAGAAGTGGTGAAAGCATCCCTATTAATGTTAAAATCCATTCAGTATGATCGAGGGGATCAATAGGGTACAAACCAGCAGATTCGGTGTTTCGTCATATTCCAATCCGCACTCTTAGGTCCATACCACAAGTTTCGAGACTCGACAATATCCTGCTTCAAAGGTCCGGGGACCTTCCACTGGTTGTAATCGTGTGTGGGTGGAGGAGACGAAATGTGTCGACCGGGCAGAACTTCTCGAGTGTTTGTGAAGATCTTCGATCCCCACCATTTCATCTCTCCATCTTTGGTCGGTGGAATGCTGCCAATAAAAGGCTTGCCTGTGATGAAATTAGAAACTTCTATTCAATGACTGTGGGTCATTGTATAGGACTTGCCCTCATCTGGTGTATATCCTTGGAACCCGACCGGCATATCCTTGTACTTCGTATATTGCTCCTCATTCAGCTGCGCCATTCCTGTCGTTATACCGGCGGCCAGGATTCGCTCTCCGGCTCGTAGACCTGCATTTCCGCTCTTCGCAGCACTCCACTCCAGCAACGTGGGCGTGAATGCTCCCGCAGCCACAATGACTTTTGTAGCAGATACCACCTCCCCGGATTTCGTCGTGACACCAGTGCAAGAGCCGCGACCATCGAATTCCAAGGTTGCAACCTCGGCCGTGATGTACTTGACACCCAATTCTATACACCGTTTGGTGATTGCTCGGAGGGAATCACCAGCAGCCGCCCAGCCACTGGCCCTGTTCACCAAAACCTCCTTGACGCCGGTGTAATCAGCATTGTCGAAAACCCCGCCGTAGAGCTTTCGGGCCTCGGCGACTGGGAGAGCAATAATATCGTCATTGCGTCCCAGTTCTTTGTGGTTGTTGATAACATTTTGTGCATAGTCACTGCGACATGTCCAATAGACACCTGTCTGGTGGAAAAACGGCTGCCAAAGAGGGTCCGACTTGAAAATTTCCTGAGCCTCGAGGGCTAGTCTGCAGTAGATTTTGTCGTCATAGTCTGCGCGAACAACCTTGTTCCAATCCCATGATGCGGCCACGCGAGACTCGGCGTCGTAAGCATCTCGGTCAATTAAAGTCACACTGGCGTTAGGATATTTCTGGATGAGATGGTAGGCGGTCGACACGCCGAAGACGCCAGCGCCGACAATCAAGTAGGAGGGATTGCTCGAATTCATGGTTGTGCTGGTATGAATATATAACTTCAATGTGTGACGGTCTTATGTAGTATGTATACTACGGGCCGGACGGGCCGTGGTGAGCTGGCGAGAAACAAGACCTTCCTCTGACGACTTGTACTGAAAGTGATACGGGCCGGGCGGACCGTATGGTGCGAGATGACCTGCTGGTAGTGACCAACCGGACTACCTCCGATAAATTGTATTTCCAGTCTCCCGGGAGTGAGAGCGAGTGGCCAACTTATCTATTCGACCAAAATGATTCCCACCGATTTAAACAGGTCTAGGTCTGATTAGAATACTTGAAAGAGGTCTTCGATTCCGCCGCATCGGGCTGGTTCCCGATCCGAGCCGATCACGTGGAGGAGCTTTAGATCGGTCAATTTGGCATGGCAATTTTGGGAATTTCAAATTAAAATTGGGGATCCTGAGGGGAAGCTTCCAGCTCCAGGGAAACTTGATTGATTGGACGGTGGCGGGTTAACCCTAGTCGCCCCGCCAAAGACCCCCCGCAGGCGGGGGGAGCTTCACTCATCCCCGCGCATGTCCGGGCCGGCTCATAACTGTCCCGGGTGTGTGACAAACAGTGATAAGTAGTCATCATCACCTCAGTCGAAAACTATAATTGCCCATTACATTAGTATAGGAGTAGTCGAGGCCATAGTGGCATAGTCCGGGTCATTCACATTCACACTCATATTCACATTCACATTCGCATTCACATTCAGATACAAATCCCATTTTCATAAATCATAATTCTTTCAGACATTGCCCGGGCACACTGACGAATTCAGGATCTGAAGGTAGCCAAGCGGACCATAGACCCGTGTACCTTGAGGAATTGGATAGAGTGACCATCTGATCTTATTTTTATATTGACTAATCATTGACAGAGGTCAAAGTGAGACAAGACAATTGGATTATAAACACTCGGGAAAGACGAGATGGAAAGAAAGGAATTTTAACAATGGGCAATAAAAGCCAAAGAAATGCAAGAGAGGTGAATTCTGAAGTTCGGGTGGCTACATCACGTAATCTAGTTACGAAGATTTCTTGAGTTGATAGATTACTAGGAGATCGGAGTGAGTATACTGGATTTAGACTGATTATTTTATGTAAATGCATTCTAAATTATTCATTGACTTGAACTTGAAATGCTATTTATTATTTTGGGTTGGACTACACCAGCCTAGGGTAACTAGGTTTTGCGAATGACTTGGTTATACTAGTAGTAAGTATCCACGAGCTTATTTAATTCCATGTCTTGATTCTCACAAGGTCCTTCTGCCAGCAGTATTGCCAAGAGTCGAGGATATTTGAAGTGAGCTTCGAGCTATAATTTGCCCAATTTTGAGGTAAGCCTTTCGCAGGCTTTTCTTGTCAAAGTCACGGCCGTCGGGGGTCCCCGGTCTTAATGATTGGGCCTTATCTTACTGTACCAAGCCACCCCTACTCGACCATCTGCCAAAGGATTCTTCAAAGAACCAGCAATAAGCTGCATTTCTTGTCCTCTGCCCATCCATATCGTAATAGTGTAGCCCTACCCCTGTTTGCCTTTTTTACAGGGGAGATTTGGCCATCTGAAGGAAGGTTAAGCGTTTCTTTGTTTACAGACATGGTCCCGATTTCCTATTACTATCGACTCCTCTCCCAACCACTCACTTATTTTGGTCTCCGAATCTGTTTTACCCTCCCTTGGCACTGTAACCTCAGCATTTGCAATGCCAAGTGCCGTCGGGTTTCCGCCTGCATTTTTGGCTTCTCAACACTCTCCCCTTCCAATAAGTTGTTTCCCCCTCTGCCAAGTACAGCCACTTTCTTGGCTCAGTCGCGGGGTCTATGCCAATCACGCACCATTGCTCTTTATCATCGCGTGCTTCATTTCTTCCAAAATATATATAAACTCAGCCCATTCTTCCTTCTGCAAAGAGCCACCATTATAATAAAGCGTCAAACATGAAGTTGCTTTTATTGATCTCTCATTTGACTTTGGCGCTGGCTGGGCGGTCTAAGCCCCTTGTTTCGCCAGTAAGTTTCATATATATGCTATAATCTTCCCCATATCACCTTCCAGATAAACTGACTCGTAAACTAGGACAAATTGTCTTCTTTGATTCACTTGGACGACCTTTTGAAGGGTTCGCAGCAACTTGAGGATTTCGCTTACGCGTACCCTGAGCGCAACCGCGTTTTTGGTAGTGCAGCCCACAATGATACGGTCGACTTCTTGTATCGCGAGCTGAAGAAGACTGGCTATTACAATGTCTGGAAACAGCCACAGGTGCACACGTGGACTACTGCGGAGTCATCGCTGACTTTCAATGGCGACACCATTGAGGCGACCACAATGACATACAGTCCCAGCGTTGATGTAACTGCAGAGATAGCCATCGTCTCAAACCTCGGATGCGCTGCATCAGATTATCCAAGTGATGTAGCAAGGAAGATTGCCTTTGTCAAACGTGGTGAATGTACTTTTGCCGAAAAGTCGATTCTGGCAGGCACCGCTGATGCAGCCGCTGTCATCGTCTACAACAATGCGGAGGGTTCTCTGAGTGGAACTTTGGGAGGTGTGTCTAGCGACTATGCTGCAATTGCTGGCATCTCACAGGCCGACGGTGCGACGATTCTTAGCGCTACAGAGGAGGGTGCCGTCACTTTGTCTCTCAAGATTGACAGCAGAGTTGAGAACCGCACCACCTTTAATGTCATTGCCGAGACTAAGGGCGGTGATCACAACAATGTCGTATCTCTTGGTGGTCATACCGACTCTGTCGAAGCTGGCCCAGGAATCAATGACGATGGCTCTGGAATTATCAGCAACCTTGTTGTCGCAAAGGCCCTGACACGATTCTCAGTCAAGAATGCCGTCAGATTCCTTTTCTGGACCGCAGAAGAGTTCGGCCTGTTGGGAAGTGAATACTACACCTCCCACCTGGATTCCAGTGAATTGGCTAAGATCAGGCTTTATCTCAACTTTGATATGATCGCATCACCCAACTACGCGCTCATGATCTATGATGGAGATGGAGATGCATTCAACCAAACTGGCCCGGCAGGCTCCGCCCAGATTGAGGCATTGTTCGAGAACTACTTCAAGTCCAAAAAGTTGCCATACATCCCAACAGCTTTCGATGGCCGATCTGATTATGACGGCTTTATCTCTCGTGGAATTCCCGCAGGTGGTCTTTTCACCGGTGCCGAAGGTTTGAAAACTGCCGAGGAGGCCAAATTGTTTGGAGGTCAAGCAAATGTGTCCTACGATGAGAATTATCACGCTGCCGGGGATGATTATACCAACCTCAACAAAAAGGCATTCCTGATCAACTCCAAAGCTACGGCTTTTGCCGTCGCGAAATATGCCAATGATCTTTCATCCATTCCTGCGCATAATGGTACAGTCACCAAGCGAAACACGAAGAGAGCACCCCGTACCCACGCTCACACCAAGAATACGGGCTGCTTCCACTCTCTGGTTGAGCAGTGAAAGTGCGCAATTGATTCCGCATACTATCAAATGACGAGTTAAATACAAAGAATACGTCGTATAGCTCTGATATTATTCCACATACTAAGGTAGATACGCCTAATAGGCCCGAAGGTAGTCCATTGGTGGAGCCTCGGTAAGTTTAGAACATGATATACCGTCACTGGGCACCATGCACTAGTTGCTACTAACCAGTAATATTTCCGTCGGTTTTAGAGGCTAAAATATCACTTTTTCGAAGGCCTCTTGTAATCCTTTTGACCCTAGCCATGCCTCCAGGGCTTGCATATCACCTCGATTCGCTCGCTGACCACCCCGCTCACCAAGCGAGTCTGTAATCTCCTCCATTCCAGAAAATACTCTTTGAACAGCCTCTGTCTCACGAAATCTCTCACTGACCTTCTTTTGGTGACTAGGGATATCTCCCCAGGAATGAGTCTTGATAAAGCTCATATATGAATCGATATGTGCCGACGAACCCTCAAGGCATAGTACGCCTGGCTTTCCTGCTAGCACAAACCCTGTCAAGGAATACCCCGGTGCAAGATTGACCATGTCATCTCTCTTCTTCCGCGTTGATAGAGACGGAAAATAAAACCAGACTCTGACGATCGGGCCACCAGATTCCGTATTGGAACTTGCATTTTCCAAAGCAGTTGCTTGGTTTTGCTTATTTACAAGAAAGTCGTGGATTTGTGCTTGAATATAGTCGAACGCCTCTAGCGCATCCCCTTGTGGAATGGTGGCCGCAACACCAGAGACTTCTGCTTTGGACATCCAGTCCGGTTGTCGAAGTGAAAAGCTGGCTGGTGGTGGTTGATCAATGGTATCCGGATTTTCGCAGTGTAGAGGGACAGACATGTTGACCTGGATGGTTTTGTCCCCATCCAAAATTGGTAGGCAGACCGTGAGAAACAGACTGGCAGGAATCTTTGGTGTATTTGTTGGGTTCTGGCACCAGTCACGAAGTTTCTCAATGCATTCGGTTGTGGATTCAGGGATATCCATCTCTCCCGGCGAGGGGAACATCGCGGCCAGGAGATCAATCGTTGATAGTTGTGACTCCATCACGTCCGGAGGTAGGACAGAGAGGTCCTGTGACGCCATTTTCTTTTCTTTTCTTTTCTTTTCTTTTCTTTTCTGAAATTTGGATAGCAAACTTGCATATGTCTAGGAAAATGCAATTTGCAGCCTTTTGGGATTCCGAGAACCGTGCGTGGGATTTTCCAAGCCTTGATTGCTTGAACTGCCCAGCAGTTCGATGATGAGGGTATCGGGATGTAGCAAGACTCAAAACGAGACAGGTATCTTGTATTTTTGATATGCCAATGGCTCTTACGTTTGCAACTTGTCATCTACCATCCAAATGGTTAAATCTTTCCATTTGAAAATCCCCAACGATTTTGCGGCGCGCAAATAAGTGCGCTTATGTCAGCTTGTCAAAAATGCCAGAATAAACGCAGAAAGGACACTTCAGATATATTAACTAATGCGAAACAGTCATTAACATGTTCAAAAATGTCGCAAATCATCTTCTATCTAGCCATCTCATTCACCACAGGATCGTCCTCATATAAGATATAGCTAGTACCTATATTTTCACATATCTGCATTTCTTCCCGCTCTATGGAAAACCCGGAAATAGGCACTACAAAGACCCCTCTAGACATCGATCGAGGCAAGAGCCCATTCAGTTAGCTGTGCAATTGAAGAACTGACTTCAGTTGTGCGAGGGATTTCATGGCCACCACCGTGGTTGTAAGTCCGTCGCTTGTCGGGATTGCATACGCTCGATAGATGCACCCCAGCGGCATACCTAGGATCTTTCGAGCCATAAATATGTACTGTGGGGATATCCACACAGTATGGACTTTGGATTTCGTTGCGCAGTTCATCCTCCGAGAGGCCTCCCGTGATACCTGTCCAGCGATTCACTCCTTGTGTCAAGACAGCTGACACGCCGGCCTGTTTTTCTAATGCTGTTCGCGATGCCGAGTCACGCTCATGAGCCTCCGCAGAGACGTGGAATCCCAACTCTTGAAGCATGTTCATGGAAACTCCGCCACAGACAAAAATGGCAGTCTTGAATGGAGGTGGGAGATGCGGTGTTTCTTCCTGGTGCAAGAGCAGAGCACTTGATCCGAGAACACACCCCTGCGAGAACATGAGGGCAGCATCATAAGGACCATTCATTGCGATGTACTCGTTCAGCCACAAACATGCAGCACGAACTGATTCAACGTCGCCAGAGTCCCACCATGCATAATAAGGGGGTTCGTAGAAGAGATCAACCCCGGCAGCCGGGTCACTTTTGAATGGGCCATCCAGGAAATCAAATTCGATATTTTTATCAGACAGCCGGGCCCGGAATGAGGCTGAGCGTGGTCACGTTAGTCTTAAGTAACTGCTGTGTCCATCAGAATGCAGGGTGTAATCAATGTACCTGTTTGGGAGCGGAAAATCGCACCACTCGTTCCTTTCCCGTGAAGGCAAAGGACTTTCATCGCTGATCAAGGAAAGTGAGGAGGTTTCCTGGGGATCTTCAGGTGGTCGGCGAAAAGGCTAAGAGGAGGAGTAAGGGAGTGATGGCGGGGGTGATGGTGGGAAAACAATAAGCACGAGGTGATCCTGGTCGTACTCGTACTAATTCCCGATTGAACCCCGGCATCCCTGCGGTCGCACCTTAGGGGGGACGCCGCTAGCCACTCCACTGTTAGTTAACTAGTTTGTGGCTGAATCAAAACCCTACAGCAACTGCACCATCTTCCATATCCATATCCAGAGCAACGATTTTTATCAACATTCAAATCAGTTCTGCCCACCCACATGTTACGCGTAGAACGCCACTTGGCGAAAATGGAAAAGGTGGGGGGTGTTTGTTTTGTTTTTCATTTTGCTTTCCATGACCATCGCGGGGTTCGCCCTTGCTTGCTGATGCTAGAATTTGCACCCAAAAAAGCAGGACGCAGCCAAAAGTGATATCAAGGTATTCCCGAACGACTCAGTAATTGGCCACTCTTTTTAGAAGAAATGTGAGTTGCATGATGGTATAAAATTAGCAGGCAATGGTTTTTGACATAACGCCACAGGCCGGTCGCGTTTATAAGATCGAATTTAAAGTCACAGACCACCGCGCAGTCTACAATACTACGCAACGGACAGATACTAGTAATATTCTATCAAACACGGTCTCCAGAAGACAGATCTACTGGCCTTCTTTTTGAGTATCTCCGCAGAGTTCTCGGCTAGCAAAAATTTCATTTGCCCGCCGGCGGGATATTCCTCCGAACTGACTCCAGTGATTATTCTTCGAGCGAGGCAAAACAACACCGCAATTCTGACTTCCCGAGGTCCATTCTCGAGCATTATCAATCAATTTAAAATCACTCCGGACCCCCACCGCGTTGTCGCACAGAGATTGACAGTGCGAAGAGGAGAAAATATGAATAATTTGTCTTAGAGGCGACACAATTCCGAAAAACCAATGATGTCAGGCGGCCAACCATCCCATGATATAGTCTGGTTCGCTGATAGTATTAATTCAGCTCTGGCATAGTAAAACCCTCAATTGACAATAGATACTAATACCTTGACACCACTACCACCAGCGATCCCTGGCGTAAAGTTCGGTAGCTCTGAGCAGGGTTTATGCGGCGGGAGCCCATGGGATCCACCAGTCTCTCACCGTACTATTCGTCATCATTCTACCGAATATCTCCACGAAACAAGGGGATTTGTAATCTTTCCGATATATAAATGGAGGACCATGCCGTCGAGCTCATCTTCCAAACCGCGTTTTTTTTTCTTGTCCCACGCATTGTGTACTAGAATCCCAATATGTCCACGCAAAAGGCCGTTATCATCACTCAACCCAAGACCGATGGTTTGGTCTCGGATCGACCCATCCCTACTCTCCGTGATGACTATATCCTCGTGAAGAATGTGGCGGTTGGTCTTAACCCCACTGATTGGAAGCATGTGGCGTATCTTGCTCCCCCTGGAGTTCTTGTGGGATGTGATTATGCCGGTGTTGTGGAGGCCGTTGGGAAGGATGTCAAGAAGCCATTCAAAAAGGGAGACCGTGTCTGTGGATTTGCCCATGGCTCTAACTCTGTCGAGCCTGAGGACGGAACCTTTGCAGAGTACATCGTAGTCAAGGGAGACTTGCAAATGAAAATCCCCGACCATCTCAGCTTCCAAGAAGCTGCTACTCTGGGTGTTGGCATCGTTACCGTGGGACAGGGCCTCTACCAGAGTCTCAAGCTCCAGCTTCCCTCGGAGCCCGTTAAGGATGCTACGCCTATCCTAATTTATGGAGGTTCAACCGCCACCGGTACTCTCGCCATCCAGTTCGCGAAGCTCTCTGGATATACCGTGATCACAACTTGCTCTCCAAGGAATTTTGACCTCGTCCGTTCTCTCGGTGCTGATGCGGTCTACGACTACAAGGACCCTCAGTCGGCCGCCGAGATCCGCAAATTCACCAACGACAACCTGAAGCTCGTGTTTGACTGTATTTCTCTCGAGTCCAGCGCTGCATTCTGTGACAACGCCATCTCTACCACCGGTGGCGAGTACAGTGCTCTTTTGAGCGTCAAAATTGCGCGTTCGAACGTCAATGACCGCTTTACTCTTGCCTATACCACTATTGGCGAAGCATTCAAATTTGGCGATATTCCCTTCCCAGCAAACCCAGAGGACAGGGCCCAAGCCGAGAAGTTCATTGATATTGCCCAGCCTTTGCTTCAGCAGGGCAAGATCAAGGTTCACCCTCCTAAGGTCGGCAAGGATGGCTTGAAGGGTGTCCTGGAGGGACTACAGTTACTGAAGACTGACCAAGTCAGTGGCGAAAAGCTTGTCTATAATGTTTCCGAGACTCCTTGATCTGAGAAAGCTCATGTTTTCATATAATGTTTCGGAATGAGTTCTGCAATGCAAACTACTTCATAAGTCTTAAAAATACGGACATCGATTCTCCATCTCCTTTACCTGGATTGTAACCAGCATTTGTACGAAATACTAGAAAATGCTCACTACGAAAATATTGCAATTGCGTAGACAGAATATTCCAGATTTGGAGAAAATTTTAGATTCTGCCTACTCCCCCCGCTGCTTTCGCCAAGTAGAAAAATCTCTAGAATCCGGCAAAGTTCCAATGCGGATTCATAGTATGGCCTTGCATTCCGAATTCGGTTTAAACTCCACCGGTGGCGGCGGGCTCGGCTTTCGCGGAAGCCTTCGATTCCCACACCCACCAAGATCGAGGGCAAAGCTCCATTCAAATCGGATTAGGTTTAGTCCCCGCAGCTGCAAGTAAGTTGAAGACCCTTGATGACAATTCAGACGATTATGGCAAAGCTTTTCTAGATTCTCTCATTATTTGCATATAAAGCAGTACGAGTGAGGATATGGGTATTTTAGAAATTACCAAGACTTGAAGCCAGAACTTCGCAGAACTCGAGATCTCCTCAGCACCAAATTCTCCATCCTTCGCAAAGCTTGGCAGCATGTCATTTCCTTATCAGAAAGTCCTGCTCATCGGTGCCACCTCTGGTATTGGGGAGGCACTGGCCACGAGGCTTGTCGAGAACGGCACCAAAGTCATCATTTCTGGGCGACGAAAGGAAAATTTAGATAAATTTGTTGAGAAACATGGCGAAGACAAGGTCACTGCCAAGACTTTGGATGTCATGAACATTGGCCAAGTAAGTTGAGGACAGGGAGGGGGATCCTACCTTGTCGGATGAACTGGCATCTAACAAATATAATCAGATCGCAAAATTTGCTTCCGAAGTGGTTGTTGAGCACCCCGATCTGGACTGTATTTTTGTCAACTCTGGCATCCAGCGTGCTTTCGACTTTTCCAACCCCGATATGGTCGACATGGATGTTTTTGACCAGGAGTTGACAACCAACTATACCTCGGCCGTGCGACTTGCTAAAGCGTTCATACCCCATCTTCAACAACAATCTACAAAAACTGCTCTAATCTTCACAACTTCTCAAATGGCCTTGGTCCCGATGATGCGTTGCCCGAACTATGGTGCCTCAAAGGCCGCCTTGCATCATTTTATCCTCGCCCTCCGTACCCAATTGTCTGATGGACCGGGGGATGTCCAAGTGATCGAAATCTCCCCCCAGCTGTCCAGACTGAGCTCCACGATGCGAAGCACCAGCCGGATCTCAAGAATGGCCATCTTATCGGTATGCCTCTTCAGCAATTCACCGAAGAGGTTTGGGAGAAGTTGGTTGGGCGAGAAGATCAGATTCTGGTTGGCTCGGCTAAGGATATTTTCAATGTATTTGAGGTCAAGCGACAGGAGCTGTATCAGCAGATGACCGAGATGCTATCTGGATTGTTGAAACAATTTTTGCGTTAATCTGTCAAGCATTGCAGGCTTCTATACTACTACTACTACTACTACTACTACTACTACTACTACTACTACTACTACTACTACTACTAGTATAGACTACGTACTCTATTCCGCATGGTAAGTAGCCAGCGACTCAGAATCATGGAAATAAATTAAATAAAAACATAAACAAAATAAAGGCAGATTATTACCATCCCTTCCACACTCCAATATATCCAAATATCATAAAACCTGCTCTGATGTATTTTGGCAGTGCTGCTCAGCTGGTTTCCCCGCCAAGCTTCGGCGATGACGTCGGCCATTTTTGGCTTGGCCAACTTCAACTTCAACTTCAACTTTCTTTTTCTTCTTCTCTTCCACTCCAGCTCAACATTTGATTCTCCCCTCCTTCCACAATGGCCACCAACTCAGAGGCAAATGCCCTGGGCTACAACCTCCAGGTGGACTACGTGGTTTGTTACAGTTTTGCCAATGTCGGTGAGTGCCGAGCTTAGGGGCTGGGCTGGGCTGCACTTCTTGACCGCTGGCTAATGTCTCGGCAGGCCGATCACAAGCTGTGCAACAGTTAGAAAAGCTCCTTCGGGCGCTCTCAGATGCTGGTTTGCAGACAGAGATCCGCCAAGGCGATGAATCATCGCTGCTGATCTTCGTGCGCGCCTCCAAGAAGCGACTGAGGAGGGCTGTCTACCGGTCGCGGTAAGCTCCCTCAAATTCCCCTCTCCATTTCTGCTCCCTGTGCATCCTGCGCAGATTCCTCCACCCAGTCCTGTTCATGCAATTCAAGCTAACCCTTTACCCATCACCTCTAGAGTCCGCGATTGGCTCTATGGCATTCGTAATGCCGAGCCCGAACCGGCCAGTGCGATCGAACCCCAAACCGAAGCCGAGCGACTTCGCGTGATCAGTCAGATGATTACCCTTCCTATTGAGGAAGGGGGCGCTGGAATTACTCCCAGTCATGGTGAATGGGAGAAGGTCACCGCTGTTTTCCCTTTACACGACGTGGAAACAAACAGAAAGTGGATGAAGGAATGGAGCAAGAAGACCTTCCTTTCTGATGATGATCTTGATCAGATTCGCAACAAATTCGGAGAAAGCGTTTGTTTCCCCCGATTTCTGCCAGCTGGAAATTACCCCACTGATTGATTATACTTTGCTTTAGGTCGGCTTCTACTTCTCCTTCTTGCAATCCTACTTCCGATTCCTCGCCTTCCCCGCCATCTTCGGCTTCTCATGCTGGTTTTTCCTGGGTGGTTATTCGATTGTCTACACCATCGTCAATAGCCTGTGGTGTATTATATTCGTGGAGTACTGGAAGCGTCAAGAACAGGATTTGAGCTGCCGATGGCAGACCAAGGGTGTTTCAGCGGTGCGGACTAACCGACGTGAGTTCAAACCCGAAAAGGAGGTCCGCGACGATAGCACCGGTGAAATGCGAGGTGTCTTCTCCGCGACAAAACGCATGCAGCGGCAACTACTCCAAATTCCATTTGCTCTACTTGCCGCAATCGCTCTTGGTGTTATCATCGCGACTTGCTTCGCGATTGAGATCTTTATCTCGGAACTGTATAGTGGCCCGTTGAAAACGTACCTGGTATGTCCGGCACTCCCCAGCTGTTCCCCTAATACTTTGCGGTCTGGCACTCACATTCCAAGATCTTTATTCCTACAATCCTGGTGTCGGCCCTTGTCCCTACTATGAGTGCAGTTTTGATGTCCATCGCGACCAAGCTTAATGATTACGAGAACCATGAGACCAGGGACGGTTACGATGTGGCCCTCACCCAGAAAGTCTTCGTCATAAATTTTATCACTTCCTACCTCCCGGTTTTCCTGACAGCCTTCGTCTACGTTCCCTTTGCTAGTCGCATTGTGCCCTACCTTGACGTTTTCCGTCTGACTGTCCGCCCATTCGTGTCCAAAGAACACGCTTCTGCAAAACGATCGCACTTCCAAATCGATCCCGCCCGTCTCAGGAATCAGGTTATCTACTTCACCGTTACTGCGCAGATCGTTGGGTTCGCTATGGAAAACATTGTGCCATATGTCAAGCAGGGTGCATTCCGAAAATACAAAGCCTTCAACAAGAAGCGCAACGGTAGACCAGGCCAGAACGGCGACAAGGAGTCCCCCGAAAGGAAGCCGATTATTGCCTATGATGATCCGATCGAAGAAAAGGAGTTTTTAGCTCGCGTTCGGAACGAGGTTGAGTTATCTGAGTACGAAGTCACGGATGACTTGCGCGAGATGTGTATTCAGTTTGGATACTTGGCACTATTCTCGCCCGTCTGGCCCTTAGTCCCGGTCTCCTTCTTTGTCAACAACTGGGTTGAGCTTCGCTCCGACTTCTTCAAGATCTGCATGGAATTCCGCCGCCCAACACCACTGCGAGCAGATACCATAGGCCCTTGGCTGGATACTCTGGGCTTCCTATCATGGGTCGGCAGCATTACGAGTGCATCATTGATATACATGTTTAGTGGCAACTCGCAGCATGGACCTAATGGCGAGCCAACCGATATTGCGGGCTGGGCGCTTCTACTCACCATCTTTTTCTCGGAGCATCTGTACCTTCTTCTCCGATATGCCGTCGAAACCGCTATGGCCAAGCTAGAGCCTCCATTCTCACGCAAAGAACGAGCTGAGCGATATCTGGTGCGCAAGAGATACTTGGACTCGACGCTCCGTGCTGACGCGGAGGATGACCATGATGAAGACGATACTGTTCCTATCTCAGGTCCTCCCGGGATCTCGCGTCACAGTCTTGAAGACGATGCTCGTCGGTCATCTTCGCATGAAACTGACCCCGCCGAACGATTCTGGATGCGTCAGCGAGGCTGGGAGGAATCTGTTCAGATCGGGGCGGGCATCATTGAAGGCCAACATGATGATGGAGATGGGAAGAAAGAACAGTAAATAGCTGTATCTAACTACGCAGCCTTGTTTCTATTCGAGCGGTTGACCTTTTGGTGAATACTAGCCTCGTGACGTTGAGTAACTTACCACACCAGTAGAGCCACATAGCCGAACAACGAAACTTGAAGAGAACAACACTCAGAGTTTCGAACGAGTGTATCCAGTCACGTACTAGAGGAAAGTAAGAGGAAACTGTTGAGCAAATGGAAAAGCAGTCTTGAATTTACAATCAAGCTCACCTTTATAAAAAGGAAGTTTGTAATTACTTTTTAAGTAAACAGAAATTCAGGCAGAAAGGAGTCAAAAACAAGGCATTAGATTACATAATATACTTCTGCCTCAGGCAAACAGGAGTATTCCCCGCCCGCATATTTGTCCGGCAGAACCCCAGGCGGTGTGTCTGGTCTTTGCGGGGTGCGGCGAGTCTTCCTCGTTACATCTTCAACGTTAACGTCAACGTCAATTGCACCAGCCAATCTCCCACTCTTTCTCTTTCTCTTTCACAAGACGATCACCACAGTATGGATAGAATACCCTAGTGATTAGGCCCTTCTCAGTCAATTGGATATTTATCCGCAACCCCCCTCCCCTCCACAATGGAGCAGCCTTCACCCTCAAGGGGAGGGCCTTCGTCACCAACAGCCTCCCGTGAACCTCGACTCCATCTTCCCTCGACCACCGATCCTCCGGGGCCCCAGAATCCTCCTAAACCGCTCGTCTGGCTGGTTTTCGGTGCGACAGGTCATATGGGCCGGTCCCTAGTCAAAACCGCCCTCTCCCGCAACGACCTGGTCAGCGCAGTCGGTCGGACGTACGAGAACAGCCCGGAATGCATGAAAGAGCTCGAGGACGAACATGAAAACTGTCTGGGACTACTGTGTGATGTACGGGCACGCGAAACTGTCAAACGCGTTATTGAACAGACCATCACTCGCTTCGGTCGCATTGATGTGATCGCCAATTGTTCCGGGTACGGCGTTATCGGAGCCTGTGAGGATCAAGACGAGTTCGATATTCGCAATCAATTCGAGACAAACTTTACCGGGACACTCAATATGATTCAATTATCACTACCGCATTTCCGGGAGCGGCGAGCCGGTCGATATCTGATCTTCAGTTCAACTTCGGGGGCACTTGGAGTACCCGGCCTCGGGCCATATTGTGCATCCAAGTATGCGGTCGAGGGGTTGATGGAAAGCATGCTCTACGAGGTGGATAGCTTCAATATCAAGGGTACGCTCGTGGAGCCGGGCCATATGCGTCGTGACGATATCGGTGATTTGGTATCCCCTTCCGTCATGGCTGCCAACCCCTCGGAACACAATCTCTCGTCCCCACTCCCGCTATATGGTCACTTCCTCGTAAAGCCGCCTAGTGAACCATACAACACCACAACTTCCCCGGCAGCCCATGCTCGCCGCATGCTCATGTGGCTCGCAGACAAACAGCCGGCCTCGGCAGTCAAGGCGGCCCACCTGGTCTGGGAGCTGGGTCACTGCTCGTACCCGCCACTTCGCCTGATCCTTGGCACATACGCGGTCGAGAGTATTCGTGATCGACTCAAATGTATCATTGAGGAGATCGAAGATTGGAAACATCTCAGCTTTCCTCTCGGTGAAACACAGCCTGCGCCAGCGTCTCGAGACCGGCTCGGGGAAGGGAACGAAGGCGAGGATCCCGCCACATGATGTGCATACAATCCGACCATCTCCTGGCTAGCTAGCTTCACCATCTCGAGATCGTCCAGCACTGCTAGAGGTGACCAAATTATTCTGTACTGGCACTACTAATGATACCATGAGAATCCGATACCCTATACGCTGCCCGAGGCAAGCATAAAAATATACCAGAATAAAGAAATAGTAATCCAAAGCTAAAAGTACTCCCGAGGTCCGTTCCGCATGTAAAATATCAAGCTACGAAAGTAAGATATCTTGATACTATGTTCTAACTAGGCGTGTGGTAAGGGGCAAATTAAATATACAACTGGAAAGAAGAGGGTTTAGTCATCTATGTACAAAGGGGAGTAAGACTCTATGATGGTACAAATTCACTACCCTTTCGCTACTACTCGGTCCTCGAGCCAGCGAGCGAATTTGACACTGCGGATGTCGACTGCACGCCAGTAGACATCACCGGCCCATATGGAAAGGGGTAAACAGATCAGCCAGCCGATCAAGAACCCGAAACAATATTGAAAATTGGTTTCCTTTCCAGTCATCTCCCATATACTTGGCATAATCGCGTAGCCCAAGCAATGTAGAATTGGTCCATGCACGATATAAAAGGCAAACGAAATCTTCCCCAGGTACTGTGAGAGGGGGTTGGTGAATAATTTTTGGATATCGGGCGAATGATTAATGCTGAACACTATCAGCGCGGCGCCGATGGTCTGGGGAAGCGATGAGGTTCGGGATAAGTCCATGGTGTAGCGTCCCACATCCATCGGTAGAACGGCGTCCACTTGTATCCGATGTTGGGCGTTGATCCAAAATACAGGCCAACAACAAACACAAATATCCAGAAGCGGCGGCGAGATATGCTGGCTAGCACCTTGCCTCCACGAATGAGACGAATGTTGGGTTTCTCGTCGACCGCGTTGGGAGCCTTCTCCCATGTTCCGTTGATCTGATCAATCTCGGCCATCAACATACCAATTAAAAAGAGGACTACATCCCAGCGACCGTAGCGCATACAGAACCAAATCAAGGTCGCAACGATCGGCATGCGCAACTGTGCGGCGAGACGGGAAGTGCCAAGAGCTACCAGGAAGAGCACCATCGAGCTCCGCAATTCCACAGGAATGGTCCACAGATGTGGGTTGTAGTTGTTGTAATAAAGACCCCAGTCGAATGGATTCATGAGGTGTGCAACGGTGTAGTAAAAGTCCCAGGACTGCTTGTAGAGAGATTTGTACACTGGAGGATGTTGCTCATTGGTGCCGAGAATGGTATGGCCTTCCTTGATGACGCCCCAGGAGTAGTTGTACAGCCCCAAGCGGACCGCCACAAAGACACAAGCCAGCCCGATAATTGAAGGAATATAGAGTCGTAAGGCTCGGCGGAAAGTCGACGAGGCCAAAACAGTAAAAGTTTGTTCGAAGGAGCGGGAGCGGATGGTCTTGAGAGGTTTGTAGGAGAGAACGTAGCCAGAGATGACGAAAAAGATGGCTACCATGATATGGCCCGAGATTAACATGTGAACAATGGGCAATTGATGAATGCCAAAGTTCTCATTGGCGAAACCCCATCCGACCGCGACTTTCCAGGTATATGTGAAGAGGAAGTGGAAATTGAAGACGAGCAAACAGGCCCAACCACGGAGCCCGTCCAGCGCGGCGATGGCGTGCAGTTTGGCCGGCTGTGGGGGGTTGGCACCGACATAACGCTGTAGGAAGCTTGGGGTCAAGGCAATCGTCAAGGAGTGAAAGGCATCTTCCGCTTGGGCGATCCAATCATCCCGCGGTCCTTTTGGGGCCAGCCCATTGTCGGGGTTCGCTAGTATGTTGGAGGGATGGAATTGAGAGAAACCATTCCAGCGGGAATTGTCTGGACTAGAAGCCGTGTGCGATCCCTTCTCGAGGTCGGCGAGGGGAATATCGGAAGCCGATGTCGAGGCGCGCTGGGTAACATGGGATGATGCCATGACCGGGGGGGGGAAGGGCGGTTCTCGCGATGTTTGGGAGCTGTGAAAGCCTCAACGGAGCATATTCGATCAGGAACCAGACCAGAGATATCGAACACCGAAGCGCATTGATGCGAGTCAAGCGGGGAAAAGGATGGCAAGTATCATCCAACGGTATGTGTTGTACGTTGAGATTAGTACGAGTAGCAACCAGAGAGAAGCTGATGCCGTGTCCAGACGGGGAGGAGATTGCGCGGCAGGGGAGATACGTCAGTGCGGGAGAGGCGCCGCGGCGGTGGATTGTGATTGGAGGAACGGGGAGAGGGTTAGTCAATCAAGGATGAAGATGAAGAGAAAAGAGTCCCAATGTTACCATTACTAGAGCAGAGTCATGGAAATGAATGAGCGGGAGTGACTGAGAAGAAAAGAAGAAGTAGAGTCTAGTATTAAAGTACTAGTAGAGGTGAAGTTGAAGTTGAAGTTGAAGTTGGAGAGGAAGTCGCGAATGCGGCAGGTCACGTGGGCTTGTATACAAGAGTGCTAACAAAGTTGGGATTTACAATACTAGCTAGTAGTACGAGTAGTAGTAGCACGAGTATTGACCTGAACTTGAATGTGATGGAATTATCTGCACTGGTACTGGTAGTACATGCAGGTTAGCTTATGCATGGCTGTCTCGAGCTCGCGAGGTCTAATCCATTCTGGTGCCCAGGTTCACGGGTGGTTGCACTCGATATATAAATCTCGGGTAAAGGGTACTACGAGTATCCGACGAGTAGATGCGCCACAACCGTGGACATCTCGACCTTGGGAACCCTACCTAGGTAGTAGAGGGAATAGTTAATTAGTACTCCTGATTACCACAAAGATGATAATAACAGGTGAATACCCAATATACTCAACAAAGTCTAGAACTATGATCATGCTGACGTATAGTTTGCCATGTCTGCGGCAAGAGGCGACTATCGGTCTGTAATAGATATAGTGGTAGTAGTACTACTAATAGTCGCTAGTATCTTACAGGAACTTGGACTTGAAGGTAAGAGAAACAATCAAAGTGCCCAGGTATTTGTATTATAGTGCTCCCCTTGTACTATCCCAACTCGGTCAACCCGGCTTTCAAATTCCACTATGGAATCCACCAGTGATCCCAAACGCAACCTTATCATCGTCTCCAACCGACTACCGCTCTCTATCAAACGAGTCGATGGAACTTTCCAATCTTCCCTTTCCAGTGGGGGACTCGTCACCTCTCTCTCAGGTCTCTGCAAGTCGACTCAATTCCAGTGGTTTGGATGGCCCGGGTTGGAGGTGAAAGATAGCCAGGACAGAGCCGACGTGGAGAAAAGCCTGGGCGAACACCATGCAGTTCCAATTTTTCTCGACAGTGATCTCGCTCATGAGCATTATAATGGGTTCTCCAGTAAGCTTATGCCGCAAATTCAGGCTTCCTCCCCTAACGGAATGCAGATCGCATCCTTTGGCCCATTCTACACTACCAATCCGGCGTGATATTCGACGACGGACCTTGGCAGGCCTACCGACGTGTGAATGAGCTCTTCGCTAATTCAATTGCCGATGTCGCTGAAAGTGGTACCTTAATCTGGGTCCATGATTACCATCTTATGCTCTTGCCGGAGCTACTCCGCAACCGACTCCATGAAAAGGGGAAACACTGTGCGATTGGGTTTTCCTTGCACACTCCTTTCCCTGCTGGTGACTTTTGGAGGAATCTCCCCGTTCGAAAGCACCTTATTGAGGGGTTATTGTCAAGTGACCTGATAGGGTTCCACACGGACGAGTACAAACAGAACTTTATCGATACTTGTGCTAGCTTGCTGTGAGTGTTGACTTATCCGAGGGTACCACTTGATCAAATTGCGAGTTCCTGACCCCGGCTTTTTCCTTCTCTCTCAGTGGCGCAAGAACCGAAATTCCAAATCAGATTCAATACCGAAATCGACTGGTTTGCACTGACAAATTCATTGTGGGAATTGATCCGCAGAAATTCACCGATACCTTGCAGAAGCCTGAAGTCAGGGCTCGCATCAAGTCGCTCGAAGAGAGATACAAAGGAGTGAAAGTCATTGTTGGCGTGGACCGACTTGACCATATCAAGGGACTCACACAGAAGCTGAAGGGGTTTGATGCCTTCCTGGATGACAATCATGATTTGCGGAACAAAGTGGTTCTTATACAGGTTGCGGTTCCAAGCCGGGAAGATGTGAAGGAATACCAAGAGTTAGAAACCGAGATCAGCACCATCGCGGGCAAGATTAACGGCAAGCACGGTTCGTCCTTGATGACCACTGGTAGTCAGAAGTCAGAAGTGCAAAACAGTGCCAGTGCTGACTTGACCAGCAACCCCCGAAGGAACTCCGCTTCTATATATGCATCGTTCGGTCCCATTTACCGAACTAGCAGCCCTGTACTCAATCGCCGATATTTGTCTTCTCACCTCAACCCGCGATGGAATGAATTTGGTGTCATTTGAGTACGTAGCATGCCAGGCACAAAGACACGGGGTGCTTGTCCTGTCCGAGTTTGCGGGAGCAGCCACTTTCATGTGTGATGGGAGCATTCCATTCCATCCAGCCAATACGACCGAAATGTCCGAAGCGATTACGAAGGCTCTGAATTTGGACGCTGGCGAGCGCAAGCGAAAATATGAGTATCTACGTGACTTCGTGAACAAGAATACCAGGCAAGACATCGAATGTGCTCCCAAGACTGCATGTATTGTACTAACAGGTTCCCTCCAGCGCGAAATGGGGGGAGACTTTTATTGAGAGGCTTTCTCAGCGAGGTAAACGACCGGATGGGCCGTGTTAAGTGCCGTCTGATGCACCACAGTGTGCAGTATTGGGAGCGGGATGAGCTTGCCGTATTGGCGTAAATGGACAATAAGAACAATACTTATTTATAGAAAAAGACTAGGGACTATCTTAAAGCTACTGAAAAGAGATGCTAGGATAGAGGTGATGAGGTTAAACTTCACACGTGGTGCTTCAACCGCTCATCTTTCGACGCTCCCCCCCAAAGGTATCTTGGGACGAGCCCCGTTCCTAGCTAGAAAGTCGAGAAAGCCATCTGTAAGATGCCTTCTAGGTGACGGAGTGACTTGCTCCTTGCTCAAGAATTTCGCCCTCGTCCAAAGCCTTCGCGATCTGAACACCTGCACTGGTGCCAATACGCGTGGCGCCGGATTTGATCATGCGCATGCAGTCCACTGCTGTGCGAATCCCCCCCACTAGCCTTAATATTGATATCGTTGTTCCCACAGGCCTTTGCAGTGAGTCGCATGACATTGACTTGGTTCACATCGGCGCCCCCTTTGAATCCTGTGCTGGTCTTCACAAACTCCACCTCGGCGATGCAACAGATGATGGTTCCGGCGATCAGCTCATCTTTCGTAAGCTGAGAGGCTTCCAAGATACACTTGATGATGGTCGGCGAAGGGGCTGCCCTGCGTACTGCCAAAATGTCGTCAAAGACCGAAGTATACCCGCCGTTCTTCAGCATGGGCCAATTGATGACCATGTCCAGCTCGGTCGCTCCCTGTGAAATGGCCTCTTTGGCCTCTTGTACCTTGTCGGCGGTATCATTAGTGCCTTCTGGGAAGCTCACGACGCAAGCGATGCCAGTATTGGGGGCGTTGCGGAGATAGGTTGCGGCGCGGTTGACGTATTCGGGCCACACGCAGACCGTGGCGAAGTCATGGTCGATGGCTTCCTGGCATAGAGTATCGATCTGATCAGGTTCGATGGGCTTTTTAAGAAGGGTGTGATCGATCATGCGATGGACTTGTAATGGAATAGCTGGCTGGGATAAACATCTCTCGGGGACCTTCTCGCGCACGTTGGAGATCAATGCCGCCCACTCGGCGTCGGTGGAGGGAACGGACGACATGATGGTATCTCCGCGGAGCAATATCGAAGATGCCGATGGTCCCTGAGATGCTCAAGTGAGAATCAGAAGTTCCTTGGGTTGCCAATGATAATGCCAATGCCAATTGTAACCGCAGAGAGGGGAAAGAGGGGGCCATCACGTGAGATTTATGCTAGCTCATCATGACAGAATCGGAGTAATAGTCATGGTCTAGGAGATCGAAATGAACCAGAAATGAGTATACCAGGGTAGTACGATATACTGGTATACTGTATATGGTAACCGGTGGAAGGTTGATCCATGGGATGGGAGTGGCACGGAACGAGAGTGGACCTTAGGATGGAGAGTACCCTAGCAGTGATGTGATAGTTGATAGTGGGATGGTAGTAGTGGTATCAAGGAGAATATAAAGAGAGAGAAAAAGCCGCATTTGAAGGTACGAGTATAACTCGTACCCCCCTTCCACTTCCTCGAAGCAAACAAAGTACAATTCGGGTATCGTAATATGGAGTTGACATGAGCACATGGCAGTGCCTTTTCATGCTGGAGATGATCAGATGTCTTAACGACAGCTGCCACATTCTGGTCCTCGTACATCGTCCACCCGCCCAATGCGCCGAGCACCACCACCACAGCCGGAACCATAATCGTAACCAGGACCAGAGTCACCCCCGCCTCCACCACCTCCACCACCGAAGTAAGAGCTGGGCCCCCGACCACGTAGACCGGAGTTAGTGCTTGGTCGGTGAATGTTAAACTGGGAGTTTTGGGCGGCGCCGTATGGGTCGAGCTGCGAGATTGAGTATTAGCGATCAGCGATTGGTGATCGGCGACCAAGGATGCGATAAGACAAACGCGCACTACGCGACGCTAGAGGGAGAGGGCCGATCGCATAAGGATGAAATCGGACGCGCAAGGAAGCAGCTTCACTCACCGAGAAGAGGCTCACGGTATACAAGCCAATGAAGCTGTAGGCATCGTTGAAGAAACGGGAGACGCGGACGGTGAACGGAGGGCTGTGGAGAACAAGAACACGTTAGCAGGAGATCAAAGAAAAAGACGGAGGAGGATTGGTTCACCGTTCGAGGGCCTGTCCATTCGAAAAGTAAGTTGCTCGCGGCTTGGGGGTAGACATTTTGATGAGGGCTGTGAGAGAGATGATGTGTTGAAGTGGAAGTGGAAGTGGAGGTTGAAGTGAAGTTGAAGTTGGAGTTGAAGTTGGGGGCGGCTGACCTGAGCAGGCCGGACCGCATTGGGAAAGCGGCGGCCGGGGCCAACTATAAAACTTGAAATTTATAGACTCGGACTATACTAATAGAATTGGAAATCTATCTATACTACGAGTACGACTACTCTCTAATCAGCTCTAAATATTCCTAGCTCCTCGCAATCACTTCCACTCGAGGCCCTGAGTAGTTCTTTCGACCATCCACAAACCACTGGATGGTCGAGATACTCAAGATGATACCGAATGCCACAACGCAATAGTCTATGATTATAATCATAGTCAGTACGAAAGGGGAAAGGTTTAAATAGTATATATAGTATATAGAGATAAAAGGTCGTGACTCACTCATATTGCTGCCGGTAACAGGTAACCCGGGTGGAAAGAGAAAAAGTACCGTCGTTAAGCTGATGTATAATAGCGAAACCTGCCAGAACGTATTTAGTTTTGAGCACTGGCAAGAAGTAAAATAAATGAATAAAATTGAAACATACGATATTCAAAGCCCAACCAAGAAGATTGGGAAGCATAAAAGTTCTCTCGGGAAGCATATTGCGTCCTCGAAGACAGTGGACTGCAATGGGGATCCCATATGAGAGATCCAGTAGCACGACCGAGGCTGATATGATGGCATTGAAAGCACTAACAAGGAATATAAATGATTTGCATTCACAAACAAACTGACAGGGATGTACATACCTGGTTGATCCTAGTAGAATGAACCCGAAGATGATAACGAGAACCAAGTTGAGATAAAGCGCATTGAGAGGGACTTGGAGCTTCGGGTGAATCCGAGAGAAAAAGAATGAGGCGGGAAGTCCACCATCTCTGTGAAGAATGCGTCAATCAATGCTCGCAACCTTGAAATCAGGTAGATACTAATAGGTAGTGAAGTTCCGCGGATTCACTCACCTAGCAAACGCATATATCATGCGACTACTTGTCGTCATGATGGCTGTTGCCGCAAAAAGAACACAAATAATGGGGAACCTTGCATCGTGTTAGTAAGACGATAATATGCAAAATACATTCTGAAGTCTCTCACATCAAGAGACAAATGGCCCCCGGGGTATTTCCGGTGGCACGACTTAATATTGCCAGCAGTGGCGTTGCAGCAGAATCAATGATTTCCGAGATATTACCAGCCACAAAGAGAAGTACAACAAGAAAGAGGGACCCTGTTATTGTCCCAATTCCGACGCAAGCGATCATAATTTGTGGCCCTGTTTCTGATGGATTCGGAATTTCTGTGAGGTGTCAGAACAGTGAAAACGAATTAATGCCAATCTCCAACCGGAGAGGGTCACCTTCGATCATATGAGCTACTGCATCAAAGCCGGTGACGCCGAGACCCCCTTGTAAAAGTCCCAGTAACCAGGCAACCCCATCGGGCCACCCGGTCTGATTGACAAAACCGCGAAAAACAAACCTGCAGTTGAAGTTGGTGAATATATTAGTGTGGTGCTCTAGCCAGAAAATGAGACCGGGAAATGCCACTCACTCTGCCGAGTTGTAGTTTGGGGCTGAGCAAGACAGCACCACAACACAAATGATGGCAAAGCCGCTCAAAGACCAGATAACTAACATATTACTAGGATCAGCACCGGGTGGACATAATTAGCTGGGAGGAACACATTTCTTACACGCAGCTCTGGTCAAGTGGGGCAATAGGCTGTTACCAGTGGCGTTCATGGTAAAAGCAGCAAAAGCGTACCCAAGATATATCAGAAACTGATGCCAGGTCTGAGACTGGTATGCCTAATCCGAATTTTGAGTTGAAATAGACCAAAAAAAAGACAGCTTCGAAACTCACTGGATTGACCAAGGAAACAATGCCGAGGATCAGTTGGCTCCCAAGGACGCCACCAGTAGCTGCTAGGGCCACCCAGCCAGAACAGTTCACCCAGCCGGTTATCCATGATATGATTGGCATCCAGCTATCCCAGGATATCAGTGCAACCCAGTGATATTGTCCTCCCGCGGTTGGATATGCAGAAAGAAACTCCGCAAGCGAGGTAGCCATACATAAGCTGCAGGTTCCGGATGTGATGAGCCCTGGGATTCCATATTGTGAGTATATCATTATTGTGTTGGACTTGAGAAATGCTGCTTACCCCAGACAACACAGGAACTTCCACCCGAGGGTAAACTGATGGATAGACTTGTTGATAATGCGGTCCATGACTGCTTGCTGTTAGTTGAGGGACATGGTATTTTTGATTGCTATGTTTTGGTGCGGCTGACATTCAGGATGGCAAAAGCCAAGCCTAACATTGATCTGGTCCGGTCAGTCATAGGGTATTACTCATAGGGATTGAGGAGGAATGTACAGAAAGGAAAACTGCTGCTTAAGCTCCCGCCTGTGATCTATTTGATCTAGATAGCAGTCACCATGATATGGTTTTGTATGGTTTGACATTATCTTCCTTTGCTCTGTTCAGGTTGAAACATATGTAGCAGAAGAGGGTGAACAGACAGGGAAATGAAAAGGGAAAAAGAAGAGGCCAAAAAAGAGGGAAAAAAAGAAAGGAGAATATTAGAATTGCAGAGAACAATGAGAGAGCGTTCTGATCTGGTCACTTTGTGTAATGCATTAGAATATGACTTCAAATTCATCAACCAGTACCCACCGATGGACTTAAGAGCGGCCAAGTTGTTGCCACGAATAATTTTTCAAAATGCGAGTCGAGTGAATTGAACAGTGAAATCGGTCATGAAAGCTGGATAATTCCCCAAATATCATTCTCTCTTCCGACATCCAGTTGATAGTCGTACTTAAGGGGTTTAATTGAACGTGTTGACTTAGTTAATTCCCCGTGGGGTAAAAGAGTTGTGGAGTACGCATCTCACCTCAACGGACTAATGTCCGCAGTCCACTATAATTGGAATTGACCAATGGCGTAACTCATATGATGACCATTGGAGATCAAAATAGCGCGGAGAACAGGATTTCGAGTTCATGGAATGGCAATTGGCTCGCAACAAACCCCAACCGCTAATGCTCGCATGGACATTCTGCATCTAGCAACAACTAAAGGGAACCTCATAGCTGACGTAATGAGAATAAATTTTGTACATTTTAGAGCTACCTGAAAATATGGAGTGAAACAATTTGACTTGATTCATATTATACAAGTAGTTTTTTGGATGTTTGAAAATTTAGGAATATACATGCAGCACTGCTTAATAATATTCTCGACGTCTGTCTACGGTAGTGTAGATTCCCGGCATTACTATTAGAGAAGAAGGCCAATTGAGAGGAAGCGATGATTAGCTTGAGGGACGCCAGAGACGTCCTCCAGAGCCAGAATATGCCCAGTGTTTAACGAGACAAGCTCTGGTGGACTACCACTTTTAGAGATCTCTGTCCTGAGATCAAGCGCTACACGCGGGGGCGAGACGAAATCTTGGCGAAAGGAAATAATGCAATTTGAGCTGGACATATTTGCAATAAACAGGATCGAAATGAGTCACATCAGATAGTGCCTCGCAACTTGAAGCTTGCATGTTTGAACATCTACTTCGGGGTCGGTTGACCCAGTAGTGACCTGACTAAGGAAAGCTCTGGCAAGGTCCGACCCCTTAGAAGGGACTTTCAGCAAAAGCATGCCCTCTAGAAAGGAATTTATCTCCCCTCCCTTCCAACCGATCGTGTCCGAATGGCCCGACTAAAGTGGCTGCTCGCGAGTCGAAGCCCTGCGCCTTGGATTGGCCAGAGCCAATGATCACTAAACCTCGGATGCGCTCAGGGGCCTCCGAAGCTAGGTGCACACTGATTATTCCACTAAGGCTATATATGCCCTATCGAAACTGCCGATTTAATGTTCAGGAGATCCAGAATATCTTTGAGAACAGCAAGTTGAGACGGAATGGTCAACGGATGCTGGGCTTTATGCTTGATCAACTTACTTTTGCTTTTTTCTAGCCCTGGCCAGTCGAACCTGACGATTGTGAAGCGGCTTTCGTATATTTCCATTGAAGGTTGGAAGGCATTTGAGACTGTTCCTAAGCCATGGCTCACTATGGCACATGGAACCTGGCCATGCACCTGGGCATCTCGATGAAGATATTTCATAAGCGGATATAGGCATAGAACGACTTTCGCCGACGAGTGAACAGTTAGCTATTTGTCGACGCCAAGGTAACCTATGAGATGATGGACGGGAGCGAGGAACTACTATTAACCAAGCTAACAGGTATGGAGAGAGAAATTATCTAAGGTAGCTTTGCAGCTCCGCCTAAGCTGGGAATGCACGACCTGTTTTGGAGGCTTTCCCGCGGAGCTTTGATAGTTGGGCTGACTCGGATCCTTAATTCCGGCCGCGGGCGGTTTATACGGATGATGATGGATTTAATCTTGGAAACCCGTGTGCGAATGATACTAGGTAAACCATGGAGCCTCAGGCTATACCACAATCACTCATTTGAATTTACCAAAAAGGTTCTATCAACATGATGCAGCCTACCTGGGCAAGTGTCCATTAATGAGTCACCTATCTGAGGATCATACTACTATCGTTATAGGACCCCTCTTCTCCCTGGCTCAATAAAGCCACACACCATCTTGTTCTAGCATTCCCATAGCTTCTATCTTCTTCATGCATGCTTTGATTCTCTGTACGACATGCTCGGGATACCCTGGTCCTAGTGGCGGTCTAGGCACACTCATATCCATCTTTAACCAAGGCACAGAACTGAGTTTTCCACAAGCCTGGCGCATTTCATCAATTTCCGTATCACTGTACAGAGCTCCCGCAAAGACAGCTACGGGTGGGTTGCAATAATTCGTCGTCCCTCGATTGGGGTCCTCGGCAATGGGAGGGGTAAGCCCTTCCAGCAAAAGTGGTATTTCGACTGCCCCGGAAGTGCTGCTGGTGACATTATGTATAACTAGGAAGAATATTAGCATTAAAGCAAAGACTGCCTGTATGTTCACCCTTACTTTCGTACTCTGGCAAGTAAAGAGGCTTGACAGCGTTGAATACTTGCGGGTTGGTGCTTCCACACGTAATGACTGGCAGGGGTGACATCGAGGCGGATCTATTCACGATTGCGAAAACATATTCCGAAATCAGCAAAGTCCTGTAGTAATGGGATTATTTATACTCATGAGCGAGCGATATACAGATGACTGTCACTGCACCTGCTATTGGCTGGCCGAATCGATTTCCTAAAGGGGACAAGCTGAACTTTGCTGACACGATGCATCATTTGGCCCCCCCCCCACCCTTCCCCCAAGGCTCTCTAGAGACCACAGCTTCAACACACAACTGGCACATGGCGACGATTCATTAAGAAGAACCATAAACAACTCAAATGCCAAACACCGGTCAATATAGCCAAAATTGCTATTCTTGTCGACAGCGACGCTGCAAGGTAAGGCGTATCGCAATACGTGGATACATCGTACCTACTGATAAACCGAGTAACAGTGTGATCTTGCACGTCCGTCGTGTGGTCAATGTCTTCGAGCAGGGATACCTTGTTCAGGCTATCGAGACCATATTAGCATGCGGTTCCGCATAGCCAGCACTTCGTCGTTTCAACCAAGCACGAGGCATCGTCGTTGGAAAGTACGCTACTACAACCCACCAACACCCAAAGTGCAGCCGGATAAAGACAGGGGCATCCCTTCTGTCCAGATAATATACGAGCCTTCGGAAGTCTGGAGCGACCATGTGATCCCTTTGGTCCTAGACAAATTCTCGGTCAAACTTGTGGATACAGCCATAGACGGTGGCATGTTCGCTACCATTCCACGCATCATATCCAACTCACAAGAGGGTTCCCCAGTCTATGCACTCTGCGATGCTATTGCATCTGCGTATTTAGCTGGTACAAGAGGGACAGCAGCTGCAATAGCCAACAGAGCTCGTGCGTATGGGACCGCACTACGGACAGTCAATCTAGCTCTAGATGATCCTGTTCAATATAAGAATGACAGCACCTTACTAGCTGTTTGGATGTTTGTAGTATATGAGGTAAGAATTAATTTTTGCCTGGGTACCACAGAAGGGAAGAACTGATTGACCTTCAGTTTCTATCGAATCGTCACCTCACATCCATTGCTGGATCAGAGGAGGGAGACCGCCACTGCCGTGGCATGGCAACGTTGATTGACCTCCGGGGCACGGAGCAATTCTATAGACCGGATGGTCGGAATCTTGTCTGGTTCGTATGTCATTGCACTGTACGACATCTTAAGCCCCACGTTTACTGTCAGATTCTCTGACAACACTAGCAAGCTAAAGCACTGGTCGCCGGCCGAGAGTCCCCTATAGAAGTACTGAGCTGGATCCACCAACTCTGCCAAGATGTGAAGCCATCTGAGCATACGCTTATTCAAGCATCTACCTTTGCCTACCACTGCACTCGCCTTCTTCATCAGATTCAAAATGCGTTGATCGGGAACTCGGAATTGATGCCAGTCACTTACTTGTACATATTGGATCAGCTAGATCAGCTGGAAAGGAATTGCAGCTTTTCATGTACACAGCCATCAATATTGTCGATTGGGGTTCATGCATATCAAGGGAATTTCCGAATGCATCTTTTGGCGAGCATTTTGGCCTTTTTACGTCGTGCCTACCAAGAAGACTGCTCACACCATCAACAGATTCATTCTGCCGCAATTCAAGAACGCTGCATTGAAAACTTTCGCACCACAGCTACGAATATCCTATGCACCCAGGGCATGTCACAGGATGTCGATCACATATCCAGTGACAAATTTAATCTCGGATGGGCCGATGCAATTATGGTTTACGGATCATTAAGGACCATCTTGATATCCCCTGTTTCATTGATGTGGCAGAGGAATGCAGCGAGTTCGATTTGTGCCACAATCAAAGAGCGACTTGGCTTTCAATTCTTGCTATAATTGAATCATTTCGTTAGCATTGAATCATATGTCATAGCCACCCCCATAGATAGAGTTCCAACGACAATAAGTGCTTTCATCGTCCGAAAGGGAAGTGAGCGGCAGTAAAAGCGTAAAGTACCACGAGGAATTAATATATTACAAATTGTTGAGATGTGCAGTCTCAGGCATCAGCCCCGCCTCCAAGTTCCTTGTTTCGGCGCTCCCTCTTAGATGCTATATAGTCATTCGCAGTCATCCACCACCTCCCAAGTACGTGGTTCTTAGCTTTTTCCGAGTCACTGGCACAAATCAGTCAGTTCATAACTAACTAACGATGCGATATGTAAATGATAGTCCTACCCACCGCTCTATACCTAATCTAGTGCTGACTGCATGAATCCTACACTCAGTTGCCCCACTGCTGCCCCACCGATTTTACAGCCCGTATTCGAGTAAGGTTTCGGTTGTTTAGGGGCGGAGTTTGCAACAATCCAATTAGAGCAAGCATCATTGTGCGCGAGCGGCACGGCACAGGCTAAGTTCACGGACGACTTTCAGCCCTGGAAACGAGAAAAGGGATAGCCGCACGGAGCAGATTGAGTCAGATGGCCCTTTAAATTTAAAAGTAACTCACCTCCTATTTCTATGTCGAAAAGAGATTCCTGTGGCCTACTGGGCATGTTTATCTTCAGCAGGCTAATCAACAAATAAGGTCCACGGTTGAGTTGTGATGGCTGCCAACCGCACTCTTTTGCTGTGTGATGATCCGAAATATGTTTTTCAGTCCTTCAACAATCTGGGTAACTGCTACACCGCAACTGGAGAAGCAGGAACCTCGAACTTCACCAAGATTGTGGAAAGATGCCTGACCGATTACTGCAAGAATCGATATCCTGATCTAGGTGGCTGTGAGAATTGGCACGGACCTACAGCTCTTCCATTTGTTGTTAGCACGACGACAAGCAACCAGTATTTCTGGAACAACGCTACCTGCGCTGGGGTCAGCAAAGGGGTCAATACAGACATTGGAGGGCCTGGCGTAGGTCATTTCAACCCTACCCACTGAGAGAGCATCCATATTAAATACATACAAATAGGTCTTTGTCTCTTACTTGATGCAACTAGGACTCATCTCCTATTTTTGGATACTCCTCCGGTCATTTCGCCTATTCCCCCTCCTCACTTCCATGTGGAGTAGAAGAAAACAGCCCCCAAAAACATCACCTGCCAAAGACCAAACCCGAAGGCGTATCATCCTCAGACTGTGCCACTACTTCACCCAGCATGACCGCATCGCAAGGGTAATCCTTGTCGAATTCCAAGAAGCCCAATGCTTCTTCATGATCGCCTCACAAGCCGCTATTCTGCTCGCTAAGAGCTCAACTGCCATCTTTGAGTCCAATACAATGCCCTCCTTACGCGCAAGTAACGGCATTGCGGGGATGGTCTCTAGCGCTGGCGTACTACCAATCGTAATGGGTATGTGGAGTCTCCATAAGATGCATCTGACAGAGCCATGGATTCTTTTCTTGTCTGTTGCCACCGTCATCGTTTCTGAATTTACGTTGTACTGGACACATAAGGCACCAACCGTTGATCAACTTAGTGCCTTTGACTATAACGGATGGCCACAGAGCTGTGGTGGGTATGCGCCGCCATTGATTTACTGTGCAGACCACAGTGAGGCCTATTATCTAAGGGTCCCAGTTGTCTTTTTCTGGCAAGTGCTCAATCCTTATTGTCTGATTGTATTCGGACTGGATGTTATATTGTGGCTGCGGCCATATCTCGCCAAGATAGTAGATAACAAAGGAATTTGTCAGAGGTCCTTCTTTCATCTAGGCCTTGACAATTCCTTGTTCGAAGGTGAAAAATTGGCCGCGTCCGTTTGGGCGGCATGGATTAAGAGGTTCCCTAGCCTGCTTACATTCTGTGTTGAGTCGCTCTTCGTCGCAGCTGTCTTTTTAGAATGTTTGTGTTTTGCGGAGTTTGTGCACATCAAAGTGATCGACTTCTCAAATTGGGGCTTTGGCCAGATCGTCGCGATGACCATATGGTTCCCCGTGGTTAGCAAATATGCCTATATATTTTTATGTGAGTCTTACTCTGTGCGTGATGTTCAAGCAGAGATTCCTGACTGTTTTGGTAGTTGGCACCCAGTCTTATTCGCAAGCACGCATGCCTGAGTCCGATCACGTTGACAACAATGAAGAGAAATCTAATCAATATGCGGATATTGAATCATCAGGTTTGAAGTCATCGGATCTTACCGAGCACAAATCCAAGGTTAACATGGAAGGGATCCGTGATGAAGTAGACCAGGAAACTACATTTTGAACCAAACTTTAGAGAATATCATACTATCATAATCAGGCCTACATTTGTGTTCGCTTTCCCGCAGTATCAAAATGAGACTTGCAGTAGCCAATGATGAAAGGTTAAGTGCGTAAGGAGATCACATAGAAGGCTCACAAAGGGTAGATGAGGACGGAAAAACCATTTACGAAGTGTTACTGGACTGGATCATAATACCCTTTCAAAGTACCAACGTTATTAGTATTTCCGATGAGGATGATGTACAAAAATGCTGACGGAGGTGCAGGGTAGTAGTTATTGAAGAAGGGAAAGAATGCTATAGTATGAAGGTAGCGCGTGGTTATCAGTTCGGTTAAAAATACCAGCATGTTGCCTGGTATTTCTCGTCTGTGCAGTCAAACACCTTGTAGCATGTGCATTGCCTACTATTTAGAGCTACGATATACGACCCAGTAACAAGGATACACCATCGGGTCTAGTTCCAACATATGAGAGTAATTGTACGTTGCACCTAAAAGGGAGCTCTTATTCAATCCGAGAGATGGAGGCTGAGTGCTAAGATATTTGCCGCCTCGATAAAGAATTGTCCGATGCCTGTCTGCCATCAGAGACAAGATTTAAGAGTGGATGAAGATATACACATTTGTCATCGATGTCAAGTTTGTGGTCAAAGTCAAATTCAAATTCACATGAAAACTCGGTGCTTCCATTTCCAGGTAATTCCCCTGCAAACGCAACCTCAAATCCGATACATCAAAATATCTCTTTCAATCATGCAGCTAGTATGAGGGGTGGAAAAGTTCCAAGGAGCTTTGTCTTATGTCATGACGAGTTTTGATGTTAATCATTTGGAAAGAATTGCGGTTGAATACTTTTCAATCTGTTGCTTCTATTTCTACTGTGACAACATGCCGGTTTTCCCATCTTGGCCCCAGCTGAAAATGCCGATTCAAAGCGAGGTCCGAGGGATGATCGGACGTGAAGCCCTGGTTCGTCTGCCACTCATATCCTGAACAAACCTTGCTATGGCCTGGAAATTCTGCCCCGGCGAGGCACGCTGTTCTTTTTGGCCAATGACAGGATGTACCTCGGTGCCACAGCCATGGAAAAATCTTCAGCTGGAGTTGGATCAAGCATACGGCGATTTGGTATCAACGAGAACTCGATTCTGGAGCACGGTGTATACTCTCCAGAACAGACGGCGTGATCCTCGCAACCTAGGCGGATCGGGGAGACATCGTTGCTCCAGGTCACCATATGCCCCGCCTTTTGATCAGGAGGAACCACCTGCAATAAGCTAATATGAATCACTTATCTGAGAAATGAGGAATTTGTGGCAGGTGCATTGCGAGTCTTACTGCAGATTAAATGGCTGTTGAACGTGTAGCCACTGCGGAGGAATATCATGACATAATTTGGCAACAATCACACCATATCAGAGCCAGAGTATAAAATGCCAACTCGGTGTAACAAAAGTCATTGCAAATCTCCTCATGAGGTAGAAGAAACACAATCTTGTGTAGTCCCACCGGGGCACTGTTATAATATGTGGTTATGTAGGGTTCAATTAGAACTCTATGCTTTCATGCCAACTCTTATCTTTATTGATTTAGGCCTTTGTCGCAAGCTTTACGTGAATGAGGCTATAATACAGCCCAGCCACTTCTAACAGTTTTCATTAGGTAGGTCATTCGCGAGTGAAGACATTTCGCACATTGTTCCACTAGCATCGAACGCCATGGATCGTATCCCAAAATTCATTTCAACATTCCTGAAACAATTCGCCACAAAGCCTACAATTTTGAACACTAGTTTGGCTTTCATTGACTCGAGAGGGCCTTCAATTCACTATTATTCCCTCCTTCTCCTCAGCCGCTGTCAGAATGATGGCGGTTGAAGTGCAAGGATAGCACGAGACCGATTGGTTATAGACTGAGAGGATTTTCAACCCTCGGGCCGCTTTTGGGGCGGAGCCTCAACACATTATACGTGCTCTGCAAAAAGGACTTGACGATCGCGCAATGAGGCGTAAGGCTATCTTAGAGAACTCAATCTATTTTGACTTCGCTTCAAGGCTGTTTCTTGTCAACTCGGATTCTTAATAGTGCAAACATTCCAACTGCTGTCGGGTGCTTTTTTTTTGATCCAACCCCCCCCCCCGACTTTACTCGGATTTTCAGCCGGATTACCTTCGCCCCCCTCCAGATAATGTGCTAGTAGTGCATGGTTGTACAGTGGTTATTAATACACGATCTATCTGGCGCTGTCGAAACTGACGTAAAGTATAATGGGGTGATAATAGGGCAATTGAAACTTTGTTTAAATCATTTGGTCTTTTATGGACCTCAATTCCAAGGTTAGAGCCCGTGAGTGCGAGCTCTTTCACCACAGGCGAGGTTGACCATGACGCATAGTTAAATATAGAGAGGCGCACGAACTTCAAATACATGTAAGTGAAGCAAAGATCTGCGGCCCCGTATGGCTGTGTTTAAGGCGTACAATCGCAGGTCATTCTTTCAAACGAAAGGGCTAAAAATTGTAAACATACGCGTCGTCAGGAATCCCTTGGGGCTCGCATAGACTATAGAAGTATATTATATCCTTTACCTTATCTACAAGGAGCCACAGACTAATCTTCAAATTTTCACACCAAATAGACTATATATTTGCTCTGATGAATTTCTCCAACAACGTCAGCTTCGCCTCCATCGTTTTGGTGTGGAACTCCAACACCAATTCAACAGGCTCTACAAGGCCGGTGGCCTATGGATCATGATGACCGTAGGACAATGCCAGCGGGTCAGTCAACCCTCCCCCCCCCACTACTTCGTGGCCTTTATGGCCTTTGTGTCGCGTTTGTCCATCCACAGTGTTAATATTCCGTGTTAGCGAAACTGTGAGAATTCCAAAAAAGTCAGGAAGCCGTGCGGAATATAATTTTATTTTGAAGGAAGAGGTACAGGAAGAGAAGGATTAAAACTTTAATTAATTTTTATTTTTATTTCCGGCCGGGGGCCTTCGACTGTATTAAGCATAAGTGCCAGAAATTACCCGTCATGAAGCTAAATTGGCAAGGGGTCGAGAATATACCCCTTGTGACGGAAAGTTTTATGTTGTAGCGATAGTAAGCCTGGTGGACTTTAATCGCGAGTTTATTGACCTGGCTGCATGAGGATGGGTATGCTGAGAACCTGAGCAGGCGAAGGACGCGATTTTATCAGATTTAAATACTTGTTTTTCAGCATCTGCAATGGCATTGATGAGGCGCCGTGTTATTTCCAGAACATGATGATTTCGAACTAGAGGTACTTTATTTGGCCACCTATTTTAAAAATGCAAATATCATCATAAATGGTCAAAGGATTAGGCAGTCGATCATGTCTATGACGTTAGGCTCGATTTTCGATCAGGAACCGCAAGGGAAAGGGCAAGTTTATGTCAAACAAACTTGGCTTTCCGCATCGATGCCACGCTGGTTCTTCCCGATGCTGTGGCCTTTTTCCTGATTTGCGCCAGCCTCGCATCAAAACAGATCGGGATTTTCGTTGGTCTCGATAGAACCACCCGAAGCGGTGTGGGGCCCACAATTTGAAGAGTATTCCTGGAACAGGTAACATATTCCGTGATGCCCACCTGGGCTTGGTTCAATTAAGGTTTATTCCAGGTCATTTAAAGTTTGCCATCACTTGGAAAGATGGAAATGCTGGATATAATCGTCATCTTCTTATCCTGCAAGCATTATGCACATTGCTTGTGCCAGCACCCGCCCTCTGCAAGCAGGAAACAATGTCCTCCACCAGCGGCGGCATCATTGTCATTGTTTTCATATCGATCGCGCTTTATAACGCACTCGAACTACTTATCCTTATCCTCTTACGCTTTAACCATTACCAAAGCCTCTACTTCTGGTCTCTGCTACTCTCCAACATACTTGGAGTGATACCAACTAGCGTCGGAACTTCACTTGAGTTCTTTGCACTCGCACCTCTCTGGCTGTCTTTGACGATCTCGAACATTGGTTTTTGCTTTATGGTCCCCGGTCAATCAGTCGTGCTGTATTCCCGTCTACATCTTGTGTCGCAGAACTATAAAGCTCTCCTTTTGCTACGATACCTGATTTTACTCGATACAGCCCTGCTGATCATCCCATCTATTACTCTAAACTTCGGATCAGAATATATTCTCACACCACCTTGGAAAATGGGATATAGTACGATGGAGCGGATACAGGTCACCTGGTTCTCAGCACAAGAGACACTCATCTCGGGAATTTATATTGTAGAGACGGTCAAAATGATCCGGCTCAGTCCCGAGGGAGACAAGCGACGCATCAAAATACTTTATGAGCTCCTTGCGCTGAATCTCGTTGCGATTGCGATGGATATTTCACTTATTGTGCTCGAGTATATGGGCTTTTACTTTTTGCAGATTATTCTCAAGGGAACTGTATATAGCGTTAAGCTGAAGATGGAGTTTGCCGTGCTCGGATTGCTGGTTTCCATTGTTTCGGTTCCCTTGCCTACTACTGGGTTGGAGATGCAGAGATCAGATAATTGCTTTTAGAGTCCATGGCTGCTAGTAGCTGGCAATACGTCCATGGACGTCCACGACGAGCGGTGCGTGGAATATTTTCTAAGGTTGTATATACTCGATGACGCATAGGTCATATGAACTGCGAGTACCTAACTGTAATGGTACTAAGGAGCTGGCTAGTGACCAGTTGACCAGGTGGTGATTGATAGAGATTGAAAGCTGTAATACGTAGTAGACAATGAAACTGATTCTTGAAGAACCTTCAAAGAATCGAGTGGCAATTGCCTGTTAATATAAACAAAGAGTTCGGAGATCCATTCCGAATCGAATATGGATCAGGGTAGTATCAATACCGTCATAACCACATATCATCCGGTGATACCGACGGAATTAACCCCCGTCGGGTCTGTATCGCGATCTTATCAGATATCTCGATAGGATGGACCGGATCTCTCTCGATCCCGATGGGGCTAGGGCTTGCTACCAATTCGATAGATCCCGTGACACTAACTGGAGAATATAAACAATGTCTTTATTTTTACGATCCATAGTAGGGTCAAACCACTAGTTAGTGCTCATATGAGGAGCTCAGATACCCACAGAGATCAAGATACGACGCAGTGGACCAGGCAAAGGAAAGAGTATAGTTCGACGAAAGTAATAGCTTGAGGAGAAAAGGAGGAAGCTAAGATGGAACTAGGTACATATAGGCGTGGATAATATCTAGTAATCAAAAAGTTATTAAAAAAATAAGACTATTTGTAACGATATCTATATAACCTAGTAGGATATACCACCATCTTTACTATAGAGCTCTGTAATTTGTTTTATTTTTAAATATATTACTTTTAGATTTTTTAAACTATTATATATTGAAAGATGGGAATGCTCGTAGGCAGTCTGCGTTGGCAGACGGGTCGATCGCGAAGAGACAACACTACTACACTCGCAGAGTGCAAGGAGACGGTAGGCAAGCGTGACGCTATAGAGAATTAACAGAACGAACAACAGAATGAATAACAGAACCTTTCATAAGCAGTATACCGATACCGCAACCTCAGTAACCTCAGTAGAACATTTTCATAAGGGGGAACATGCATGTTGAATTGATTCTATGAAACGAACGCTACTTCTCCTCCAGAAACAAAACGGGGGCCTTGTTGCTAAGGCTTCTGTCACATGACCCTAGGGTACCGATGTTGAGAGTGGAAATCCCCATTACAATAGCTAATTACTACAATTACTATAAGACTGATAAGGTCTTATTAGGCTTAGGGGAATATAGAGAAGGAATTATTATAGATAGTTGATTACTGAGTAGTCAATAAGATTGAGGATTTCGTTGCTTGATTGTAGAGGATTCTGATTATTATGTTATATTGGATTCTGAGGGACAAGTCCTATATATATCTAATAATATTTTTATAATAGAACCTTATTCTTTTTACTACCTAAACCTAGGGTACCTACATCTGCACTGTCCATCACCAACACTGATTTCCACTCCTGATTGGCGCACTATTTCTCCTAGCGAGTAAGTCGTTCAACTTCAATATAATCATTTTAAGATTTCGGCTGCACTGTTCATCACCAACACGGATTTCCACTCCTGATTGGCGTATTCTTTCTCTTGGTAAATTAGCCGTTCTTGGTTTCGCCATTTTCGAGTCTAGAGCAAGCCAAGTCTCAGGTTAAGGTTCCACTTATTCAATTAGAACGCCTCTTTTTTTGTAATTCTAATGCCTCATAATAAAAGCAACCCAGACGAGATCTAGATTGTACATTACGCCGAAAGCACAAGTACCTGGTAAAACTTCACGCACGTGACCACAGATGGTAGATGGGTATTTCGATCGACGGGTAGATTGTGCCAAGCACCATCTACCAATCTACTGAGTTTACAACTTTAAATAAATTATTTACAAAAATACATGTAATAAAAACTAGAGTCTTAAATAATATTTTATATAAAAGAGGTGAACCAAAGATGCTATTCGTTTTGTGAATAATTGAAAAACTAAGGATGAACGGAAGGAATATAATACGGCTGTCCGAAACTAGGTACCTTTAGGCACTTCTGCTATACTTAGACTAATTATCTTTGGACAAAAGTACCCGGATTATATACTGATAAACGTCATAGATGACCCCTTTCTATGTTAAAATACAATATTCATGGTGGTGGTGGTAATAGCTAGAATAACAATTTTATGATTGTTGAGGGCAGAATTTCGTTCACTTCGCGAATAAGATTCGCCGATTTGTTACTCTTTGCGGTAGGCTGAATGGGACTAAGGCCCATAGCCATTCTACCAGCTTCAGATTGAACATCTCCCGTCTGTGCTCTGTCAGCGAATTCAGATTCTCCAAGTCCACCCGGGAAGTCTGGTGGGGGGACGCCCTTCAAAAAAGCATCACGCTGCTGTGCGACGTATTGCTAAATAAAGTCAGCGCACAGCACGCGGCCACAAGGCTGTGGTTTATTTCCTTACCGCATTGCTAGGAGTGAGCGGAACGGATGGAATGTAAAATACGGAAGCGTCGTTGTCGCCAGTGTTGTTACTCTCCGTACCGTGAATAGTGTCGGCACTCCAAAATACTACGAAGCTTAGCTACGTTCAATCCTAATAATGATTCACAGCCTTACTGGTGTCACCTGGCTCAACGGTTGGGTAAGGTATCATCGTCTCATTCAGCATCAGATGAGGGTGGTGGTCAGGAGTATGCTCTTGAGCACTTCCGGGGTTTGCACCATGCAGGAAAGTATTGCCTTCTTCATCATCGAGGGAAAATTTCCATCCGTCCAAGGAACCCTTCTGAGTAGGCTCGAAAAAGGGACGAAGCATCCAGTACGCGGTGGAGGGCTGTAGGATGGGATGAACGACAAGAGTACCTGCCGAGCCGAGGGGTCAGCCTGGAAAGAGTTTCACTTTGCTGTTTAACTGACCTTGTTGGGGTCCATGTCGGGATAATCCAAGCCAGCTCTGGAAGGCTCGGAATACTGAACATCCTCCTGGTGCATCGTACATGTTCATGTCGGCGCCAAGTCGGCCAGTTAGATCCCATTGATTGTACTCCTTCCACTGTTGTGATATCAGATGGCCGTGCGGATGAAACAGGATAGTGAATGGCTCGTTACCTTTCCTTGGAATATATTGCGATAGACATGGTTGTAGGCGCAATCCTCCCACCTTTCGACTCCTCCACCGTCGACGTGAGGCGGAAGGGCAAAGGTTTGGTCGCCAGGCGCGCGGATTTGAACTCGATCACAGTAGCTGAGTGGGACGGTGAGGTCCACTAAAATATATCAGCAATGAAATGCCCTTTCCGGTCCGTGCTTCGCTTACCCTTTTGGTCTGCATCAGCGGAATATAGCTGGTTCATCCACGACTGTGTGGCGAGCATATTAGGGTGCGACCTCGCCTTCACCTGAGAACGGCTCCAGTATGATTCGTAGATAACCTGTTCGTTGTCAATATGAGAATCCTTCCTAGTGAAAGAAACCCACGGAAGATGAAGAGATCACAACTGAATTATACATACCTTTTTTTCCGCATCCGATGGGTATCCTTTAAATGGGTGTGCGGCCAGGTACTGGCACATATCAGAGAGATATCCCTTTGCAACATCCTTCGGCACAACTCCTCTGATGACGGCAACACCAGTGCACCGGATGGCGTTGACACTTTCGGGGGCAATATTGCCAGCCTGGATATCTGAGAAGTCCAATTGGGGGATGATCTGTTTTTGTCAGTATGTCGCTGAAACTCGATTTGATAAAGGGGCTGAGCTTACAGACTCCCGCTTGGAAGCGACCTCTTCAGTACGCACTTTCAGAGTCTCGACCAAGTCATCCCACGATTGCTGGATTTGCTCTTCAAATCCAGTGGTCAGGTTACGCTTCAACTCATGGAAGCGTTCAGACAGTGGCTGAATTTTCCTTCCGGAAAAAGATGAGAAAACAGACGAGATATCGCCCTCTTTTTTCTCCTTTCGAGTCAGTGGCGATGATTCCGTCGCTAAGAGCCGCTTAGCTGTGCCCGCGCATTTTCCAGCTCGAAGAGTAGGGCATTTAAGGCAATTCGGGGAGATTAATCTGTTCATGATCAGGCACGGGAAACTGAATAAATTGTTGGCAACTACTAGAGAGTAAAGAAGAAGCTTCCTTGGGCTTCTCCGATACAAGTCATTCCTCTACCCCGGACTTATATATCCTCAACTGATCGCCCCGCGCCCCGAACCGCAACATTTGCGATGCAGCTTCATCGAAACCTTGGAATTGGGGTAGAATGGAGGCTTGAACGAATTCGGTCTTCCGACAATCTCCACACATAAATGTGCTTCAAATGGAATTGCTTCCGAAATCGGTAGACAAAGTTATGGCGTCCAGCCCGTACATTGTGACGCCACATGGTGGATCGCTGTCTGCCGATCAACGAATCCGACATAGCGTAATTTTCAGGTAGTACAGGGAAGCCTTCTGCTGCATTCCAAATTCTGGCTCGCCGAGATTTGACATCAAAATTGACGAAAAGCCAAATGTATCCCCCGTCGGCAGATCCAAAATAGGAAATATACCCGCCGAGGTCCAGATTCTCGGGCAGCAGGAGAGAATCGTCAAGAAAAATGCGATTTCAGTTCCATATGATGTTTTGAAGAGGCCGTGACCTAGATATCGAGCCAGAGCCGCAAATAATGAGAGAAGGTTGTTGATGTCCAGCTTCCTACGTGGCTTCAACCGTCAGCAGAGTAGCTATAGAAGGCTCATTATCGGTATTATGATTAGTCAATACGTCTAGCGTTAATATCAAATTTCAGTAATTTCGAAATTTCATTTTGCCTTCCCTAAAAAGTTTTATGCAAAACATACAAACATACAAACACTTGAGCCAACCCGGGAATTCCGAGTTGCCGTACACTTATTGGCCGAACCATCTTCCGAGACGGCAAATCTTGCACTAATTCATCCAATGCAAACATCAAAAACCGAAAAATCTAGTTTCTGTATGGATGCATCATGCTTTTTGAATCCGTGACTTCGGGATATAAGTATGCCTCGATTTCCAGAAACCTCTTAAGACAAACCGATAAATATATTTCAAAAATTTACTTAGAACTCAAACCTATTGCAAGCAAAGGTAATTTCCACCGCCCTAAACGTCCAATTAACCACCCCGAGCAGTGCCCTGAAGGAGTCCAAATTTAAATCCACGACCTTTGGATTCAGACCGAACTAATTGTGCCTGCTAAAGTTGCCGAGGGTTGCATTCGATCGAGGTTTGTTTCGTGTTTACTGATTCTTGGTCCCAGAAGTTTGTTTAGCCAAGACAACAGAGTCCCACATCTATCCTCTTGATCAGATCGGAATCACTACATGTGAGTTAAAATTAGAGCCATTGTTTTATGAAGAAAGTCTTACATATCTTTCAAGCAACAAAATGGCGAGCGCCCTACTGCAAAGGATGGAACGATTCGTTGAGTTCATCAACTCAGGTGATGAAATTATAGGACAAGAGGTGGTTTCCGGATCCGCCGTGTTCCACGTTCCGTTCTCAGATACCCCACTGGGAGGATTGCCTGGATACATGCAAATTCTTGGCATAATGCGCTCGGCCTTTCCAGATATTCAGTGGACACTTGACGATACAGTCATCGAGGACAATAGAGTTGTAGCGCAATTTACTCTGCGTGGAACTCAAGAAGGCGAATTCTTTGGTGCTCCGGCTTCTGGAAAGAAAATACAGGCACGAGCTATGAACATCTATCGATTCACAGATGGAATGATTGTGGAGGAGACTGGGTTGCCTGATTTGTTTGGGATAATGCTGCAGATTGGGGCCGTGAGCCTACCGGTTGCTCATTAGGCAATTGACATGGTGCTTCAAGAATATCACTTGTCGGAACATGGAGTGGTAACTTACCACTAGCCGGCGAAGGGTTACGAAGGAACCACATTACTTTATGTTTTATGTGGTAAACTGGCTGTCTTGGCAATCTCGGTGTTTTAACAACCAAGCATTGGCACATTTTTAGGGTATTTCAACCTGCCCTGGATCGCGCATTCTTTCTCTTCATTCAATAGTTCGACCCAAATTGGGTTATGAGGCAGTGTACACATTAATTGGTTCGCTTGATCTCATTCGCCGTATATCCATACTAGTCTATACTGTATGAGCTTGCTCTGACATTGGGTTATCCGCTCTGCCCGTACGCCTCCCCCGACTGATCGGTCGGCAGGCCTACCTATCTAGGTGTTTCCCATCGGGACGCCTACCTATCCAGGTGGTAATAAACCCAGACCTCCGATCAAACTGAAAGCAAAATTCGAAGTCACTTCGGACCCAAGGTTTCGGATTGCCACTCTCGGGTCCGCCTCCCCGACCCGAGTCCACCTTTCATGATTGCAGGTGCTGCTGTTGCTACTATTGGCACTGGACTGCTATATACTTTCGATATCGGTACAAGTACCGGCAAATTGATTGGCTATCAGATATTGTCGGGTTTTGCCTATGCGTTCCCGTTCCAAATTGCCCTCAACATTGCCCAGGCCAATGTCAAGCCCGAGGACATTTCCTCTGCAACTGCGACGATATTTTGTGAGTCATTTCCACCAGCTGCCTTATGATGCGATAGACTTACAGATATTTGAGGGTTCCAAACTCTGGGTGGTGCTTTCTCTGTTGCAGCAGCCCAGTCCGCATTTGTGAACACCATCATCAACACGTTGAAACAAATCGCGCCCCATGTTGATACAGCAACGGTGGTTGCAACTGGTGCCACTGAGATAAGAGAAAGTTTCTCTGGACAAGACCTCAGTTTTGTTCTTCAAGCTTATATGCAAGGAATCAAGGCTACTTTCGCCCTGGCTGTCGGCCTTGCGGGAGCCGCTTGTGTCGTAAGTCCCTTCAGCAGCTGGAAAAGGCTGCATGGATCGGGTGATACGCCGCCAGCGATGGGTTAAGTCATGATCTCTGTTTCGAATATACGTTCCTCATTGGCAAACTTTTGAGTGAGATTGTTGACTTCTGCAAGAGGGACTTTAAGGAATTACGGTCAGCGAGTAATCCCCTAAGATTAGTTGCGAGAAGGTATCTAATAAGATGTGATCTATCCCAAGGGACCTGGTGCAGTCTACTAGACTGCACGGCAGTGAGGAGCTTTTAAGTATGGGCAGTATTCGCCCCACCAAGTAGACTGCATGTCATTTTTCTTGAGTAGACTGCAAGCAATTCCTTCGTACAATTAACTTACGATTTTCACAGCTTCTAAGTTTATATATAATCTATCACTAATTCAATTTATAGTCTCTATGTGAGGATGCTCAGATGCTCACAGAGATCAACGTACGGCGTAGCATACGAAGCAAAGGAAACAGTAGCTGTTCGACGAAAGTAATAGCTTGAGGAGAAGAAGAAGGAGGAAGCTGAGATAGAACTAAGTACATGTAGGCGTAGATGCCTAAGTAGATGCTATCTACGTCAGGCATCCGCGAATAGTAACAACTCTAGTTCGTTACATTATTCTCCTCTCAAAAAAGCAGCGTTATGATACTTTTATTCGTCCTTATCCTATTCTAGGGAGCCAATATCTATCTTATCACTATTTCTATTACTGATACTACTGCCAGTATTACTATTGTTAGTACTACGGCCGTTGCTAGGCTTAGTTAAATTAAGTATGCCAGAGGGGGTAATTACTACCGGTATAGCTTATAAGTTGCTGAACGGTTCTGATAAACTTAGTATAGGTATAAGGGAGATTAAGTTATTGGTTTAATCGGTTATAAATATTGTTATTAAGACCTTTACAGAAGGTCGAGATCTTAGCGACGTTAGGCCAGTTTTAGCCTTAGGCTTTGTAGAGGATATATTCGAATTTAGCTATAAAAGCTATAATAGAATCAGTATCTTGTCAGAGATTAATGAGGTAATCTTTAGCTTCTTAGACCTTATTCAGATTATCGAAAACTTATATAAGCTAATCAAGGATAATGTTGTAGTTAAACTTATAGGAGGACTGAGCGTAAGCGAGTTAAGGGAGGACTATAGCTTAAACTTAACTGTTAAGATTTATAAAGACGTAGGAGAACTAGGCTTCAGTATCTCCTAAAGCCAGAGCATCGATAGAGAGTTTCAAACGTATAGTAGCGAGCTATATATTAAACTTAACTGTAGTACCGGTAAACTTCTTAGGATCCGGAAGCAGAGATTTCGGGTACTGAGAGGGTTAAGGTTAGGCTTAAACAAGGAGCTAGGAATAGGCTTAGAGGAGGCTAACCTAGGTTTATTGCTTCTGGTAGATTAACTAAAGCTAATCTTAAAGTAAGCTAATCTGAATGTTTTGCTGCTAAACTAAGGATTAGAGAGTATTGATTAAGGACTAGAGTCTGCTAAGTATAGTACGGAGCTAATTAAGGTTAAAATCTATCTTAAATAGATAAAAAGCGATAAAAAAAAGGTGTTAGGGCGACAAAGGTATAGCGACAAAGTGACAGAAGTAAGGTTTGATTAGGGAAATTAGAGGATTCTCTACTGCAGCCGATCACGAATATATACAGTAATTATATAGTATAAGGCTTATATAGTCTCTCTGAGATAAACCGACAGAGAAATCACCAGGGTCTCTCGTACGTAGCTTACCAGCAGGTAATTATATCAGGGCGTACCCGTATAGCACTCTAGGCTTTGAGTATCGGAAGCTATTATAATATGAGGATGCTTAGATGCTTACAGAGATCAACGTACGGCGTAGTATACAAAGCAAAGGAAACAATAGCTGTTCGACGAAAGTAATAGCTTAAGGAGAAGAAGAAGAAGGAAGCTAAGATAGAACTAAGTATATAGAGGCGTGGATGCCTAAGTAGATACCATCTACGTCAGGCATCCGCGAATGGTAACAACTCCAGTTCGTTACACTCTATAATCTCCTCTAGCAGTCGTACGAGTTAACTATAATCACCTGAAACCCCAGAAATATTTTGATGGGGTGCGACCGAGAGGGCCCACTTTTCTATTTTAGACCCACTTCAAAATTTTTGTGACAGGGCTTATATTTACTACAATTCAATTCAATTCAATTCAAGATTCTATAACCTAATTCAGCCATACATTCGAATCTAATAGTTATATAGGCGTTCCCTCCTATAGAAATCAGAACTATCCTAACGCTATACCTATAGTAGTAAAAGACAAAGAACCTTAGATACAGTATATTACTATAGTAAAATTAGTAATAATCTGTAATGGTTACTAAGTTATCAGGCAAGAGATATATATTTGAGCCGTAGGTTGCTTCACCATACTAAACTTAGGAACATGAAAAATAAGTTACCAATGAAAAAAGATCTAAATAACTTTAAATCTTTTAAACTATCTAAGTTTTTACCATAATAATATTATAATTCAGTTAATTAAAGAAATATTACATTTAAGTAGGGAATAATTCATAACTAGATATTACCAAAATATTACTGCCAAGACTTAAATTACAGGCAATTTGGAACCGCAACTGAACCGCGGTTCTGCCGCAGTCTAGCTGGGAATATAGAAATACGTATATGTACTCTTCCAATAAGAAGTTTGGTCAGCCCATTAAGAGAATGACGTCAACACTTTCGCGCATTTGCCTGTCTAGGTGATGTGTAAGAGCGACAGCCTATTTCCTTTACGCGTTCTATGTCTGGTGTTTGCATTGAAGTACATGAGAAATTTCCCCATAATCCAGACTTTGAGTACATCAACTCCTGGACCGTCTTACTATAAGTTTGATTAACTTATGATGTGGGCACTTACTTCTTTCTTACAATAACTCCAGAAACGAAATTGAAATGGCGGATGATAATTATTGGCAAACGGTGCTAATAACTGTCCCCATTATTGGAGCTACTATCGCCACCCTCTTCTTTCTTCTCCGTCTCTATAGCAGACTACTCACAGGCATAAAACTCGACATTGGTGACCTCCTGATGTTCTTTGGCTTGCTCTTCTCTTATGGAGCGACTATAAGCACAATCCTTGGTGAGTATAATTTGTTGAGGCGAATATATTATGAGCTGACACTACATCTCAGCTGCTGTCAGAGAAGGAAAAACTGATATATGGGGACTGGGAAGTGAACATCGCCAGAAGGCTGCACTTGTAAGATGGTGTTTTAGGATTGCTCATTAAGTGGGCGTGGCTATACTAATGCCCCGAGTCAACAGCTTTTCTGGATCACTCAGACATTCTGGCCGTTATCACAAGCTTTCATCAAGTTCTCCACGATTATCCTTCTACGTAACCTACTTGGTTCTGCGCAAAAATTGCATCTCACGACTACGATCCTCCTTATATTCACTACAGCTTGGGGTACAGCCTCATTACTGGTGAATACTTTCCAATGCTGGCCCCCTCAATATTTCTGGCTTCAAGAAAGTATCCAGGGAACTTGTATTCCCTCACAGACAGCTTTTTACATATCAATAGGCACCCTGTCTCTCGTGGAAGACATTTTAATTCTATCTCTTCCAGTTGCCGTTGTATGGCGATTAAAACTCGCACTCTTGGACAAGATTCAGCTCACGGGCCTTTTTTCTATTGGCAGTTTGTATGCCCTCAGAAATATCACGATAAATATTCAACTTTGAAACTAAGCTGCTTTATATAGAGTCTGCATTTTTAGTCTTTTACGCCTAATCGAATTCAATAACTATTTAAAACACAATTCGAACTGTAAGTTAGGGACCCCTTATTGATCAACTATTCTGACTTATGATATAGCCAGCGCATCAAAAGAAGCCATATGGACCCTGCTTGAGCTTGACCTGGCCATTGTTTGCAGCTCACTTATTCTAATGCGACCTCTTTTCAGGAAATGCAGAGGAGCATATGAGAATTCTTTCCGTAATGGTCATGGTAAAGTCTAAATCCATGTTAAAAAGCAGTGGTTGAATATGGACAGGTTTTGATCGCTTGAATATTTAATATATTCCTACCTATTAGCCACGAGAAAATGAGATATATAAGGTAGACTAGCGTGCAATGATCGGCCAATTGACGCCATCTATCTGCAATGGCGTGCTTTCTATATAAAGCATTCCTGTATATAACGAATAATCATTGCTCCCAAAAGCAATTCATCACACAGAGGTATTGACTGTAACTTGCGTTATTGTCGAAATATACTGATCCAAAGCTATATGTATTAAAGGGCTGTTGGCCATGGTTTCGGACTACTAGTGGTCATCATGTCTCTCGTGTGGTTTGGCGTACATGACTTACACAGTCACTAGCGGAGTACGCGCTCTAAGCCGACGAAGTAGTCCAAATGATGGTTCAAAGTGCTTCCAGAGTGTGGCTGCCGCGAATACGAATAGTCGCCACAATCAGTAATATTCGTTATGTTGAGAAATAGGTTGTATTGAGTTTGTGAGGATGCTCAGATGCTCACAGAGATCAACGTACGGCGTAGCATACAAAGCAAAGGAAATAGTGGCTGTTCGACGAAAGTAATAGCTTAAGGAGAAGGGGGAAGCTAAGATAGAACTAAGTATATATAGACGTAGATACCTAAGTAGATGCTATCTACGTCAGGTATCTGCGAATAGTAACAACCTTAGTTTGTTATATTATCACCCTCTTAAAAAAGCAGCATTATAAAGCTTTTATTCGTCCTTATCCTATTCTAGGGAGCTAATGTCTATCTTATTACTATTTCTATTACTACTGCTACTACTACTAGTATTACTATTACCGGTACTATAGCTATTATTAGGGTTAGTTAAATTAAGTATACCAGAGGGATAATTACTACTAGTATAGCTTATAAATTGCTAAACAGTTCTGATAAACTTAGTATAGGTATAAAGGAGATTAAGCTATTAATTTAATTAGTGTAAGATGGGAATGCTCGTAGGCTGTCTGCGTTGGCAGACGGGTCGATCGCAAAGAGACAACACTACTACACTCGCAGAGTGCAAGGAGACGAATAGGCAAGCGTAACGCTATAGAGACTTAACAGAACGAACACTAGAGCGAATAACAGAACCTTTTATAAGCAGTATACCGATACCGCAACCTCAGCAGCCTCAATAGAACATTCATAAGGGGGAACATACATATCGAATTGATAATCTAGAACGAACGCTACTTATTCTCCTGAAACAAGACAGGAGCCTTGTTGCTAAGGCTTCTGTCACATAACCCTAGGGTACCAATGTTGAGAGCGGAAATCCCCATTACACTACTAAATAGACAAATTCCGTATTTGGAAAAATACGTGGAAAAACTCGTTTTTTTAGGAAATAAGGTATTTTAGCTACATATCGTATTTATAGGGCATTTATAAGGTATTTGAATATGGCCTAGGGGCGACATGGTTGATGGGGCCTACAAAGAATACTCATCTGAGTCTATGGTTATTACGCAAGATGATTTCCTTTTCTTAGACATCATAGTTGGAGTTTCAGATAGCTGTGGCCCATAAGGTGCGTTGGACCACTCCAATAATGACGTATCTCTCTGAAACAGGCCGTCGTACATTTCCAGGTTTATCTTCCCCGAGTAGCCAACGGAGCATACAATTGTCACCGACAATGAGGTTTACCGTATCTTACATGGTATACTATCAAGTCATAACCCATTTGGTATCATATTCTGCCTTAGAAAAGCTTATACTAAGTTGCCTCTACTCGTGGTTTTCAAGGGTAGACGACCTCACTTTGTGGGAGCTATGTAGTTGTTGGCCATCAATAGTAAAATGAGCGTGGCCTACATCTTACCTGTTTTATTCACCGCAGAGCTATGACTTCACGCGTTCTAGTAAAGAGATCTTTGTTACAAGGTAGCTATTAAGCATAATATGGCTCGGCTCACCTTGTGATTGGATAGTCACCTCCAGCGTAGTACAAATCTCTCTACTCCTGCCACACCTTCAGGCGTGGAGAATGTCATGCTGAGGGAGAGTTCTACTACTATTACGAGCCATGCATTCCTCCACACGAGAACCGCTTTTCTATTCAGGAGATGGTGGGACAGCTTTGGGGTTGGGTTATACGAAGGCGGCCGTAAATGACGAGTGAGCATCCCGCGATTTGCCTTATCATTAATGATTACCTTGATGTTGTGATCTTGTATTTATACCAGGTCGCCTAAGCCTCTTCAGACTTACTGAAGTATATAGCAAGCTAGATTAAGATCTCCATCTTCACTTACTTCGTTTTTTGTTCTTTCCAGACAAATACAGAGCAAAATCATACATTATGGAGAATATCTGGATTGAGGTCCAGAGTTCCGAGGAGCAAATAGGTGCTGGATGTTTCAGCCCATATTATTACAGTTCATACGATTGGTGCTTTGCCAGTAAGAAGTTCAAAACGAAGGTTATGCAAGGGGGCGGGCGCAGGCTGGACGACATCGGGGTGGGAAGCCTAGCCCGATATAGGCCTCCTTATAAGGCCTGCACAGACCGGGAACTTGAGCGAGTAAAAGGGTATGAATTTATTGGGTGGGCATTATATCCAGGAAATCATAGTTAGCTTAGAGAAATGTTAAGGATGTACTACAGGCAGAAAATGAGGATATAAATCGAAAATAGATAGATGATCAATCTAGAACCTAATTGAGTAAAAGCAGCTATTTATGCTGCAATCAAAACAAAGGAATGTAATTCTGAAGACCAAATAGGGCCTGAGGCATATAGGTTTCAACAAGAAATGCGGATAGAGGTGACAAAATGGTTGTCGAAGTTGCAGACATACTAATATAGATTGCTAGGTGACAATAATAAAGGAAATAAAAGGGCACCAGGATAAATGGTCTCTGTATCATTCATGACGACGAGAGCGTAATACCCAAGTAACTGCCGCTCCCAGTTGGAAAGTATATACACTCAAAAGCTCCCATCGTAAATGTCAAGAGAGGCTCAATGACGTCGTTGCGGGTGCGGATTAAGGAAACGTAGCAGATGTCAACTGGTCGGGATTCAGGACGAGAGGAAGTTGCAAAAAAGAGGGCTCAGATATTGCTAGCTTGGAGTGGCCTTGAATCTTATGAGGAAAATTGCTATAAGAATCTGTCGGAACAATAAACGACCGTATAGACTAAGAATGTTGCTAATGGTGCATTTTGAGTCAAGCGGTATTGTGCCCCATATTTATGCCACCGAATCCTTTTTCCGGGACGCGGCGGGCGGCCGCAAGGAAGTTCCGTGGAGTGACTGACATGAGGCTCTATTCAAACCAGCCGCGGCCATCTTTGACGTTCAACCGACGATAATAGAAAGAGAGACTGAAGCACAGTATTGCAGAAAATGCGGCGAACGCCGCATTTACTCCATGACCAAGGCTGTAGATAGGGCTGTCAGCAGGGCGGTATATCCATACTCCAATGATTTGGCCTGGACCTGAGAAAGCGATATTGATCGCCGTCGCAAGAGACATAGCAGTAGTGTTCGTGATATTATCACCAATCCAGGCGTTCATTGTCGGCAAGCCGCTAAATGCCCCACACGTGCCGATAATCAAGAGAATGTATCTACCAACAAAATGCTCGCCGGGAAGAGCAGCTGGAAGACCCTGTCAGCGAGAGTAGGTTGTAGCTTCTTGGAATAGGCACGTACCTAGGATGAGGAATGATATAAAGCAAACAGCCAATGAAGATCCCACAATCACACCACGCATCTTCAATCGGTCGGATATGAAAGCGGCGGCAACGGTGGAAAAGAATGCGGCTGCATACGGTGGAACGGTAAAAAGCTGGGCTCGCAGTCCTTCAAACCCCAAACCTAGCACAATTGTAGGTGCGAAAAGAGACAGGGAGCCGATTAGGCAACCCACGCCAATGTATGAAAGATAATGAACATAGAGCCTTAAGTCAAGTAATGTTGCTTTGGCATCAACCCATGTAATCCTTTGGTTGCTGTTGACGTCAGAAACATTTTAACATGTTTGTAGAATATGGTCACCTACCTTGAGCCTGTGTCTCCCATTCTCTTTCTCTGAATAGCCTTCTCATCTGTGGTGAGCCAGCCGCATTGCTCCGGATAGCTGGGAAGGAACAGAAATACTAGTATTCCTAGTATAACTGCAAAGGTATCGATTCAGAAAGTGAAACATGCGATAGCCATGACTGGTATTTCTCACCAGATGGTATTCCCTCGAGGATGAAAAGCCAGCGCCAAGCCTGCAAGCCACCCACTCCATTCATGAATCCAACACCGTAGGCAATGCAACTATCAATGTGTTCCAGTGTCATGTGTATTAACGGTATGGATGTGGGAGTATAGGGGGCTTACCCGCCGAAGGCTCCTGATAAAGTGGCACTACACAGGAAGGCAGCGATCCGCAAGGCGCGCTCTTCTGGTTTATACCAAAAGCTCAGGTAGTAGACCATCCCTGGGAACACGCCCGCCTCTGCTGCTCCGAGAAAGAAACGTAATGCACTGATACTTGCGAAGTTATGAACAACACCAATACCAGTACAGAAAGCTCCATAGCAAAATATAAGAAATCCAAGCCATCTGGAGTAAACGTCAATGTTTTGATTCCAGAGAAAAGGCATGGAACACTACCTTTTAGGCGAAAAAGTCTTGAGGGCTAGATTGCTCGGAGTCTCAAATATAGAGTACGCCACAAGAAATACCATAAGTGCGATGATGTATTGATGGGAAGTTAGATCCAAAGTCTGCATTAAATCATCGCCGGTGTTAGAATTAAAGATTCGAGCGTTCCCTAGATTTGTATGAGCAGCCGCTGTTTTCTGCTTTTCAATTTCGGAGTTAATTATAAAATACCAATGTTGGATCGGTCTAGATAGCAGAGGAGATAAACGAGTGACGCAAGGGGGAGAAGCCTCAGGTCAATCTTTCGAACTAGTCTACAAAAAACGGAATTAACATCAATTAGGAGGAAGAACAAGACGGCCGGGTACAAAGGACCTCTTTTCGACTAGCAGTTCGTCGTCTGTTAATGTGGGAGAATGATTGGGGTTGGTTTCGATCATCTCAATGTCGAGGGACGACTTTCGAGAAGCCATTGTTATGCTCTAAGTGTCTTGAGAAAGGGCCGTTATTGAGGTTTTTTGTTCATTCCTGGGATTTATCATTTGTAACGGATGTCTATTTATTTTAAGCTAAAATAATCACATAGTGCTCAGTTCTACAGCCCCGTGGAAACAGAGTCTGGGGAAGCTGGGGTTGCTAAACCCGCATCGGTTCAGGTCGCCACCGTCGATTTCTTCCGCGGACATTAAGTTCTTTTTTCAAGAGGGGCCAATTCAATCAACAAGGCAAATAAATACAGGTTAGTTAGAGAAATAGAGCGTAACGGGTTGATACCCCACCGTGTCTGGAAAGTGTTCATGTTTTTGGAGTAGTGTCGCTCCTTTGATCCAAGACTTGCCAGAGAGATAAAGCCGTGTTGTCCAGAACTCAAAGCCAAGAACCTTTTCTGTGGAACAAATCTATATTCTCTAGAGAGGCACAGACATATTTTGTAATCCACTCTCTCTTTTCGGTTCCCTTTGTCCGGAGCTAGGTCCTTTCTGCGACAGGCTCGGGGGGGGGTTCCATATGTGTCTTGCTATACGCCGAAATAAATTCAATAATTTCCTCATAAAGTTCCAAAGTAACCCGTAATATCATGATACATAATCTAGAATGATCAGCACGGGATGTGGTCGGATATCAGGAACAGGGTCTTGGTTTCATCTCATCTGCATTCTGAGCCTAATGAATATTTGGTTCCACTTTCGACTTTGCCATTTCATTTTCATTTCGATTTTTGCGGTTCCGAAAAAGGTCTGGACCCCAAATATTGACAAAGGTATCGTTGCCACACGGAGGGCTAGAGCTCACAAAATCCAGAGATCTCGCTATCTCTCCCAGAGCGGAAGGTCGGCTATCACCGGCCACACCAACCCCCCTCCCAAGTCAACTTCATAGTAAGTAACCTAACCGCAAGGGGTATTTCAACTTCGCCCAGGCAACTGTTTTTCTTTACACGAAATTGGGTCCGCTTGATCCGACTGGGAGATTTTCACCCCATTCTATATTGTAGGACCTTGGTCTAGCATTTTTTCCCCTTCTCTTGGCATGATGAACCTTGGAAGTGCTGGGGGAGATAGTTAAGGCATGCATAGCTCAGAGCTACTTACCACAAATAAACAACATGTTCATTTCCGATGAGAATACGATTTGAGTTCATATTTGTGTGGATATGATAATTACAATTGTGCAAAATTCCAAAACATGGCGGGTATTTTCTGCGGTGCGTTGTGTCTTACCACTTCCATTCCACGCTTTTTTGTGGTCTTCTCCGCGAGTTTTCATTCAATCGTCGGACAAAAGGAAGTCCTACGACTAGGTTTCTTTGCCCATTGCCTTTTTCACACTGCTGGTGATCGCAAAATCGAACAGAAAGCTAGAATCAATAGAAATTGACCGCTAAATCAAAAGAGAAAGTAATATTTGCCAGACTTCATTACCATTAGAAATTTGAATGAACTAATCGGGACATACGAGTTATTGCTGGGCTTGTAATTGTATCCGCGTTCGGGCAGGATGATAAGATGCGGCTGCTCATTTACCAACGTTTTCTTGTATAAGTTGTAAGTTGTGAGTATCTAAATTACCGCGTCGCTTATCTATCAAGCAAAGTAAGTCAACGGAACTCTAAACTAGGATTGATCTAGGGCGTGGTGTTTTGCCACTTTTCGTGAACCTTATTTCGTATTATTGCGGGGTAACCGGAGACCTGCACTCTCTGTACTAGTATTAAAAGGGCTATAACTGACACAATATCGGTTCATTAGTCCGTTGTTCATACCGCTATATACTTGATTATTATTGTTCGTCATGGTGCCAGGGGCCGTTCCCGATGACGCCAGGTTCCCGCCTGGCACGGTCACGCTTGAAGGTCTGTGACGCTGACACCACCTGTTTCGAGCCAAATTGACAGACGCTAGATCTCTCTTCCCGCGGTGAGATTGTCCATACTGTCTTACTGCCACGTCCTACTCGCGATCCTAACGATCCCTTGGTACGTCTTCGGAAAAGAATTGAGATATCCCTTGTAACGGCAGTAGAACTGGCCACTTTGGAGAAAATATCTGAATTTTGGACTTGTGTGTTATTACGCTCTTGCAGTGTTTGCGTTGTATGTTTGAACCGCTACCTTTGTCTCATTTCCAAAATTGATTTTAATGTGAATCGAACTGCAGCATTGTCGTGACAATCCCTACCTGGGCCCCGATGAACGAAGAGCTAGGCTTCAGTTATCAAGTCCTCAACAATAGCTACGCAATTGGCTGTGGAGGTGTGGCCATTGGAGCCGTTGCTCTCACTCCGTTGGCTCTTAAATTTGGCAGACGCCAGATTTATATAGTCAGTACGACTTTACAGGTTGGTATCTGCATATGGGAAGCAAGGCTCCAAACGGTAGCAGATCTCTATCTTGTCACTTTTCTGAGTTGCTTCCTTGGGGCCCTCGCGGAGATTATTATTCAAATGACAATTGCCGACATCTTTTTCATTCACCAACGAGGGGCTATGAACAGCATCTTTATCTTTTCCCAGCAGATTGGTAATGCGGTGGCTCCTGTTGTGGCTGGTTATATTACTGTTGGGTTGGGTTGGCGGGCAGTTTGGTGGGCCATGGCCATTCTCCTGGGAGTTGCCCTTCTTCTCTTCATATTCCTATATGAGGAAACTAAGTATGTCTCATGACTGTTTTTGTCAGGTCAATCTCCGACTAACAACGTACGCTGCAGGTTCTCTGCAATTTTGACAGAAGGGATCCCGCCGCAGTTCACAGAGGACATTGAGGCAAGGCAAGACATTCACCAAAGTAGCGAAACCAAGAAGCAAACAAATCAAAAATCCGAACGGCCTGTTGAAAAGATAATGTGTGAAGAAATACCACCCTTATATGAAATCGACATTGATGAGTCTATTCCAACCATGACCTATCGACAACGGCTATTCAAGTTGACGGTTAGCCCCGGATCCATATCGCAGCTTGTTATGCATGTCTACCAGCCGTTTCATATCATGCTCCTTATTCCAGGTATTTTATATATGGCTGTGGTATATGGCACCTCATGGGCCATCATGACCATTATTGGGACAAACATTGCCGAATATATGCCTTCTCCGCCATACAACTTCACCCCATCCGCTGTTGATCTGATGATACTGCCTGTCTTTATTGGAACGTGTATTGGAATGGCGATTGTTGAACCTACGTGTGACCGGTTGATTCTATACCTTTCAAAGAAAAACAACGGAATCTACGAGCCTGAAATGCGCCTGTGGTTACGCCTTGCTTTTGTTCCATTCGTGCCTGCTGGTCTAATGATGGCAGGCTGTGGCTTCTGGTATAGCCTACCATGGCCTAGTATTGCTGTGGGGTTTGGCACCGCCTCCTTGGGAATTTCTCCTGCAAACAGCATAGCTCTGACCTATGTCACCGATGCATATACTGAGGTAAGTTGATGTCTCATTTTTATACCTTGTCTAACATTGAATAGATCTTAGGCGATACTATGGTTGGAATTACATTCATTCGCAATCTCCCTTCAATGATCCTACCGTTCTTCCTCCTCCCGTGGATTAACCGAATGGGCGTTCTTAATGTCTACATCATGGTTTCGGTGCTCTCAACTGCAATCTTCATGATACGTCTGGTTTTTATCTATTTTGGAAAGAGAATTCGCACCGCGAGTGCAGATAGATACCGATGGTTTGCTTCTCGGCAGTTCAAGGAGCGAGGTTAGGGGTGAAGCTCAGCACAAACATACCCACGATATTCTAACTGGATTATATGAAGCAGTCACCTGAACTACTTGGGCTAGTACTCGATAAGTCTATCTCGAGGTATACTGCGGCTCAAAAGATGCATCCTCATAGATCGATGATAAAATAGACCAAAGTATTGTAGAGAGAAGGCGGTCTGGAATTAAAAGTTCCGAAGAGAATCTATACAAAATCGGTATATAAAAAAGACTTTAAGACTGCGGTAGTAGCCGGTAGCTTACAGCCTCGATAGAGATATATTAAGTGACTAACTTTTATTTGTATCTTATATAGTACAGTAGTATCTTTCGTAAGATAACTGCTAGTTGTGGCGAATCGACCTTTCAGGGGAGCCCACCCATACCGCCTACGCGATATGGGTGGGCCACGGCCATGTGTAAATAACGGCCATGTGTAAAATTTTTCACAAATCCACTATTTTGCCATATTTACCCTCCACCACGATGCCTAAATCCTCTAAAATTGACGAATCTCGCGTTGCCGAGGCCTGCAAAGCGGCTAATTCCCTCAAAAAGCCGAATATATCGCGTATTGCACGCGATTTCGGCGTTCCCTATCAAACCCTCTATCGACGCGTCCGTGAGGGTAGAACGTCGATTTCAGGTCGAAAACCTACTAATATAGCCCTGACAGATGAACAGGAACTGGCCTTAGTAGGCTGGGTCCTGTTTATGGAGAGCGTGAATATACCTATTACGCCTGCTATCTTGCAAGATGCAGCAAATGCTATCTTTTTGCGTACAAAAAAGGATGCGCAACCACTAAGCAAGATGTGGGTATATCGCTTCATGAAACGTCACAAGAACCTTAAACCTACATCTCAAAAGCCAAAGGATGATAAGCGTATCTCTGCTGAAGATGCTGGAGCTCTTGAGCAGTGGTATAACAGCCTGGCAAGGGTTACTAGGAACGTTCCTCTGCGCTTAGTATACAACTTTGATAAAATTAGCTTTCAACCTGGGAGGGGAAAGGCACAAACTATTATTAGTGGTACAGAGCGGCGTTCTAATATCGCTGAGGCAGAGTATTCTGAGACTATAACAGTACTTAAATGTATTGCCGCTGATGGCTGGTCAATGGCTCCATTTTATATCTTTAAGGGCCAGGTTCCTCAGGAAGATTAGTATTATAGTAGTAAGGGTCTTCCAGAGGATACTATCACTGCTGTATCAATAAATAGCTGGATTAATGATAATCTAACCCTTCAATGGCTTTATTACTTTTATAAAGTAACTACAAATCGCTATAAAAAAGGCGAAAAGCGGATACTTCTATTTGATGGCCATAGATCTTATAAGATACATAAATTCATACAAACTGCCCTCGATTATGACATTATACCCTTCTGCTTTTATGCTTATTCGACGTATATTTGTTAACCGCTAGATAGAAAGCTATTTTTAGCGCTAAAGCAGCATTTTAAGAAACAAAATAACTTATATACCTTCTGGTCTGGTAAGGTTACAAAGAAATCTGAATTTCTGTGTGTTATCTCTGAGGTTCAGGCTACTGTATAGAAAAGCCCTCGTATTATTTGCGATTTATTTAAAGATCGTGGAATATTACCTACAAATGGTGATATAATAGTTGAGAATCTTACGAACTAATTACCGAAGGTAGATGATCTAAATATAAGTAATTACGCTCTATATAGTAATACAATACCGCTACCTGGTATCGCTTCATCTTTATCTGTGTACAGTTTACCTTCTCTAACAATCGAAAGACAATAATTAAATTATACAAAATATATAATACCTACTGCTACACTAAAGCAGCAACGCAATTTAGACCGGGTATTACAATATACTCAGATTATAGCTGAGAGTACTGATATCCTATGTGATACAGTTACAAAGATGACAGCCGTACGTACGCTACTACAACGCAAATATAGCAAGCGACAGGTTAAACTGCTATCTTAAAATGGTATACTATCTATAAAGGACGCTAATCGCAGTATTACTGAAAAGAAGGCTAAAAGAGAGAAGACCGCTGCTACAAAGTTCCGCAATCAATACAAGAAAAAATGGGGCCATTCGCCGCCACCGGAGCCTAAATTACCAGATTTATCTTCAAATGACGCGGACTTGGCACATGTACCGGATAGCGAGCTTTTTTGTATAGTTTCAAAGCCATTGCGTTGATAGATAGTGTGAATAGTTGCAAATTTTACACATGGCCGTTATTTACACATGGCCGTGGCCCACCCATATCGCGTAGGCGGTATGGGTGGGCTCCCCTGAAAGGTCGATTCGCCACAACTACTACTTCATGCGCCGATTTGCAAAATTCCGCTGCGAGGAGATAGCCAACCTCACCAGCACCAATAAGGGCAATCCTCATGGCTTGGGCACGGGGTGTATTGGATCGAAGTATATGCTGGACCGATGTCGGAGTATGGTATGGCGTTCGCCAAAGTGGTATCCAACAAGGGAGATGAAATTTCCTGCAGATTCGGTGTCACATTGCTTTATAAGTAGTTATTGTGACTGTTGGATAGGCCCACTACGCCTCACTAGCATTCGAGAATTTCTCCAATGTAAGACCGAAAGAGAACGAGATTAGGCAACTGGATCCCTTTTTCAAAAGTTCAATCGGAAGAGACCAAATGAGGAAAGTGGGGGGGAACCCGCCGTGCATGGCGCTAAAGGGTGCTGGTCTTTATCCTGTCGTCCGAGTTACTGGAAAAATTAAATTCCCATACAGAAGAAATGAAATGTTCTGTAATCATGTTGTACTGGTAATAAGTTAGCGCCTATGGCAGCCGATAGGTGTCAGAAAGTGACTAAATTAGTACTCGAAAATTCGACCGGCAAAAAAGGGTCATGTTGACCACCATCGCCACTACAATAGCCGCTCAACATCGCTAGAATGCGCTAAATCGCTCAAAAGTACAATCAAAGTATAAATCAGCCTCTGTTTCCTATCTCAGGACTAGTTTTGATAATATATATAATTGTATATTGGCCGTGGTCGATGGCGGCCGCGGTTGGAAGGAACGGGCGAAGTAAAACCTAGGTAAGCAAGGCAGGAAAGCGTACTCCGTACCTGGCCATGAAAAGCATTCATAAGTGGAGAGATTGCTAATCCTCCCTGAATAGGTCAAAGCTTGGATATTGCTTTGATTTATTAGAATAGTCCGCCCAGACAGGATAAGGATTTTTTGGAGCTTTCCCTGAAATGGAAGCAATGCCAGCAGAGTTAATGCCGTTGACTCAGACAAACAATTTGGCTTGAACGTTTTTGCATCACCTGCGAGGTCGGTGCTTAGTATCTTACGAAAAACGTCAGAGATTGTAGCCATTATTCATGATCCATTCCAAAAACTTAAGACAAAATTCCTCCTGGGTTACAGCTTGAGCCTGAGTAAGGCCTTGTGCAGTGCAAGCCGACATCTCCAAAGGCAAAGGCTCCTCACTGGACCATACACATCAACATTGCAACCCGGAAACTTCCAGAATGGAATCTTCCATGCTTATTGATTTCACTGGATCGGGACATTTACCGAGATGTTTAGCTCTTGGGGTAGGCTTTCAACGGTGTGTGTGGTGTCGACAGCACTTGGACAGCCATTAAAGACCGGGTTTCGGCCGGTAATTTTGAAGTGCCGTCCCGGGTATGGCTGTTGTATCTTTCCGGCCAATTAAGACTACAAAGTTACTACGCCGGGTTTGAGTGATCGTCGAGCCGAAGCCCGGTGTACCCCCGACATCCCGTCCGTGAGTGAAATATCTCTCACCCATCGAAGTATTCCCTCGACTTCATATATTATCGCTACAAACAACTGAAAAATATTGATTCGTAGTATTTTCCATTTCCATAGATAATATTACTCAAGCCAAGATCTATCCCGTTCGTAGAGACTTATTTGCGGAACTTGAAATGTGGATAACCCCGACTAACCTCATCCAAACACCACTGACGAACTTGATTATTGGTACCAAAATATCGAGGAATTGACCTCTTCTGCTTTCCGGGACATTATGATTGACACCTGTCTGCCAAGAGTCGACATTGAGAGCCAAGAGACCCTTGCCCACTTCATTGCAATGCTCGCTCCACTGCCTTTCGCCTTCCTCGTCCACCATTTCATAGACAATACCCCTTTCTATCATATGCTTGATAAGCTGGTAAACCCAATTAACCGCGAGCTCGATTGAATGAGGAAGATTGCCTGCAGTGTGGTGAGGTCCGAGCACTGTAAACATGTTTGGGAAACCGGAGACGCTGAATCCAAGATAGCTTTTTGGACCATCGGCCCATTTTTCTTTTAGGTCCAGGCTATGTTCGCCTCGATAATCGATCCCCTCATATGCGCCCGTGACAGGGTTGAAGCCTGTTACGTAAATCAAGATATCAAATTCGAAATCCTCCTCGTTGGTCTTGAGGCCCTTCTCCGTAATTCTTTCTATCGGAGTGGACTTGAGATCAACTAGTCGTACATTTTCCTGATTGTAAATTTCAAAGTAATTGGTCTCAAGAGGTACTCTGCGTGTGCCGAATCCGTGGTCTTTGGGAATTAACTTTTCGGCTACAGCGGGATCGTTAACGCGATGTCGGATTTTGTTGGCGACCCAAGCGCTGTATTCGTCATTCGCCGCTTGGTTTCGATAGAGGTCCTTGAAGTTTCCGACCCATTTGATTAGACCAGGTTGACTGTAAAGAGATTCCCAGAATGCTTCTCTTTCCCCTTTCGGTACATCGAAGGTATTGCGCGGATCAGGTCCGAAATGAAACCCTTGAGGATTGGATGTGCAAGCGGCATGAATTTCCGCATACCTCTTTCTAATATCGGCCATATCCTCAGCGGAAATAAGTTTGTTGTGCATGGGGACAGCCCAGTTGGCAGTGCGTTGAAATATTGTGAATTTCTTGGCTGTCTTTGCAACCTCTTGGGCGATGTGGATGCCGGTGGCACCCGTTCCAATCATGCCGACCCTTTTCCCCTCAAAGCTAACTGCTTGTTTTGGCCATCGCGAGCTGTGGCATGCTAGACCTTTGTAATCTCTCACGCCCGGGATGTTCGGCAGCGTGTGAGCAGTCAAAGGCCCAAGGGCGTTGATCAAGAACCGAGACGTGTAAGTATTCTACAAACTTATGGCCCAAGATGGTACCTTGTTTTCCTGCAGGAAAAGGTCGCGTGACAATACGTGATATCTCCTCGGGCCCGGGCCCGTTACACAAGTACCTGAGGTGTTGTACCTAGGTATACTCGGGATCCCGTGACAGTTTTGGGTTCATATGTTCAACCTAAAATAGGTTATGGCGATGTCTACTCTTGGTTATACTCTATTAAAAAGTTTTAAAGGTTTTGACTAATTTAAGGTTAACTTATACGACTGCTATAGAGGATAGTTACTTCTAAGATTTAAACACGGTAGAGAATATATATAAACTTAGAACTTACTGAATTTTGAAAGTAATCGTATGACAAAAATTACTTACAGTTAGGGTAGGAAAACTACTCACAGTGAGGGTAGTAGGGCGAATTCTGCCTATTTATAAGAATTCCTTACCGCTATACAGTCAGGCTCACTGCAGCAGGTCCCTTGGGTTAGTATCTGCGGATGGTATTCCACTCTAGGCAGCTTAACGCAACGCATCCATTCAAAAGTCGCAAATGAGATACTGGTAAGACCATCTCACAGACGCTGATAATGAGTTTGCGCTAAGACAATGAAGATCATGTCATTGACTCATCTTCGGGTGAAAATGGCTCAAAAAGCCGGTCACTTTCCGCAATACCCGAATAGTGAGCTAATACGAAAAATGGAACCCCTGGAAGCCCCATTGAACTGAGCCGAGCCAAAAATCTAGACAACGGCTGCCTTCTTTTTCGATGTCATAGAATCAACTTTTCAAGTGTTCTTTGACTCGTCTATTTACGCTCTGTCAGATGATGGCTGACGAGAAAAAGATTTTGCCCGGAAAGAATGCGACTGGACTGTACTTCAGGTAGGGCGGGTAGTGCACGTGAGACATGTGTTATATGTCAGACCCATGCCATGACTTAAGACATATTTACCCAGTCAGTGCACCTTGATTATTCAATGAAACGCATTTTTTCGAATAATTACCTTCTTGTCGCATACATAATGTACAGTAGATGGCACCCTCTTGCGCAAAAATTGATATTATCAACATACATCTATTCTTTCCGGATTCCACAGTTGAGAGGCGCTGATGCAAGGGGACCGGAGCCCAATATCGCTCTTAGATACAAAAATGCATAAGTACAGGCATTTGGAAGATAGATGAGAAAGCGAATGAACGGTTAATTGAGATCGCATGTTCTTTGTCGACTTTTGTGTTTTTCTCAACGCGTAATAAACTCTGGCTACCTAGCTATCGGCGAAAAGCGTGCCATTTAGGTATTTCAAACCCGTGTCCGAGGCAACAGTTACAACTGTCTTGCCTGGGCCCAATTCCTTTGCTAGCTGAATTGCTGCGACGACATTAAGCCCACTCGATGTTCCAACAAGCAGACCTTCTTCCCTCGCCAGCCGACGGCACATTACACGGGCTTCACCTTCTTCAATCGCCCGAGCCTCGTCGTATAAATGCTGTTCCAAATGCCCCGGGATGAAGCCAATCCCAATCCCCTCGACGCTATGGGGGCCTTTAACGCCTTGAGTGATAAGCGGTGCCGAGGCGGGTTCGAGGACAACAATTCTTGTTTTGAATCCTTTTGACTTCAGAACGCGCGAAACGCCCATTACCATCCCTCCTGTTCCGATAGACCCGCAAAATGCGTCGATACCGTCCGGAAGTTGCTTAACAAGTTCATGTCCGATATCCTCATAACCCACAATGGAATCGCCATTATAGAATTGGTTCGTAAAATAGTGGGATTCTTCTTGAGTAGCTGCCTCGGCATACTTCATCATGGTGGGGATCAGGTCCGGCGTAACTTTTCCTCCCTCGCTGGGCGTTATGTGGAGAGTAGCCCCAAAGGTAGTCATGGTCCGTCGTTTCTCAAAAGAGAAGGCGTCAGATGTAGCGACGAGGAAGGTATATCCTTTCACCGCGCACACTAGAGACAAAGACGACCCAGTACTGCCTCCCGTCGCCTCTACAACGGTCATGCCGGGCTTCAGGTCTCCCCTTTTTTCTGCCTCTTCGATCATCGACTTTGCCATACGGTCCTTGTAGCATCCCGTGGGGTTGAAGGACTCCAACTTAACAAAAATGTCGGCGCAGCCGTCCGGAACGACGCGCCGCAGTCGCACAACTGGTGTGTTGCCAATGGTTTCCAGCGCACAGTCAACTGGCGCTGGTGGTTGGAGTGTCATATTTTCGGTCTTTGGTAACTTTGGACTCAGACAGACCGAAGTGAGAGCATCAAAATAAAAAAACTTAGTGGCCGTCAGCGTGTGTAAAGGGGCATTGCAAGGTTAAATACAAAACGCAGTTAGACTTACGTTATCAGGTATGAAACTGGCTTAACCGCCGGGTATTGCGGGCCGTGATAGGACTGTGTGGCGCATTATGCGCTTGCTATCCCATTCAATTCGTCCCGATCTAACTCCCTGAGCCCACCGTGGAAGCAAGGACCAATCGGAATCAAAGCTATCAGCAAAATCCGCAACATCCACAGATGCCGTGCCTTCCGCTCCGCGATTTGCTGTTGCAGCCGATGAGTTAGGATGAACACGACATCTGCAGGACAAATCTCATAAACACACCAAGACCCGTGACCTACCTGTGGCTACATATATTGCGCAGTTTTGCTGGCAAGTTTTACGTTTCTGATTGTGTAAATATTTGCACGTTGATTCCCAATTTACTGCCCCGAAAAGAATACTCCGTATGCCCCTGGGCACCTTTTAACGTAAGCGTGCTCTCGCTACAGAGCTGGCGCTCGAATCATCCTAATGACCCCAAATCACCCTTGCAGAATTATCACAGACGCTACCCTCGCCCGTTGGACCTCTATAGCAACATTCCGGAGCAACATTCTGGCGCAACAGTACCCAAATATACTACACCAGCCGCAACCTAGCCATGAACCACGTAAAGGCCCTCAACGATTCCACCGGACAAACCATTCAGGAGACCGTTGGACCTACTTTGGATATCTTCACACCATACCTTGTCAAGAACAAAGATGCGATATTCGCCATCACTCAACAAGAGGAGCATTACGGCCCCCATGCCCAGCAAAAGCTAGGCATTTATCGCCCCCCTCAAACAATGCATAACTCTCCTGTCCTAGTCTTTCTCAATGGAGGCGAATTCTTAGGTGGCGACAAAACCTCTGCCAACGGACTGCTCTATCACAATGTCGGCTCATTCTTCGCTAGGAAGGGCATTATCACTGTCATACCAGGTTACCGGCACACGAGTGCTTCCCCTGGAGAAGAAGCCACATTTCCTTCTGGCGGAGAAGATGTCTCCTTGGTCTTGAAATGGCTTGAATCTTTCGACCACAAGGGTTCTGCCAATGTTTTCATTATGGGAAGCTCGACAGGAGGCGTACATTTGTCCAGCTTCATACTAGGCCCACAGTTCCTTGAGCAGAGAAGAGCATTGGCAAGTGGCAAGAGCGGTATCGTTTTTAAAGGCGCCATCGAGCTGGGGGTCCCATTTCATTTCAAATCAACGACGGAAGTGGACCACGCAACAGCTTTGAAAAGTTATTATGGATCACAGGAGGATGTTGAGAGAAAGTGCCCCCTAGGCTTGCTCGAGGCTGTAAGGGAAACAGGGATGTCTCGTGAAGACACGGCTGTCCCTAAAGTACTGTTACTTTTGGGAGAATTTGATTCTGAGGCCGAAATCGCACAGCCGATGCACGACTTTGCTGCTTTACGAACAAATACCTGGGGCAACGGTGTAGAATTCAAGGTTATCAAGGGACATAACCACATCAGTCCGCTACTGGCTCTAATGTCGGGTGACGTGGAAGGTGAAAGATGGGGCGAGGAGGTGGTGGAATGGATACAACTCCTGAACCAGCAGCCATAACTGAAAATAAAACCCTCTATAATAGCTTTTACATGAGCTGGGCAGATCCCGTGGTATACAACATGAATGGTGCAGCAGAGGATACTTTCATGGAATAAATCGTATCACCGCCTCTCTTGGAAACATTGAAGTGAACAACAGAGTCCTATAGTTCCTGCCTGTCGGAGTTGCTACTGACTCCTTTCGACCCATATGAGATAAATTAAGACGAGTTCCCCTTGACCTCCCCTTGACCCTCAGATATGGGTTCAAATAGACTTTATTCACCGTCCGAGCAGCATGTGGGGTCTCTCAGATCCGTATTTCTTCATTGTGCTATCTGTCGAGCTACCTTCTTGGTCCAGCCATGCGATCACCTTAAATTCATCGAAAAAAAGCTTTGCTATCTCCTATAGGTACACACCCAGCTTGAGAGTTCAGAATAAAGAAATTTGCTTATAGAATTGATCATTAATCCCAAGGAACTAGGGCTTACCAAATGAATTAATGATTATCAACAAGAAAAGGGGATGTCGAGTTGGTCCAGGAGTACTCTGGTGGAGCGAAGGTCAGATCCCCCGCGAGGAAACCCTATACCCTAGTGGAAAAGTGGATGCGCCCCCATTCTATTTCTTCGCTATCTGATTTGTCTATTCTGTGTGCCTCTGTTGCGTATGGTGTATGTCTACAATAAGCTAAATTAGTCAAAAGTCCTCTACCTCTTGAGTCTTGACCGTAACTGGTTAGCAGCTATCTTATATAGTATAGTCTACGATGGTTGCAGAGGAGTTTGTAGAGGATAAATAATAATTAAATACTAGTGTAGTAATAGAGCTAGGTATTATAAGGAATAAGTACTGTAATAGCCTAGGATATATATCTTCCTTAGAGAAAATATTGAAATATATTGTTAGAAAAATATAATTCTAGAGAACTTATTTTGAGAATACCAAAGCTAAATAAGAATCTTTAAGAGCTAGTGTAATGGTACTAAGGAGCTGGCTAGAGACCAGTTGACCAGGTGATAGATAGAGATTAAAAGCTGTAATACCTAGTAGATTATAAAACTAATTCTTGAAGAACCTTCAAAGAATCGAGTAGCAATTGCCTGTTTAATATAACAAAGAGTCCGGAGATCTATTCCGATTCGAATATGGATCAGGGTAGTATCAGTACCGTTATAACCCTACATCATCCGGTGATACCGACAGAATTAACCTCCGTCGGGTCTGGATTATAATCTTATCAGATATCTCGATAGGATAGGCCGGATCCCTCTTAATTCCGATAGGGCTAGGGCTTACTACTAATTTAATAGATCCTGTAACAACTTATCCTCTCCTTTTAAAGAAGTCTGTTCTTGACGTAGTAAAATAGGATAATAAAGGGCTATTTTTGTATATAGATAAAGTAATTATCTCTTTTAATAAGATAGAATTATATAGTAACTTCTGTAAATACAAATAAAGAAGTATAGATATAAAAACTAAAAAAACTTATATATTGAGAAAAAAGAATCTGGAAAATATCTATATCTATTACCTATCTGTATCTTCTAATATTAGATCTCCTATCGAATCTTTCTTAAAATAGCTACTACTACCGGTACTACTACAGCTACTCTTATACTTTTAAATATATAAGGGGTTATTCGTACGTATCCCTAAGCAGCTCTGATATTGTTTTGTATCTACTACTTAGGCTATACTGTTACGATTTATACTAGGCTAGCTGCCCTAGGTAGGGTATTTACTTTTAAGTATATATTTAATCAAATTAAATCAATAAAATATACTTATTATAACTTACCCGGTATAAAGGGGATATATAAAACTATAAGTTTTAGAGTCTTTTCGTACCTTATTCGTTGCTTATTTAATTATCTAGTGTAAGATGGGAATGCTCGCTGGCAGTCTGTCAAGCAGACGGGTCGATCGCGAAGAGACAAAACCACCACACTCGCAGAGTGCAGGAACGAGATGAGCAAAGCGTGACGCTATAGAGAGATGATTGAACGAGCAATAACAGAACCTTTCATACGCAGTATATCGATACCGCAACCTCAGCAGCCTCAGTAGAACATTTTCATAAAGGGGAACATGCATGTTGTTTTTGATAGTATCGAACGAACGCTACTTAATCTCACGAAACAAAACGGTGGCCTTGTTGCTAAGGCCTCCAGCACATGACTACAGGATACCGATGTTGAGAGCGGGAATCCCCATTACATACCACCCTCCCTGAAAATTTGACTGTCCCCTAGTCAAAACAAAGAAAACAAAGAAAACAAAGAAAAGAACGTCAACATTTCGTTAGACAACGCTTCCGACAGTCATGTCATGCTTCATCCATTAATAGGCACCTAGCCGCTATGAGGAAGGCCAACCTCCGCTTCGGGGGTAGGTTGCTGCATGTTCGACAGCGTTTGAAGTTCAGCATCGACGGAAGTGGGACCATCAGGCAAGAGACCTAGTTCAGGATCGTCCACGAGCATGCCTTTTTCAATGCGGGAGAAGAAGGAGTGCTTGCCATATTCCTTCTTTTCCAAGCGCTTGGTGAGTTCGAAGCAACGCAGGTATTCATACCAGGCTTCCTCTTGCCAGTCACGAACTATTCTTTTTGCAACTTCCGGATCCTTGCCAAAAAGGTCGTCCAATTCCATACAAACCGAGGGGCTGTCCCATCTCTGTCGTCCTACCAGGCAGTTCGGAATATCGTGTCGTGCTGTTCGAAATTGAACTCCGGCCGCGAAAGGAAATGGAATAGTGCCATACCGCGATGAAGGATAGCCAGATGGTGTCTTAGTAGCCGGCATTTGTGCGCGGTGCGCCTCGGCAAGCTCCTCCCATGTATTGGCTTCGGCACAGTCGAGAGTTTCGTGGTCGTCCTGAATGGCAGTATACCACGCAAGTCCTGTTCTGCGTACTGCGGTAGCCGGTCCTGTCGATCCATGAGGCAGGAATGGGAGAGAAAGACGTACGTCACCGATACCACAAACCTCTTGGGTCCATTGGATGCCGTACTTCTCCTCGTCATCTCTCGTCCACATATGGGGTTCAATGCCAGAAATGAGGCCATCGGGAACGGGCCCGCGGGACTGAATGTTCTTCCACCAATCAGCTAACCGCTCTGTCTTATGCATCCCTTTCAATATCGTGGTACAATTCCGTTTATCTTCCTGGGTGAAGGATACAGATCCTTGCAAGATACTGCCGCCCCGTCCTGTGTCGAGATAATCTTGGATGTTGATATCCAAGTGCCGAAACTTAGTATTTTCACCAATCTGAGTGCTCTTGGTGTAATAGGGGTAGGAAATCAGGCGCCATGCATGATCGGGTCGGAAAAAGACGTATGACATGTAGTAGGAGAGGTCTTGCCGAATTAGTTGCTGGATGTTTGAATACCACATCCCACGAAGCCATCCAATCTCTGTTGTCGACTTGCTCAGGTGGTAATGGTACATTCGGAACTCCTGGTGAATCAACGGCCATAGTCCCTCAGGATGTTCTCCGTCGAGGTCTTCTCCGAGCCATGAAAAGAGACCTGGCAGTATAGTGCTGCCATCATTATGCATATCCTTTGCCGGGCGAATATCAGGGGCCTTTCCAGCGTAGATCCGGTCAATCAGGGTATCAACCGACAGCCATTCTGTAGCAGCGGCGAAGTCAGAAACAAGAGGGGCGTAGTGCTGCGGCTTGAAACGATGGAAACCGAGATCGTTTTCCTGCCGGAAACTAAACCATCGAGGATGGTCCTTCATAAATCGGTCCCAGTTCCCAATGTGTCGATATGATAGGGCAACCCGGTTCACCAATTGCTGGTGATTCTTGGACGCACTAGTCATTTGTATAGCTTCCACTAGTGCCTTTGCGTGCTTACTGCAAAGAGTATTGACAGTGATATCTCCGGACCTCGCTAATCTTCTTCCAATGGCTCGCAATGCGACCAGTCCATTTTTCCGCTTCGAGAAATCTTTTTCTTTGAGGGCTCGTATCAGGGTAGCAGGGCGCAGTAAACATCCACACTTCGCATGTACATCCGCGAGGGCAACTGTTTCTTCGTCGCTTTCTTCGACAACGGCATTGTTCAATACTTCCTGCTGTGTCGGCGGGGCATCCTGCATTTCCTCGTCGCGTTCCGAATCCTGGCTAGATTCCACGCTCTCTTCTTCCTCCATATCCTGGTCTTCCAATTCATCAGGGGGAGCAGCAGCAGCAGCAGCATCATCTTCCGGTAGGAAAACACTCTTCTCGGGAGACGGAGGCAGGGTATATGCTCTTGGTTCGATCCTTGGAAGATCAAATCCTTCGCCTTTTGGACAAACGAATCCATCCTGGTCTATCTGGAGACCCGCACGATCTAGGTGTTCTTGGAGAATCGGCGTCAGGATACGGCACTGGCAGGTCTTGAGCAGGTCACTGGGTTCCAGGTGCTTGGTTTTCTGGGCTCCACTTCCTTTTCCAAAGGTACATCTCTTGATGACATGGTTGTTGATAGATAGCTTGACATCCTCGTAGGACATATCTGTGTTCAGGAGCTTACTAACTTTCTCCGCAAACGCTCGATTCTTGACCCATTGGAAGAACTCGGTGGTATTCCTGCCTGCGGGGTCTTGGTTGTCCCATCTCACAAGCGCTCGCTGTCGAATGCCTTCGATTGTTCTCGCATCCTTTGCTCTTCGCTTTTGTAGCTGGACTGCTTTTTCCCATCGAAGCTGGAATTCCTCTTGGTCTTCATGATGACCCTTCCATAACTCTGCGGAGCTAACATAGTCAAACAGCCTGCAGATGCCGTCACCGAGCAAGTCATGTGCAGCATTCAATTTCCCATAGCAAAACAGTGCAATGTCATATTTTTCTGCAGCGTCACTCTCTTCCAGGGCCTCAAGCATTTGCTCAATCGTGTGGATCTTTTTGCCTTTGATAATCATGCCTGTAGGAATTGGTTCATCCATCCTGGCTCGTCGTATTACAGCACGGTTCACTGGAGTAAAGGTGTTTTGGCTTTCCGCCATCTCGAAA